GTTTCGTGCCCCATGACACTCATCAGCGAGGCTTATCTGCAGCCTCAACGGAATTGGTATCCTGTCCATGATTAAAATCCTTGTCACCCATTGCTGCAGTCAGAGATGGTACCACTGAGTTGTTCGTGCCTCGTATGATCTCTAGCATGACTGGACTGTGTACAAGATTGGTTATCGGAGGGTAACCAACTTCCTGTCGGCTAGTCCAGTCCTGACCGACTTCTATCGATCATTACACAATAAGGCCATTAGGCTCGGAGACTCAACATCACGATTCTTACGTGATTTTGAAGTGTATGCAGTTCCTGAAGTTTGTGGATTTCCTTATCTAAATTTTGCGAAATAATTATTTTATTCCACACAGAGAATATCGGACGAAGAGGATTATTAGCTTTACATATTTAAGGTAGTCTGCCTAAGTGAATATATTGAGTTTTAATAGGTTTTACACAAATAAATTTCTCTTTATTAGTCGTATTTATATCTAACAGTTTGTATGAGACCATATTTGAACTTAGGGGTTTATGGGGATTTAGTGGTTTTTCAAGTAGGTTTTCATCATGGATTGACATCAGTTGGAGGAATATTGGAAATCTAGGAGCACTAGACAGATGTTTCGTTCTAGTATGGGACTACTCAGTAGTGAGTATCCACCACCTCCACCTCCACCCACCAGGGATTGAATCTGACACTTTCAGTTTCCATGTCCAGCACGTTACCATTGAGCCACTTGGTTGGAATCCAGTGATTTATATTTCCTACTTCTGTCAGTTCACTATATATCGTGACCACCACTCAATGTCATCGTTGAGTATTTGTCCTCATGATCACCAGGTTTTTCCCCACCCGTCATGACTTCTCACTGGAACCTCAGGAATCACCTCTCGAAGATAGTCAACAATGAGGGTTTGTGTGGATTTCGAGGAGTACTATACTAGGACGAAACAGCTGTCCAGTGCTCCTAGATTTCCAATGTTCCTCCAACTGATGTCAGTTCATGGTGAATACCAACTTGAGATAATATTTACCATCCTTCCGATTTATGCATTCCTTCATATGGGATATCTGCTATAAATTTGCCTGCATGACTGAAAATGGATAACATTTCAAATTTGTGTTCCAACTTGTTTATAACAACAACTATGAATGGTTTATGGTGTTTTTTAAGCAGAATAATATCATGATTGTTGAACTAGTTGGAAATTGCATATTCAGTCTCTAGGGTAGATGAGGTTTGATTTTAATTCTTATCATCCACAATGTATAGAAAAACAATGAGATCGTTTCAGCGGATGTGATGTCGAAATTAATTATTGGTCTAAAGTGAATTTTTAACGTCTTCTGTTACTGAAGCAAAAGTTTTTTTCCCAAAAACTTTTATCATATTTTTTAGTATGATGTATAGTTTATCGTTTCATTGAACCAAGCAGAATGAATTCATTGAACGTTTTTCTGGAGTATATATAATATCGTTTTTTTTTGTTGAAATCATTCTGCTATTCATAGTCCAGCCTTACCTTCTGACATTTCTACAGCTCAGTGAAGTACAAAGTACTAGGGGAACAATCACTATTTCTACATGCTTATTGAGAAAGACTTTCTATGCTGATAAACTCAGACTAACTTTTTCCACTCACCCAATGCTTAGATTATGCGTTAAGCATAAACTAGCTCGCTTGGCCACCTTGATGTGCGTTTGTCAATTCACCTACTCCTCTGGAGTAAAACATATTTACCATACTCAACATTTGCTTTCCAAAAGCATTTCCTAACACATATCAGCCCGGTTCCATAAAGGAAAACACTTCATAACATTTGATTGATTATGATAACCCGGTATATACACGAAACAACTTCATTGTCATCTATAGAGCTCATCTAAATTTCATGAAAAGTGTACTACTAAAACTTTTTCAAACTGCGGGGGCCATTCTGAAGCTTGAACTCTGTGTTCAAAAGAAATTTGTCAAATCACTTCACTTTTAATAGACATGACCTATAAGGATATTTTTATCTTCAAAATCTTTTCATTCATATCATCTCACAAATTAAATTCCTACACTCCTATAATTCTGATTTCTCTCTACGTTTACCGTGTTACATCGTTTGACTTAGTTAACAAATATTACTTCCGTCCTGATAAGTCTTCTTCTCATTATTGTTTCAAGCATAACGTAATTCAAATATGAACTTCAGTGTAACTGCTTGTATTATACCGTCGCCGACTGGAATGAATTGATTTGCATTTCGTCCTATTTTGGACTCTTTAGCTGAATGTAACTACCTCCCAGTGAGTAATGTTTTTCCCACAAGGATTCGAACTCGCGGCCGATCGCTTCAAAACGCCAGAGAGTTATCCACTTAACCATAGGACCATGATATCCACTTCTAGTGTGACGGGTATAGTTTTAGTGTAATCTCTTGTATTATACCGTCGTTAATTGGATTGAATTGATCTACCTATATTGGCGTATGGCGCTTGAAGCGATCAGTCTCGAGTTCGAATCCCAGCGAAAACATCACTCACTCGGAGGCGGGTACATCCAGATGACGAGTCCCAAATAGGACGAAATGCACATCCTGAACTCCACCGCTAGCCACTATCCACCAATAAATCTGAACTTCGTTTTATGAAATACCTCTTTTCTGTTACGAAGTGAATAAAATATTTATATACGATAGTACAGCTTGAGAATGATATCACTGAGAAACGTGACTCTTCGCTAACAGTCTTTTATTTCATATTGATGTTTCATTTCAATAGGTCAACCCGACAATAAACACAAAACAAGGTCATACATGGTCATGTGTTTATTTTAATTAACGTCTACGTCCAATGGTGAGACACTAGTCTGTCTTTCTGGTTGGCAAAACAAATGAACCACGGTTAAAAACCAATATGTTTAAAGTTCAAGCAAAATAAGAATTAAGACAAACAGATTTACCCTTCAGACTGTATATATAAGTAACCAGACAAGTATAATCATAATTTTCTATTTGAAAATGCAGCAGGATGATCAATTTAGTGTAGGTAAGTAGCCAAGCGTACTAAAACTGTATTATAGTTTGATGGACTGATATGTTTTTTTGAGGGAGTTGTGGAGATTTGGAAATATTTCAAGTTGTTATTCATCGAAGACTGATATCAGTTGGAGGAACAAAAGAAACCTGGGAGCACTGGACAGCCGTTTCGTCCTAGTATGGGACTCCTCAGCAGTGCGCACCCACGACCACAGCGGCAGGGATAGAACCCGCGACCTTCAGGTTCTGCGGCCAGCGCGTTACCATTGAGCCACTGGGTCAGAACTGATGTCAGTCTCCGATGAATAACAGCTTGAAGGACTAATATGTGTTTTTTTTCTTTCTTTTGGAAATTCATTTTGCAAAGATATACGTAGAGAAAAATGGGAGCTGAAAATCACTAACATATTACTTTTAGATTACTTGTTTTTGTCTTCTGACAATAGATGTCCCACTAAGTTTCATTGTCTCAAGTTTTAAACTTTTATATAAACGCTCATTGATATATAAAACAGTCATTCATATAATCATTCCATTCTACATAACTTAATACTCCTGCTAAATGTTAGGAGTCTATCGGAGAGAGAACTCTGAATCTAGATATATCTGCAGATAGGAGGGGACTCATTTACTCCCAGTTATCCACCGAACTCAACGAGTTACAGAGCACTTAGGACTTGATAAATGCATTGTTTACCAGCCAATAACAAACTCCTTTCTTCATCATCTATGATATATAGGATGAAAATAGTAGTATGGTAACACTTGAATTGAGCATATAATTTGCATTATTAACATTTGTCAGTTGGTAATCTACTACCGCAAATATAGTTTAATCTATGCTTATAGAAAACATTATTGAGACTTTCTAAGATACCAGTAGTTTGGTAGACTGCTGTTGTTGACACTGGTCGATGACTGAAGGTGAAATGAATACCTGAGTAGTATGCGGATTGAATTCAGTGGCCTCTGCGTTACCGCCAATATTTCTCTACCGACTGGGCTATTAGATACAGCCATCAACCAATGTTTCAACTTCATTTAATATAAGTGTGGTAGAATGCAATTCCATATTAGACTTGTTTATTTGATTTATACCATACAGTGATATTGTATTATTTACTTGGTGATGTTTCGAGCATAAATTATTGCTCATAATCATATCAGTGTTATCACACAACTTTGAAAAACCGATTCTTTTAGTTTTCACCTCATATTCTTTGTTTTTATCGGTAGTAAATGTTTCTATATCTCTCGTAAGGATGTCGCGTCATTCCTGTTGCATGTGTTGGGTGTTGATTCCATGAACGAAGATTCAGTAATCAAGCTCTCTCCCTCTCTCCATCTAATTATATTGTACATAAGTACAGTGGTTTCATTCCACCCAGCCTTTTGTGTAGCTGCGTGTTCCACCATTCTAACTGACCCCGACCGGCTAGTTTAACTTATGTACTGGACTTCACAGTCATAGCATAGAATTTGATAGATTAGATTAGATTATTTCGCCTGATTGAATCTATCGGATCCTTAAACCAGTCGACAAAGCTTATCTCTGAATGAGGTTGTATGTTTAAATGCCACCTTAATTCCAACCTTGTTCAGAAACCTACATAAAACCTCTGATGTTCCTTCCTTATAGGGTAACACAATGGAGGCTTTGAACTCTTTTCTATTTGCGTTAATATGACAGACCCCAATGAGATCAATAATCTAGAAAACTCGGCTATTACAATATATGCATTAACACAATCACATAATAAGGTGGGATGAAACCACTGTGCGTAAGTCCAATATAATCAGGTGGAGAGAGAGAGATTACTGAATCTTTGTTCGAAGAATCAACACCCAATACACGCAACAGGAATGACGCGAGATATGAAAAAGTTTACAACTAATAAAAACAAAGAATATGAGATGATAGGACTGTAAAAGTTGGTTGTTGAAAGTCGTGTGATAACATTGATATGATTAGGAGCCACGATAATTTACGCTTGGAACGTCATCAAGTAAATAATACTGTTTCACTGCATGCTGTATATCAAATTATTATTATTATTATTTATCCCTTGGGTTCCTAATGGAAAACACCGCTTCAGTAGCACTTCACCAACTCACTCTGTTCTCTGCAGTCTTCTCAACCTGGCCCCACGACTGCCCACCAGCTTTCATTTCTTACTCACACCATCTCCTCCATGCCATCCTCACCTCGGACGCCCAACTCGTCCTCTCCCCTTTGGATTCCACTCGAGGGCCTGGCCTGACCCGTCATGTCCTCAATCGGCCTTCTCAGTGTATGCCCAATCTAATCCATCTCCACTTCTGTTTATTTGTTGGCCGATGGGTTTTTGGATGGTTCGTTTCCAACCAGAATTGCTTGTTGCTTAATCTTTCTCGCCTTCTGATCTGATCTTCAGTATCGAGAGTAGGCAGCTGTTCACGAAAGTATACTACATGAATTTTGTTGAGGATTTTGACAGCGGTGTTGCATTTTCAAGCTCATCATAAAATATAATTCAGTATGAAATTCCCTACCGATTTAACGTCTGCCAAATTATATTTTGACCTTTTAGTCAGTTCAGTATAGAATATTTCTCATCTATTTCGGATTCGATTTCTAAGTTTTACTTTATATTTTGCTATTGGTGATTTAGTAAATCAGTCACCTTTCAACAACTTGATTTGCAGAAGACAATGAATTGAGTATATACTTCAGTGCATTCAAATCTATTACATATATGCTACCGATATGATTCAGGATTAATAATTTGGGGTTTCAACAAATGACTAAAATGCAGTTGTTTTAAAGAAGAAATTAAAATTAATTTTAATGCTTCAGGGAATTATTTTTATCGAAGTCTTAAAGTGATGTTCTTGAAGTAATGAAGAAGATAAGTAACGATGTGAACTTGTGAGAAATTACCATGAGTGATGAGAAAGAAAGATGGAACATTGATTGTACCTTCAAATCTGTTAGGCATGAAATAAGTTTTCCACTGATCACTTTAAATGTATTTGTTCTGTCAAATTTATGTACCGTGTCCAGTAAAGACCACACAGGGAGCTGTTCTTGTTGTTTGGTCATCTTTAGCTTCGATTCATGAAAAGCTGTTGAAAACAGCTCGTGGACGTTTGTCTTTCCTTTCCACTTTGTATCTTAGTAAACGAAGCTGTTCCCTGACAGTGAGTTATATGTTTTTCAAATATTCATACTGCATGCGGTAGATTATCATGCAGAAACCTCACCTAACCGATTGCCCAGCTATCAGTATTTGAATTAAGGAGTTTGTGGGGATTTAGAGATATTTTTAAGTTGGCTTTCATCATCAGTTGGAATAACATTGGGAACCTGGGAGCACTTGACAACTGTTTCGTCCTAGTATGGGATTCTTCAGCAAGGGGTTCCAATGACAAGTCGTGAAGAGTTGGAAAAACCTGGTGATCATGAGGACAAATACTCAACGATGACATTGAGTGGTGGTCACGATATATAGTGAACTGACAGAAGTAGGAAATATAAATCACTGGATTCCAACCAAGTGGCTCAATGGTAACGTGCTGGACATGGAAACTGAAAGTGTCAGGTTCGATCCCTGGTGGGTGGAGGTGGGGGTGGTGGATACTCACTACTGAGTAGTCCCATACTAGAACGAAACATCTGTCTAGTGCTCCTAGATTTCCAATATTCCTCCAACTCATGTCAATCCATGATGGAAAGTAACTAAAAATCTCAATATTTGCTTTAGACTGATTCTTTTTGGACACTACTTTCTGTTCATTTTCGAAGTTGATGTATTCATTGGAAATTTTGACCCATTTGTTTGAACATCTTGGTTTCCTATATTCGAACCCTACTTAAACAGCCTTTTTAATCAGTATTATCAAATCCACGCTTTTATACAAGTTTTATCTTTTGTTCTTTCAGCGATTGTTGGTGCTGGAATTGGAGGTGCTAGCTCAGCTTATTATTTACGTCAGTTATTTGGTAATAAGGTTTCTATCACTCTTTTCGAACAATCTGGACGTATTGGAGGTCGTATGAAAGCAATTTCTTTTTGTGAAGAAACTTGTGAAACAGGAGCTAATGTTTTTCATTCCTCCAATAATTACATTTTATCTTTTGCTCGAAAGTTCAGTAAGTTTGTTGTATGTATACACTTAGGTATCTAATGTTAAATATCTTTTTGCATCAAATTGATGGTTTACTGTTATTTTGGCTAAGCGTAAGCACGTATACACCATATTTAATTTTTTCTTTTATTTTCCAACCGATTCTAAGAATAATCTTAAAAGAACTGGTGGCTAGTGATGCTATCACTGAAGCGAAATAATATATGAAGTTCTTTGGTTGTCGATGTGAATATTGTAAGAGGTTACCAGTTGTTCTTGTGAAAAACTTCTGAAACACTTTCAATTTGACTTTAGATATTGATGAAAACAGACAACTGATGATGATAACGAAGTAAGCTTAATGATACCTCTTTTATAACTTCAGAAATAAGGAGAAAAGTTATTTGTAGAAATACTACATAACTTCGATAATTTTCAGTAAAATAGAACTTGGTTCAACTCATAGTTTTTTTATCATCTATTATCCATAGCTCTTGAAGTATTCTGAATAAATTAAGTATAAATGTTTGAAGGCAACTTAACCTGTTACCAGTTGATTAGGAATTACATATTCTATATGAAGATATTTCTTCCCCTGGTTTCGGATATCCAAGATTTAATAAGCGAATTTCTATTCTTCTACTGGAAATCCTACTATCACTAAAGTGAACTATATAAAAATGTATAATCACTTTAGATTCGATAAGCATTGTATAGTTTACTTTGTACTATGAACTTTGGAATTCCTAAAGTGTATTAATCGACAATTCATCAAATCTACATTATTTCATACATCTTATTCCCTTGAATGAAATGAATTCATCCTATTCTTCAGATATCCTCATGATGGTTTGATTTAAATCTACTCTAGTTCCTTATTCATGATATATTATGTTATCAAACCTTGAGCATTTCATAGATCCATGAACTGCTGTTGTTAGACAATGTGTTATAGGATAAATACAAGAAACAGAATCCATTTCCATCATAATACTTTTTACTATTTTATAATATAAAAAGTTTATTTAAATCAGTGACCTGATGTTAAACACATATCTATCAAAAATGTCACACAGAGGAACAGTATCACTTATTGGATTACATTTCGGATCCATACTCAATCATATAATGATATATTAAAATCTACCACAGTGCCCAAGTCTTACACTTATATTAATTTTCAAATAGGGCTTGAAGAACTTGTCCTAGTCGTGAAAAGATAAATCAGTCGAAATGTCATGGAAAATTAGCTGTTATAAGATTGGTGATAAACTTCAAACCGCATTATCATCTCCAAAATACCATTTTCGGTGAAGCCAGTAATCAGTTTAATTTGAACAATAAAGTCTAGCACAGTTTTTTTTCTGTCATGATTGGTTATTTGTTCCCCCATGAGAGCTATGAACTTTTGATTACTTGTAGTTGGATACAGCTGTTAATTCCCACCAAACTAATGCTAACATTTGAATTTTGATATCTTCCAACTACTTGTAGGATTGGCAGCTGACTGGCGGGAGGTGAACGGCTGTGTAAAAGTGTTAATCGAAGTGTAATTTAACAGTAGGAAGTAGTGACTGATATGACTAACAGCTAAATTTATCCCATGAGTCATATCAGCCTTTCATTTTTGTACACAGTTTCGATAAATATTGAGTAAAATTAGACCAGGGAGCGGTCAAAACATGAGGATACTGACTGAAGATATGAAATGAACAAGAAAATTTCTACCTTTCAGATTGCTGCCAGTGGTCTTAGACTGCATATGGTAAATTGGTATGGCGTTGCTGATAAGAATTGAAATATGTAGTATATGTGGGGAGGGTGGCAGAAATCATAGTGAATTACCAGCAGTGGGTGAGGACTTCGCCAAGAAAAACGCAAGAGACAAGGCAGGCGTATGAACAGCAAATCAGGAAAGAAGCAGAAGAGGAAATGAAGCATACTTTGCAAATGACGGTTTTAGTGCAAGGTGAATCATATTAAAGGACTGAGATCCCACTTGTTGACAGTAGTAGTTCCTTCATGCGTACCTACCTGCTGCTTCTTTCAGTATTACTGAAGATAGATCTGGTTGTTTGTACTCATGTGGATCTCGAGCGACCGACAGGTGAAGCAGCAGAGTATGATGGACAACTGGACAGTATCAGAACGGTCGCCGCGTTAGCCGTAAAACATGAAGGTCCTGAGTTCGATCCCTAGTCCAGAATGGAGTGCATACTGCTGAGGAGTCCTTTATTAAGACGAAACACTTATCCAGTACTCCAGGTTCCCGATGGTTTTCTAACTGATTTCAGTCTGTGATGAATACTACCTTAAAATATTGATCAGTTTTTGTTTATAAATAAACATGTTTTTCATATTTTCATACAATAAACAACGAACGACACGTATATTTTCCATAACATTTACACACTTACATACATGCGCTTTGATTATTGAATTGTTTTGATGACAGATGACAAAGACTGGATGATGCGTTTACTATGACTAGTTAGAAATAAGCGTTCTGAACGAGAAATCAACTAACCATCAGTGGTGTGAACACAGATATTTCTACATCTAGTGTTTGACAGTATACATTTTGCTGTTCGATAGAAATCCGAATATTCTGCTGAAGATGTGGCATATACAGCGAAATGTTTGGAAAATTTCGTGATTTTCAAAACAGGATTATATTAAAACTTACCCATATAATGATTAATGAGGACATGAAGCATGCATATCTAGACAATATTAATGAAAGTATTATTGCTTTTATTATACCGTCGTTGATTGGATTCCACTGCTAGCCACTATCCATCATTACTATATATAATTAAGACACAGGTAATATCGGGGCATCGGCACAGGAGCTCATACACCAATAGAAACCGATCGACTCAGCCCAGTCAATAATGGTATAATACAAGCAATAATACTCAAACTATACCAGTCACACAAGAAGTAAGCATCGTGGCTCGGTGGTCTAATGGATAACGCCCTGGCATTTTAAGCGAACTCTCCCGAGTCTGAATCCTGGTGGGAACAACACCACTCACTGGGAGGGAGGTACACCCAGCTGACGATCCCCAAGTAGGACGTGAATGCGCATCCCGGATTCCACTGATAGCCACTATTCATCATTACAATAATAATTTTTATCTCAGCGTTGTTGCGTGTATCATTAATACTATCTCAATGATGGTAGAAATAATGGGAACAGCATGGTACTGCAAACACTCAGACAATCAACGCAGGTCAAAACTTTAAAAAAAACTAAGGATACGCAGCACTAAGTGGTGAAATGTGTAGGTAACCAATGTCTAAGCAAATAAGCATGTTTGTTTAATACTGAGTGATGATTGAAGGTGAGATGAAAATTCAGACCGTCAACGGGTCTGCTACCCGATGCTTTACCAACTAGGCTACGAGGTCCGACTGCTGACCAGATTTCCATTTCACTTCAATCACCATAGGTTTTGTTGGACTACCATGTGAATTCGTGGCACGTTACTACCACTTGATCCTATTCACATTGTTTGCCTAATCAGGACTTCTTATCCCAATCCTAATCTAACTGAATTAGAGAGGGGGAGCATCATATTAACTATCATTTGACTATCTGAGATAGCTGTAGTTTGGTAGACAAGCATTTATACTGAAGTGATGATTGAAGATGAGATGAAAATCTGGACGGCGGCCGGATTCGAAAATTTAGGCCGGTGCAGATTTTCATCTCCCCTTCAATCATCAACCAGTATGAAATACTAGTCTGTCAAACTACGGCAAATAGTCAAATGAAAATTAACGTATTTCATATAGTGAAAACGATAATATAAACATGTGTGAAAAAGGGGAAAGACAAGAAGAGGACGATAATTGAATTTATCTTTGAAATCATTTAGTAAGTTTTCTCTGGCCAAGGCAGAGATAAAGGCCCCACAAACACCTTCTACATACAAACACAACTGTGAACCACTGAAAACCGGCCCAGTGGCTGAGGGGTTAACGCGTTCGCCGTGAAACCTGAACGTCCTGAGTGCGATCTCTAGCCGGGTTGTGGGTGTGTACTGCCAAAGAGTCCTGTACCAGGACGAAACAGCCTTCTATTGCTCCCAGACTTTCAATGGTTCCCCAACTGATTTTAGTCTGTGATGAACACATTTGGTTTCTTTAATTCCTATAGCCTCGGCCATGTGGAATACTACAGATAATTTTGAACACTTTGGTCTTTTCATAGCGTTGACGGTAGGTGCTCAACAACACGTTTGTTAGGCCACCTAGTTGCACGTCCCGCATTATCTTCTCCACAGGAACAGCTGAAGTGATAAGTACACATAGAAGTGGTAAAACTGGACAGCTTCTCTTTTGTCTGAGTAACAACCGTTCGTCAACTAGAAAATGATGAGCAAAGGTTAGTAGGATAGAAAGTTTTTCTAATGGCTGCAGACAGCCTCTCGAATTGAACTTCACCAGGTGAACAGTCATTTGTTCAGATTTCTTACTCAGTTTTTTCATGTGTCTCTTGATAAAACTATGGGGTAACCCATCTATACCTAGTATATCATGAATGTGTTCTAACTCCTTTTGTTTCAAATTGCCAGAGCAGATCCTTCTAACTCTGCTTGCAAGACATTTAATCAAGCTTTTTTTTAATATCGAATGGGCACAAAGCTAAGGAAATATATGTACTGATCGTAGATGTCATCTTTCTGTACACCCTTCTGGTAACTGACCCATCATCTCTTCTAGTCAATAGGGCATCTAAAAATGTAGCATACTTTCTTGTTCCTCTTCATAATTGAAAGTGAGAGAAGGATGTACGTCACTGAATTTTCTTAACAACTCGTTTTCTTTTAAGATCAGAGGTATGCTACTTAAATTTATGAAGGATTTTTTTTGATGATATTTGTGATTTCGCAAATTTAGTTAGTTTTTAATCTAGTTAATTAATGACAAGTACGAACAAACTTCTTGAATTTAGTAAGTAATTCCTTTAGTTTTTGGGATATGATATGTAATTTAATAAACTACGAGTATTATCTTTCTCAGCAATGGAGACAGTGACTGAATCCCTTTCTATACTGGGTAACCTGAAGTACATTTTCCATACACTAGTTAATTAAATTGTTTCAAATATATTCATTACTGTTTTCTAATTTAATTTTCAGAATTACGTATACATCGCCTAACTGAAGCAGATCAGCGTTTGTTCCTCTTTGATAACGGATATAAACCAGTATTCTCAGATGTTGATGCCAAGTCTTCCATTCTAACACCATTCCGCCTACTTTGGCGTTATGGGTTAAGCTTGTTCAAATCAAGGTTTTATGTAACATCTATGGTTCGTGAATTTATAAAGTTAGTAAGACCGAACTTTTGTTCAGCTATTTATCTTACTAGAAATATCTGAATTTATTCACTTGCATATTTTACATATGGGAAAGATGTTAGATTCAACGCATTCTTTCGCACTTAAAGCGTAGGGCTGTTATATATTGTATGTATGCCTGTTCATATACTTATCTTATGTAGAAATAGTATTCTTCATGGACTGATATCACTTAGGGAACCAATGAACATCTGGGAGCACTGGACAGCTGTTTCGTCCTGGTATCAGACTCCTCAGCAGTATGCACCCACGACCTGGCTAAGGATCCAACTCAGGACGTTCAGGTTTCACGGCGAACAAGTTAACCATTCAACCAGTGGGTTGGTTTTCATTGGTTCACAATTTCCAACTTCTGTCAATTCACGATACAGCGTGACTATCAGCCAAGGTCTTCAGTTAGCATCCGCTTCACTTACGACTGGTTAACCCCACAGGTCACGGCTTCTCGTTAGAACTTCCTGACATCCATCTGGAAGCGAGTCACTAATGAGCACTATACAGTAATGTATTTTTGAGATGAATGGTGATTTTTAATTTAGAGGTAGTATTCATCATAGACTGACATCAGTTGGGGAACCACTGAAAACTTGGGAGCACTGGATAGTTGTTTCGTCCGAGTATCAGACTCCTCAGGAGTATGCACCCACCACCCTATATCGCGAGTTGACAGAAGTTGGAAATTGTAAACCAATGAAAACCAACCCACTCGCTGAATGGTTAACTTGTTCGCCGTGAAACCTGAACGTCCTGAGTTGGATCCTTAGCCGGGTCGTGGGTGCATACTGCTTAGGAGTCTGATACTAGGACGAAACAGCTGTCCAGTGCTCTAAGATGTTCAATGGCTCCCCAAGTGATATCAGTCCATGATAAACACTACTTCCAAATTAAAAATCCCCACTCCTCTCAAAAATACATTGCTTATCTTATGTGTTTATTATATTTTCGACATGGAAACTAATTTACTCATCTTTGATTGGATAGACTTGATATGTCTCTATTGGCAGATGGGCTCCTAACGGTGTGCCTCTTATTGCTGTAAATTCAGGTTGACGGTGTCGGTGGAGTCCAGGAAATATTACTATCAAGACTTGGTTGTATTGTGTTCTCTCAGCTGAGTTGTTTACTTGTGGAGCTTTCATCATTTTTATAGACGACGCCTTCAGTACCAACTTTAAATGATTAATCCTGAGTCCAAGTCTCTATGGGAACACCCACTGGGAGGGATGTACATCTAGCTGATGAGTGCTAAGTAGGAGGAAACGCGCCCCTTGAATTCCACTGCTAACCACTATCCATCATCAATATATGCAGGATAGTTCATCGATACTCTCTATTTTCCTTTGCTATCCTGGGGGAAATTTCCCAACCTCTGTTGTCGGATCGCCTGGGTTCGAGTCCCAGTGGAAACCCTGTTCATTGGAGTGCGGAGACATTCAGCTGAAAAATCCCAAACAAGACAAAAAGTTCGTTTTGGATTCCACTGCTAGCATGCATGCATGACAAAATAAAAGAATTAAAAAATTCTGTCGTCATTTGTTAATGTGATAGCACCTTGTTATTCATAATTTTGTTCTACACAAACCTGAAGAATAAAATTCATCTGGTAATCATTATTTGATTTTGTGAATAATTCTGAAAGTAAAAGCTTTAGAGAAGCCGTTAATCCTTGTGAACAAAGAACTCATAATTTGAATACCATAAGAACACACATTGGTGTAGAATAGTATATGTACATACTTCTTTCATAGATTAGTGTCATCTACTTACAACATAAACACCACAAGAGTGGGACATATGGCAGAAAACCCAAATAGTTCTATCCAGCTGACAAGAAATAATTGGTGGAGATAGTAGGCAATATATATGAAGAATAGTGCAGACCAGGTTAAAAGGAGGAAATTGACTGAAATGTTGTGAAGGTTAACTCTTTTTAGGTCGATTAGATGGATCTTCTTTAAAGAGGCTAAAGAGTGGATAGAAACAAAAATTACTAGAAATGGAAAATAAGTATCATAGATTACGTAATTGTTTGAAATTAGTGAATTCATTCTAACTGTAAGAGTAAAATGAACAATATTTAGATAACACGAGTGAGCAATCTGAAGTAAAGCGAAGCGAAGAGGTATAATAATAGTATTGAATAATATGAGTGACTAGAAACTATTCACTTAGATTTGCAGATTTCGCCTACTAAATCACAGTGATCTAAGCATTAAACGTTGATTCCACTCATTTCGGCTAATTCTATCTCCTCATCAGCTGAAGCCGGCTAACTGACGTAGATGAGTCTGTTAGCCATAAATTAGATGGTCACTTTGCAACATATTTACAACCTGAACAACCCATCTTGATATTCCTCTTGGTTGTGTGATTTTTTAAACTGCGCAACTAAGATATCACACAAGGTTTCTGTTGGAAACCACTCAACCTAGATTACAAAGTGTAATCTTTCAAACCATTAAAATTCACTAAGCATTTGAGTGAACAAGAATATTCTTTTTGATAACTCCTTCTTCAGGTCCTACAGTTAATATGCACATATTGAGGAATTATACATGAATAACACTGTGATTTTGCTTATTAATTTGTTAATTACATTATGCAGTTGAGGAAGTCAATTAAGAAAAGTCTTATGTGAAGGTTCTCAATGAGTTCCTGAAGTATAACACTAAACTCACAGAGGCAAATATTACATACGATTTTATAAACGAGTTTATTGTGTTGAACCGCTATCTGAAATTGTTTCACCAGTCATTGCGTCTTAGTAAAGTGAGACCCAACTCAAAAACATTGAAAAGATATGCCTTAAATCAAATTAACCATTTTCGTACTTACATACAGGAAACGCAGATGGATGTCTTCCGAAGACAATATACAGTGGATGAGGTTCCAGGTTATCTAATATGCTGCTTTTTGGAACGTATCACACAGGTTACCATAAGAAAAACAGAAATTAGGCTCATTCAACTTTGAAACGAAGTTGACAGTTAAACAGTTGCTAGCAAATTCTCAATAAATCCAAAGAGACGTACATAAATATTCTAGCGTTTTCTTAGATATACTGGCACTTGAATTAGTGTCTCTAGGTCTTATGTTTTGTGATAGACAAAGCCACATCAATCTCATAAGATACCCATACACAGTGTGGAAAGCTATACAGTTAGACAACCGATCTGGTTCCATCATCCAGTCTAGAACTAGAACGTTCCCAATATAATCTGGTTGATTGTTGCTATCAATATACGAGCAGTAAACATAACTGTAAAAGTATTTTAACTAAAAAACACAGGAAATCTATCAAAAATCTTGTTAACGATGAAGGAATAAGAGTAGTTCTTCTTGATAAATGTGACTACTTAAACAAGATGGATGGAATACTGAATGATAACATAGAATTTCAGAAACTGAACGTTTAAAAAGACCTGACTAACAAAATAGAAAGAGAATTTACTAAATCTCTAAAGAAATCAGTAGAACAATGTATAATATCATCAAGCATGTATGCTACATTGAAACCCACGGGCATGAAGTCACCGAGATACTGAGATACACACACCACGCGTGCCACTAAGAATGACTCTTGATATGCTAAATTCTCTCTATAATAATCTAGCGAAACAGATGGTCACCATTCTCCAATCTTTACACAAACAGCTAGCAAAACATTATGTGAAGGATGTATTTGAATTTAAAGGCATAATTAAGGATGCTAATAACATGAATAAAACTGGATGTAACATCTCTGTTCACCAATATTCCCTTTCTTGAAACAGTCAGCTACATAGGTGAACATTTGTAAGAAAAGTCTATCAAAGTTTAAATCCCGAAAGATGTCCTCAAAGAATTATTTCTCAAATACACGATGAATGTTAACCTTAAATTTAACAGTGAACTATGCAGACAAGTGGATGGAGTTGTAATGGGCTCACCAATGCACTTCATATTAACAGGCCTTTTTCTATCGAAACTAGAGAATGGTTTACTTGAACGGTCTATCAGAAAATCTTTATTTTACTGTCGATATATAGATGATAAATTCATTTTGTGCAAAAGTAACAGGAACTGGTCGGAGATACTCAGTAGATTCAACACAGTAGATACACCCAACGATTAAGTTTACATGTGAGGAAGAGTTACAAGGCAAAATAACTTTTCTTGATGTTTTTCTCTCAAGACGAAAAGATGGGTCGATATACAGGAATTTGTTTGAGAAAAGTACATGGATGGGGCAATTCACACATTTTCTCAGTTTCATCCCCCTTCAATACAAAAGAAATATAGTAAACACTTTAGGTTATAGAATAAAGGCTTTATGTGTGGTAGATGCGATTGAGGAGAAAATGGCCACTTTGAGCAACACACTAATCGGAAATGGCTATCCTGATAAATTCATGAAGAAACATTTGAATACAAAACTAGCAAGAAAGGATTTTCCAATGGCTAACAGAAAACCACTGTACACTCGGATACAATTTATTGGTGAGGTGCTCAGGGAGATATTAATTCACAAACTAAGCAGATCAATTCAGAGAACTTTTAATGCTGGTAAAATACAAATTTCTTTCCCACATCCCTGATAGTGACGCCAAAACTGAAGGATAAATTGCTTAGACCGCCCACTTTCTGTTGCGTTTACCAGTTCAACTGCTCCTTTGGAGCCAGTTGAGTCCGCTGCTGCCATAGATATTTTATTTTCCGTTCTCGTGAACATCTGCCAACGTGGTAATGTAAAGGTGTGGTCGAAAGGAAACATAAAGTAGATATGAATAAGTCGTTTTCCATTCCCTACCGGATTCTTACTAACTTTCCAAATAATACCTGGTTCAGTATCCTTCAAAATGCAAAAGTAGTAGCAATTAGGATAAAGCAACCTGAGTTATGTGTTCAAAAAGGCAAGTATTGCCGTTACAACTACCTCGGCCGGATTTAAGAAGTACAAATTCATTAGCATCCCAAGTCGGATAATCTAAAGTCATACTGTAGATACCCTTTCATCCTTACAATCCGAAATATCTCTAACAAACTCTCTTAACCTGTTCTCTCCTCCAGCATGAGTAACATTATATCAAGCTATTATTTTTCAAATTATCCAACTCTCAAAAACACCTTCCTATTGTTTGATTAAACCATCAGTATTACCCGCACTGTATAATCTTAGAGATAATCAGTTATTTTGAATTATATCCTAGTAAAAAATTATTCTATCATTAACGTTCACACAAGACTTCTCTCAACTGACTTCCTCAACTGTATAATGTTATTAACAAACTGGTAAGTAAAATCTCAATATTATTGATGCATAATTCCTCAATATGTACAAATAACTGTAGGACCTGAAGGAGAAGTTATCGAAAAGAATATTCTTGTCCTCTCAAGTGGCTTTTGTAATCTTTCACACAAAATTTTCAGAAACTGACGAAAAATGCTGCAGAATAAAATGAGTAATTAGAAACTATTGCTGTCATAAGGAGAACATGAGCATGTCGAATGTATTCTTTCAAATACCTAAATTAGGTCCAAGCATTCCAGTGGCGGTGACTTCAATTAGTTAGGATCAGGTTGAACTTTTCTGTCTGTTAATTATTATTTTAAATGACTCAAGATTCTGCACTATCAGGTATCAAGTAGATGAGGAATGGTCAAGGTATTCAGCTCTTGTATGCGCTTCATTCCATGTTCTCGTGGATTTCCTTGGAAACCCTGACAATAACCCTTATCTACGTTCTTGTAGTATACTGATTTCAAAAAATGCATACCGATTGGTTAATACAATGAAGGATAACATGAGAATGAATGTTGCTCAGTTTTGAACTGTTTGACATGAGTAGATCGATTTGGTAGCAAGACACACCTTTTTCGGTATGAAATTCAATTTGCGCTTGATTCTTCCACCACTTTTCCCATCTTGGACGTCAAGTTGTAGAAAAACAGGTACTGACTTTGTGTGATTAACCGTTAGTGGGCAAGTACTTCACAACTGTCACTAACTCTTCCTTAAGATTATCGTTCGAATATAATTTTCTATTACGGCTGAACAGCTCTCAACCAAATTACTTTGTAGCGCATAGAAGCGATAAAAGTCCAAATAAAGCCCATTCTATGTCTCCTTCGAAGGAATGTATCTTTGGATTTTGCCATGTCTTATGCAGAGTATCAAAATCTACGAGACGTAAGTTATTATTCTGCTCATTCTCCAGTGTAAATCTTACATTCGGATGTAGATTTTTGTGAAGATTCAGTGAGCGGAAAGTATGATTTTGGTGCTCATATTTTGTTCGATTTTGAACTGTAGGGTCGGATGAAAACACTGACTTATGAAAACTTTAAAAAATAAGTCTCTTACCTTGTTAAGGAACTGTCAATGAAAATCGCTCCCTGTTATATTGAAAGGTCTGTAATCCAATCCAGTTATCTGTATTTGTGTTGAGTCAGTGTTACAATGAAGATAAAGTCTCACCAATTGGAACGAGAAACATTAGAAAGACGCTGAAGAATACTGTTTGAATAGAACACTCCGTTTTCACACTATCTGAGTCTAATGCGGTCACCTTCGTTAAAGTACTTCATTTCTTGTAGACATTTCTTAAGTCTAATTTTGAAGCTTAGGTTCTCTTACTGACCGTACACAAGTTTCCATATAGGATATTTTAAACTTTCGTATATATGTTGTCAGTGTTTTCCGCTTACAGGTTGTTATCATCTGTGTACTGTAGACTGAGGGCTAACCAAACCAGTAAGAGACGTTTTTCTATCTTACAGGCAGATGGAAGCATCGCTTAGATGAACTCATTCGAGCTTTTTCTAATGTCTTTTGATTTGATGCAGTTTCTTTTTTCATTTCGTTCACGTGAAGCCTAATGATTTGTTTTCAAGTATGTCTAAAAACTTTATAGAAGCTCAAATCAGTTTCTATTCTCAATTTGTACAAACTGCGTACATGATTCACCAACTTCACCATTTAGATTACTGACTATATCCTTTCTTTGAAACTTTTATCATTATAATCAGAAGATAGTCTGAGGTAGTTTACTGTATAGAGTTTTTTTTACGTAGTCTAATCACATACTACTTTCTTACATTTCTGCGTGCATTTGCTGTATTATAAATGAGGGCATTTCCTCAATAGGTTCCCAGTAAATGTTTATTTGTCTTTCACTAATTGCCCACCAACAGGATTTATCAATTACAAGATCAGGGTGATTGTTTCGATTCTCCAGCTTTGCTTTTGAAGGCATTGTCTAAAGAATTTCCTGAGATGACAAAGCACAGCTTTGCAGATTGGATGCAGAAGCAATCGATAGCGAGTGAGAAGTATATGAATGAACTTTCGTTTGGTATACTTTCAAACATTTATTGTCATGATTTGGATGTTCATGCATTTGTTGGTGAGTTTGGTTGAAATTTAATTAGTCTTTGACTGTTTCAACGAAGTATATTGTTAGAATAAATTGTTCAGGATTTGCCTGTTGCCTAACTTTTCATGTGATAGGGTGTTCAACTCCATGTTTTATGCTAAGACTGCTTAACTGAAACATTCTTAATCGGTGACTGTTCATTTACTATAGGAATATTCGGGATTGTTAGATCAATGAGACATTTCTGCAACGCTTCCTAAAGTGACATCAAAAACCGGAAATTCAGTGGAAAAGACTAATAAATTTATTCTCAAGTTCTACATTTGTATAAGTACGAAATTATCCGAGAGGAAATTTAAATAATGGTGGTTATAGTTATTATTGTTATAAAACTGCTGGAAGTTGAATTCTATGAAGAATTGGTTATGTAAGACTTCCAGCTCTTTCATATGATGTCCATACGTTACAAAGAGATGAAAAAAAATGATTAAACCAATAAATGATCAATGCAGTTGGTAACATGAATAAAAAAAGTTAATTCAGATGAAATGAAGACATGTTTCTGCTAAAAGTCTTAGTTATTAGAAAGATTCAATAAAGGTAACACCGAAAACTATTGAGTGCAAAAGTGGTAGTGACAACAATGATAATAAAAAGATTGTACAGAGTATTTTAAAGAGTAGAGAGATCAAATGAAAAAGGAAAAGCAAAATGATGTTTAAGCCAAGGTACAGACAAGGATATTTTTTTGTAGACAATAGTTAAGATATAGTTCTTCAACATATAAACCATGTGAGTGATAATTATTTTGACTATCTCAGTTGTGGTTTGACAGACTAGTATTTGCTCTGAATGGTAATTGAAGGTGAAGTGAAAATTTGGACCGCTGCCGGATTCAAACCAGAGAACATCGGATTTCTGGCCTGATCCCTATGACTTCCAACTACTGACTAGACCAGAGAGTTAAAATGCTAATCAATATGATGCTCCCCCTCCCTAACTCAGTCAGTTTTGGATTGGGATGAGAACTCCTAACTAGCAAATCAGTGTGAATACGACCAAGCGGTAGTAACGTGTCATCAATTCACATAGTAGTCGAACTAAGCCCTTAGTGATTGAAGTGAAATAAAAATCTAGTCAGCAGCCGGACCCCGTAGCTCAGTTGGTAGACATCGAGTCATAAACCTGTTGGTCGCTGGCTGGAACCCGGTCGTGGTCCAAATTTCCATTTCACCTTCAGTCATCATTCAGTACAAATATAAGCCATATGCTGTTTTTATAAGTGAAAAATAAAGAAAACGTGAAATACCTTAACGAACTTGATAAAAAAAACCATGAAATTATTGTTAAGATCAGTTGAGCGGTGGGAATTATTCAAATGTTCAGGCGTGGAATCTGCAATGTAATTCGTGCCATCTCTCCAAAATCACACTGCTTTTGTAGATAAGTCACTGCCAGTCTCTGACCGCAGTTGATGTATCTTGTTTCACAAAAGTAGGTTAACTGGTAGATACATATGAATGCAGCTAGTCGGAGGAGATCGCATTAAGTACGCACAGACAATAATTTACTGTTGATGAATGTTATCTGACGACTGTCTTCGCATGCCTTTTACTCTTATTTTTTACTGATACAATGTCAATGGTTGCCGTTTTTAGTAAGCGTACATACAGGGAAAGCTAGTTCTTATCTACCATAATATATCGCTAATAAAATATTAGGATACATGGCTTCTGACCGGTCCTAGTATCTCAACTATTCACTGACATGTAAAACAATGAGGAGAATCTGGCATATCTCAGATCAAACGAATAGGCAATTGCACTTCATATATTTTTAATAATCCATACGGATGTAGAATCTCTGATCCAGTGGATCGAGTGTGTTCAGCCAAAACGGAGGAAATTGTTGTATTTTTCTCCATGTTATTAAAGACACCTGTACGTTTCTTCTCAGTCTGTTGTGTTTTGTTCACTTCACCTTTAATCTTATAGAATTTCTATGATCGGAAAGAACTACTGGGAATGGCTTACTAGACCCAGAAATGAACGCATTGCCGTAACATCTATCGGATAAGGCACAAAACTTATCGCACTAGTATTAGCTGGAAAACACAATAGCCTTGATATTTTCTACACTTTTCTAGTAAGACATTTAACCAATCTGAATCTCAAGTGCTTGATCACGCGGCTTATCGTGAATGTTCGACATACTAGGTGAAAGCTTTCAAGGAATTTCAGGCCCTATTTATAGAGTCTAACCTCGCCTGGTTAACTAGTTTACTAGTTACTAGCCGGTCCTAAGCCCGGGTAAAGAGGGAAGGTTGGGCATAGGGCTAGCAACCCTACCCCGTAAAACAAATCTAACCGCTAAAGAAACTTCAAAGCACAAACAAAATATAAAAAATGAAAACAAACTTATTCCCCGCTGGAATCGGAGAGGCGAAATGACGCCAGTTGGTGAAAGCCTTCGGGAAGCCAATTGGCCGATGTGTCTTCTCTCGATGAAAGCGAAAGTAAACGTGGGGACATGGAATGTCCGCACGATGTTTGAACCCAGTAAGGCAGCCCAGATTGCAAGGGAGATGAGAAGGTATAACATCGAAGTGCTTGGGATTTGCGAAAGCAGATGGAATGGGAGTGGACTCTCCAAACTGTCAACTGGAGAATCAATAATCTACTCCGGTCACCCAGACGCCAACCACGAGCACACTGAGGGAGTGGCTATCATGATGTCCTCAAGAGCATCGAAGGCTCTCATGCAGTGGGAACCAATCTCCTCCAGGATCATGACAGCAAGATTCAACTCAAAAGGAAGAAAGGTCACAATCATACAATGTTATGCACCTACAAATAATGCAGAGCAAGAGAAAAAGGAGGATTTCTACAGACAACTTCAATCAACACTGGACAAGACGTCAGTTGGCGATATCAAAATTCTGATGGGCGACATGAATGCCAAACTGGGAGGGGACAACACGGGAAGAGAACTAACCATGGGTCGAGAGGCACTAGGTGAAATGAATGAGAATGGAGAATTGTTTGCAGAATTCTGCGCATTCAACGATTTGGTGATTGGAGGCAGTGTGTTCAGGCACAAAGATATCCACAAAGCGACATGGATTTCACCAGATGGACACACTAAAAATCAAATCGACTTTATCTCAATCTCAAGAAAATGGAGACGCAGTCTACTTAACACAAGGTCAAGAAGAGGAGCAGATGTAGGTTCAGACCACTACCTAGTGCAAGGAACCTTCCAAATCAAGTTAAAAGCCTTCAAGGAAGCTGGTGATAGACCTCAATTCAAGTACAACACTCGGAAACTGAAGGATGAAACTACAAAGGAGATCTTCAAGGCAGCCATCAAGACAAAATGGGAGACATCGAGCAACATCCCTGAAGAAACCTGTGTGGAAGAACACTGGAAGTCTTTGAAAGCTATGTGGAAAGAAACCTGCACAACAGTATTAGGAAGGAAGAAGAAAGAAGACAAGGAATGGATCTCGACAGATACCTGGAAGCTGATAGAGGAGAGGAGGATGGTGAAGCAGAAGATAAACCAGTGCAAGGATGCTCAACGACAAGAGGAACTGAGCACAATGTATAAAACACTGGACAAAGAAGTGAAGAAGAGTGCACGCAAAGACAAAAGACACTTCTACGAAACACTGGCAAGTGAAGCAGAACAGGCTGCAGGTAAGAGAGACCTGACGACATTGTATCAAATAACCAGGTTGCTATCAGGGAAGAGACCAACACAGATGAAACCAATAAAAGATGAAGAAGGAAATTTAATTACAAAGGAAGAGAAACAGAGGAAACGATGGGCCGACCACTTCAAGAAGCTCTTGAATCGACCACCACCTGCACTTCGTCCAGAAATACCACCTGCAGCCGCTGAACTACAAGTGAACATAATCCCCCAACGAAAATGGAAGTCCTGAACGCCATAAAGCTACTGAAATGCGGGAAAGCAGCAGGACCAGATGGAATACCGCCAGAAGCACTGAAAACAGATGCAGAGACAACAGCGGACATGCTCACACCACTATTGCAGAAGGTGTGGAAGGAAGAGAAGGTACCTGACGATTGGAAGAAGGGTTACCTTGTCAAACTGCCGAAGAAGGGAGACCTCAGTGCTTGCAAGAACTGGCGCGGAATCACTCTCCTGTCCACCCCAAGTAAAATATTAAGCCGCATCATCCTGGAGAGGCTTAAAGATGCACTGGATTCAAAACTACGACCGGAACAGGCAGGCTTCAGGAAGTACAAATCATGTGCAGACCAAATTGCAACGCTTCGTATCATCATAGAACAGAGCATAGAATGGCAATCACCTCTCCACCTCAACTTCATCGACTTTGAGAAGGCCTTTGACAGCGTCGACCGAGAAGTAATTTGGAAACTGCTTCAATACTACGGAGTACCGCAAACCTTTATCCGCCTCATTCAACAACTATATGAAGATGCTACATGCCAAGTAATCCACAATGGGAAGCTCAGTGATGCCTTTGAAGTGAAGACAGGAGTGAAACAAGGTTGCCTACTATCCCCCATGATATTCTTGATTGTGGTGGACTGGATCATGCAGCAAACAGTAGGCAGCGAGAAGAGGGGGATACACTGGACGACGGAAAAGAACCTAGAAGACTTGGATTTCGCCGATGACTTATGCCTAATGTCACATAAACTTGAAGATCTGCAGGCAAAAACTAACAAGTTGATAGAAGAGGCAGCGAAGACGGGACTTCAGGTGAATATAGAGAAGACAGAAGTGATGAAGATACCGCACCACCACCATCAACAACAACAACAACAAACTCCAATCACTGTCAACGGGAGAAACTTAAAGGAAGTAACCTCCTTCACTTATCTAGGAAGCACTGTTTCAACTACAGGCGGGACGGACGAGGACGTCAAAGTCAGAATCGGAAAAGCAAGACAGGCATTCATTAGCCTGAAACCAGTGTGGAGATCTTCTGCACTCAGCATGCGGAACAAGATACGGATTTTCAACACCAACGTCAAGTCAGTGCTCTTGTATGGCTCAGAGACTTGGCGCGTCACGAAAGGTATTTCCAATAAACTACAGACATTCATCAACAACTGCTTACGCTCGCTGCTGAAGATCAGATGGCCAGAAAAAATAAGCAACAAGGAACTCTGGGAACGAACCAACCAAGAACCTATCACGCAACAAATATGCAGGAAGAAGTGGAGATGGATTGGCCATGCACTGAGAAGGCCGACTGAGGACATCACGCGTCAGGCCCTCGAGTGGAATCCCCATGGGAAGCGACGAGTTGGACGTCCGAGGGTGACATGGAGGAGGTCGTGCGAGCAGGAAATGAGAGCTTCTGGGCTGTCGTGGGACCAGGTTCAAAAGATCTCAGAGAACAGAGGTCACTGGAGGCGTGCTACTGAAGCCCTATGTTCCACTAGGAACCCAAGGGACTAATAATAATAATAATAATAATTTATAGAGTCTAGGATGTATTAATTTACTCCATAACAGCTTTCATAGACTGAGCCGGTTAAATTTTTATTATAGCTTAATTCAGCCATTGCCAATAGCTGATAAATCTGCAATTCTATCCTGTCAACATATCATAAAATGAAGCTTGAGGTACTTCCAAAAAAGATTTTCTCTTGAATAACGTATTATATACTCGATGAAGTTTAATCCTTTCAACAGTATGAAGTGAACCTAAATGTGAATTAGTGATTTTAGGTAACAGGATTTTGTGTTACATAGAGGTGGTTCCACTTTAGCTCATTTAATAGTTCCTATTCATACCTATGAAATTGTAAATGTGATTTTGATCTTAATATAAGAGTAAAACTTGGGTACTATGGTCGATTGTAATCCCACTTTAGTCTGTTTATTAGAAATATCACACATTGAAACAGTAGAATTTACTGGATAACGCTTCAGACACAATTTATTGTCCATATTCATCTCAGGACCTGATATGAACATGGACAATAAATTGTGTCCGAAACGTTATCCAGTAAATTCTACTGTTTCACTGTGTGACATTTCCAATAAACAGACTAAAAGGATTTTAATCTTCTGTACAACTTCTAATGTCTGTTATCTGTTTGTTTAATGTCAATTGATATGGCCGTATCCATACACAAAGTAGATTGTTTCTTTCAGTAAGTCTGTAGAATGATCATTTTTATCTTTCTAATTTACCGATAAATTCAAGGATTAATCTCTTCAACCTGTTCAATGTCTGACCTATACTTTGTCGAAGGTGGAGCTGAACAAATTCCAAAGAAGCTGGTTGAGACTGCTTTGATAGAGAATCCAGCTGATGTATCAAAGGAGTTCATACATGCTACGGTCAAGAAGATAATAAGAACTGAAAATAATAGGTAATTAAACTGTTTTACAGACTTTACGGTTACTGCATTCATCGAATAGCCAGTCAACAACTCATAATAGCTTTGTTACCATTATGCCGGTTACTTTATTATTAGGGCTTATTGATGTTTCGCTATTTGTGAAAAAGATGTTCTTTTACGTACCATGAGGTCACCTACTCCAACTAACCAACTGTTTTGTTTGTAATACTAATCATTCTGAGTAAGATTGACTTGTAAAAAATAAACCTTAAATCTAGTTGAAAGTTGGGATGAAGAGTACTTCTTAAGGGTGTGACACTTCGAACTCTATCTGTTAATAAGATTTCCCATTTTCTCAAGCTATTTGCTTTTAGTCTGGTATTTCCTGAAAATAAGGAAAGCTTTAAAGAATGAAAGTTTCGACATATACCTTTACTTCTATAGTGTATTGAGCTATATGTTTCATAACATGAAGGTAGTAACCGAACCTATATCAGGTAGAAATATATGTCGTACGATTTCTTCGAGCTTTTCATGTGGAAGCTGTCAGTTCTTCATTTGAAATTGTTTACTTGACTTTTGAAGACCTTTCTCTGCACATGTTTAGTCAACATTTACTTCTTATTAAAAACTGAGATTGGTCAAGCAAAGATTTTGCATAATGGATCGACAAGTTGGACCTTATAGTATTTCTGACCGTCATAGTTGAATACTTATAAACTCTTCTCCATAACTACATGCGAAAGCGTGAATTTATGAAGGTAAAATGTCTTTCTTCAGACCTTCAACCTTCTAGCGTAGACTAACTTCTTTGAGAGTAGCGCTAAAGATTAATTTCTATCTAATTCTATTTCATTTGGCATTTCAGATGCATCACAGACTGGCCAAACTTTGTTGTTATTCCTTCGATCTAATCACGTTTGAATGAACACGTCTACATACACCGAACTGGAACAATTTTACAGATATTTTGTCTCATAACCATTAAACCTCAGTTATAGTTTACTTAGTTATCTGTGCTAACCCTCTATAATTCAAGTGCAAACCATTCAGTTCACCAATTAAAGCATCTGTTTGGTTTGATAACATTTTAATTTCACTTGGGAAGACTTCAACATCATTCCTTCTAAGTGGTTATTTTAACCTCTTATTACTTAATACAGATTGCGTTTATCCTATGAGTTAAAGAACAGCGATGCACCTGAGGAATCTTCGTTCGACTATGTGATTTCGGCAATACCCCATCATCAAGAATCAACTCTCATGACCTCAGATGATATAAAACTACCCAAGGTACAATATCATGCAATGAATAACACACTTTTATCGGGTAATATAAACTATTCCTTGTTTGGATTGCCTCAAAGTGAGTTGCACTTTTCAAACAAAACAATATCTGTTTGGTTGCTTAACACTTTTATAGCTAAAATGATTTATAGCTCAGCTTTTCTTTTGAATTACAGATGCTTTACAATGTAATCAAATGGTGTCGTTTCTACCCATCTCTAATTACCATTCACATGAAAAACATCCTGTGCGAAGTATAATGCACTTACCGGTGAAACCCACGAACACTGAAGCACCAGATGGCATTTGGAGTATATTTTCCGAACCGAAATCCATACCGGACCCAAAAACATTCCTATCAAATTTAATTTTGAAAGATCCCAATGATGAAGAAAATCGTGTTGACGTGATAAGATGGTTAGCGTATCCAAAATATCATCCTGTTGTGAGTGAATATATATATATATATATATATATATATATATATATATATATATATATATAACCTCGCCTGGTTAACTAGTTCACTAGTTACTAGCCGGTCCTAAGCACGGGTAAAGAGGGAAGGTTGGTGAACAGAGTTCACTGGAGACGTGCTACTGAAGCCCTATGTTCCACTAGGAACCCAGGGGATTAATAATAATAATAAATAATGTATATATATATATATATATATATATATATGTATATATAAATTGATGTGTGGTTATGTGAAATGGGGTTCTCTGAAGTAATGCCATTAGTAATGGCTAGCCATTACTTAGTATAAATTTCTTATTATTCAACTAAACTGACAAGTCATTGTGGAAAAATATTCAACCATCGGATACCTGTTGTAATTGGGCTTGTGAGTCATTGTGACCGAATGAACTCTGCTGACAGGAACAATTAATTTTCGAGTTCGTACCATACCAGAAAAGTATGTGTTGGCAGTGGTTAGACAGAAAGAAATTACTGTGATAGTGTGAATAGTCAATGTTCATGAGTGTGGATGGTGGGGGCTGGTGTCTAATGATGAAGATGAAGTTATACCGCTGAGTGTACTGTACAGAGTGTGGCAATAGTAAAGTATTTGTGAAGGTTAATCAGGATCGCGTATTGATGCTGACTTTGTTTATTGGAAGGAGGGGGTTAGAAAAGATTTCCAATGTAAATGGAACTCCCCTTTTCGCTATGCCGCCTTCTGGTTCTAAACGAAGCGTAGTGAACTAAAAATTGAAAGCTCTACAGCTTCATTAAATTCTCAATATTCATAGCACTAAAATATCGACAAATCCTACTTGACTGAGATCAGTCAGTTAAAGCAGAGTAAAGGAAATTGAAGGGAAAGGTCATGTCAGGGTGTTAAAGGATAATGGAAGTAGGTTACCAGAGCAACTGAAGACTAACAAGGAATCGAAAGTTGAAATATGCTGCATGCGTATGGATATTGATTACTCATAGATGGCATACTGTGTTGAACTTTCATAAACTGAAATAATGAGAGAGAGTTAGTAATGAATGTTTTTGTTGTATTGGTTTATCTGGGCTCTGTTGTTTAATTGTAAAGTTTTCAGTGTCTTTCTAGTCAACATGGGGAAAACTGATTTTACAGTGAATGTCAGAGAAGGCAACACAACGAGAATCATTTCCCTGAGATGCAATTATTCCGAACCATTTCAAAGTTAATAGTGTCTTACGTGGTTTGTTTTGTTGACATTATAGAGTTAAGGATAATTGTTTGTTCTGTTTGTTGTCTTTATGTTGAATACTTTTTCGCCAGTATCTATATATATATACATATATGTTGACAAGGTAATTATTCCTGTTTGAATTTGAATCCAAGGCTGATCCATATACAGATTTAGGACAGTTCAAGTTGGCCCCGGGAGTGTATTATCCTAATGCTATTGAACTTGCTGCTTCATGCATGGAGATGGCTATAATTGGTGGACGTAATGTGGCACTTATGATTGCAAAAGAAAGAATTCCACCAGTGGATTCAGCTAGTTCATCCTAGAGAACGTTAAAGAGATTTTGAATGCTTTATCAGTTATTTGCCACTAGTCGCTCATAGCATTTCTGTCTGTAAAAGCTATAACTCTTTTGAAACTTTCTAGTTCTCTACTACTAAAGTGTAAACTAATATCTGATTCCACTGTAATGTTCAAATTTCTTCAAAACTTTTGGATGATTACGTAATTAAAGAGAGTGCCTTTAAATACAGTGGCGTTTTCGTGTAAATCATGATTTAGTATTTTAACTTATTGATTGTCTTCATTGAGTATTTATTATCTTTATTTATTTATTCTTCAAAATAATGACTTTTTGACCTACAGACTGGATTCCATAAGAATCTGGATTTAAAAGTACTCCACGTCAGACATGAGCTCGGGAACAACAAACTCAAGGAAACTGGGTTCATTCCAAACCTGGGCAAGAAAGCATCGATAGGACCTTAAACCTTCGATAGGTTTCGCAACGCAGGTATTCTTGCGTTACCCCTGATTCACGCTTGTCAGATAGAAGATGATACTTAAGAACTGGTCTGCAGCTACACTCATTTTAAGGATAGAGAGTGAAGTGGTAAAATGCGTCTCTTACCTGAAAAATTGCCGACTAAATCTTAGCTGAGATAGATAAGGTTCGTTTGGCATTTGTCCACTTACGTCACTGACGATGATAACGAGATATTCGACTTTATAAATATCCTAACCAAGTTAAGATTTGATGCTCTGAAAAAATGTGAGCATTGGGTAAATGATATTCTTAGTTTTATTATTTGTATTTCCTAATGAATGTAAAACAAACAAGTATTAAAATAAAGAGATATCTGAATGCTAATCAAAAGATAGGTATAATAAGGAAGAGTTCTCTCAGTCCTATCATACAGCAGACACATTACTAAGACCTGAAGTACTGTTGGGGTGTGATGAGACCACCGTGTGAGCGGTTTGTAGGGTAATCGAAAGGTAATAGGCTAAGAAAGCAGGTCAGACGGTGACGACAGGAACCATCATCAGTTGAAGTGGCATGAATAGGTGTTGCATATTCCATAATCTTACTTCCCCGACATGACGATATTAGTATTGGTACTATTTTGAAGGAACGAAGCTGACGGGGGTTAGACCAAGATGTGACATCAGTCCATAAAGCCTCTCACTTTTGGTCCGACCTGTGTAAAGAGGTGCAGATTATCTGTTAGGATTTACGAGATGGTAATAATCAGGGGTCGGAGATGGTTGAAAATAAGCCAGCATGGCAAATATGTATTCATTCTTTGACATCTTCCAAAGTACAAACATTTTCCACAACCTTCATCATTGGATTTCTTCTCCTTCTAAATTGTCTTGATACCACTTTTTTCTACCGATTTGCTTCTTGAATGCTGTTTTAAATATGGCAACTGGAACCAATGCACTTTTAAGACACATTCCACGTTGTTTTGTCTATATGTCTGGATGTTATAAGAATAGAAGAGGGTAGGATAAAAGAATATATAAGTGCGACATGGGGATTCAGATGAAGATAATGTGTGCAAATGCACCACTGAAATCAATAGTGAAGCAAATCACTTACATTCTTCAACCACTAAATTCATCTGCCACTCTGATCCCAACCAGGCTACCTAAATTCACCTACTGGACTAACAGCAGCAGTCAGTAATTTCATGATCTGATAACAATTACCGTCCCAATTTATCCTTCTCATACTTTACTGTTACCAGTCTAATAATATTTGCCAGGGTGATTGCAGCCTATGTTCTTCTGATAAAATTCTGAATGTCCATTGAGCTAAATAGCTTTGATCGCTTCACACGGTCAAAAAACCTTTCATTTTGTCAGCGTTTTCATGCAGAAAGATAATATCATCTGCATACTCCAAGTCAACCAGATGACCTCCAGGGAGTAGGTCAATTCCTATGAAGTCACACGGGCACAAGGTTATATCCATTCTTGCACCCATGACAAAGTTAAGTAGGAACGTGGACATCCTTGGCGGACATCTCTAGTTGTCGTCAATTCTGATGACCACTCTTTATTAACCTTACATGGTCACGTGAGTTCCAGTAAAGAGCTTTGATTACTGTTATATGCTTCCTTGGTACTCTTTTCCTAGCCAGACACTTCCACTTTACCGTCGACTGTATCGAATGCTGCATCTAGGTAACAATTATTGTAAGTGTCGGCAGCTGGGAGGTGAGTATGGCTATGTTGCAAAACCTATCTAGTAGTGAAAATATAATTAATACACCCTTGTTCAGGTTTGAAATCTGCCTGGTTTTCTCGAGTTTGCTCTTGTCGAGCTCCAGTTCTGCTTCGGATAATTATGGACCCTTAGACACAATACTAGTAAAACTTAATCCCCTTTGGTTGTCACGATAAGATTTTTCTCCTTTCTTATAGACTGGGATGATCAGTGAAGTAGACCAGTCTGATGATATTACCTCTGATTCCCACACACTACATGTTACCTCCGTCACTTTAATTAGCGATTTCCCACCTCCATCCTTGAAAAATCTGGTTATCAAACTGTCAGGTCCTACTACTTTGCATCATTTCAGCTTTGATACACCTTTCTCAACTTCAAGGAGATTTGAAAGCGACATGTACTTCCAATTCAGGTTCAGACTGGAAGTTGGACAACTGAAAAGTTCCCGAAGACCAGTGAAACTGGGTTTCAAAGTGATCTGGGCAACGTACTAGCCACCTGTCCTGAAAGGTTATAAGCGTCCCGCCCTTTTCCATGATTGTTTCACTCACCATCGTCTTCTTCTTGCCAGTGTCCTTAATAAGCCTAAATTGTTGTAGAATTAAACCCAACGCTGATGGCTTCTATATCTTGCTTTTGTCACTAACCACTGCTCACAGTCGACGCGAAGGCACTTGGTTGACTTACGTTTAAGCTGCTTTCGCTCTTCATCGCGGTCGGAGCCAGCTGGAATCAGTCTTCTCGCATCAGTCAGTTTCGATGACGTCACGGAAATCCAATGACGTTTGCTAACCTTCGGGTGTAGGTCATTAACTGTCTTTACCTCTGTTTCTACAACACACCTAATATAACACCAGTTTTCCTCAGAATGAGCATTGTTGTCATGTTCAGATAAATGCTTATCTATCTCTCCCTTTCATTTGGACTTGATGTCCTCATCTTCCAAATGACCGTAGACAGGATTCACTATCGTCCCTTTCTTGCGACCACTAAGGCACAAACATACACGAGCCTATACTAGGGCCTGATGACAGTGCAAACTGGTACCCCAGAAACAGCTGTAATCCTTCACCAATTCTCTCCAACTACGGTTTTTAGCAATGTGATCTATCTGTGTCCACTGTTGGTTTGAAGTCGGAGGACACTATGTGAGATAGTGTCTCTCCAAATGTCTAAAGTTACTGTTGGCCAGAAACAAATGACTGTCGGAAAAAAATTGCAACAGACGATCACCGTTCTCATTTCGTTAGGATGGGATTTCGTAAATACCTTTTGAATACCCTACTTGAACGTTGAAATCAGCTGTCATTATGACTACATCTGAACGTTTTGCTTTTTGTAGCAAAACTAACAACTGGTGATAGAATTCATCCTTTACATCATCCGAACTACAGTCGGTGGTTGCATACGCAGAGGTTGTGGAAATACATCGGTTGGTGTGAAGATCCTCTCTAGTCCTTACAGAGCCATTCAGTCGAACAGCACAGATACGGCTGTTACCTGCTATCCAGCCGAAAAGCGCACTTTCTGACCTACATCTCAACGCTTGCCTACACCAGCGAGTCCACGACAGCTATCCACTGGGTCTTGAGATACTCTTATGTTGAATTTTGAAGATTCACTACTATGGCTAGGTGAGTTCAATTTAATAACCACATTCGGGTTCTGTATACGTGTTTCAGAGACGTAGAATACATCCATGGCTAGAGATTTCAGAGTTGTGGAGAACTATGATTGCTGTCCGATTTGGTAAAGAGTTTGGGGTCTTAAGAGAATATAGATGAGGTTTCGATGGCTTTGATCTTTGACAATGGTTGCAGAGTGACACGTTGGGTAACACGTAAGAGGCTTAATATTAGTCTCAGAAGATGAAAGCAAAGGAGGAAACAGAGTTGAGGAGGATAGGTTATGTTTTATTGGGTGTTTTGTACTACAGGAAGCCCAAAGGCGGTTGACAATTCCTTGCTGCCCACATCGTGGAAGGTTATTTCTTCTTAAGGTACCTGAAAGGAAAAAACTATTTGCTTGACCACAGAGCCCATCGAACATCTCCTTGAGGGTTGTCACACACAGCCTTCTGCAGGTCGTCCCCACGGTTTTCCGTGGGGATGGAGGAGTGTGCTATTTTTACGGCTGACCTTTTCGAACCTGCTCTTTCCATTGAGAAAGCAGCATCAGCGTAGCACTGCTGGTTATCCAAGTGAAAGACTTTACTGTTGTCACACCCCATCCAGTCAGCAGTATGACTTGACCCACAAACCCCATTATAGTGTAGTAAGTTACACTACAATGGTGACTGCTTTTTAGCTAACACTATCCACCAGACCTTCCTGGCATGGTAGGACCTCGAGAGAACAAGCGTTACATCAGCGTAGCTCGTTTGGTCATTGTAAGATGCAAGCCCGATCATCACGTCAAGGCGAAATAACAGTTAATTGATAAGTCAGTTATATCCATAGTTATGACTGGGTGAAAATTACTTTTTTCGAGTGCAGTGATACGTACTGGATACCAAGACGTGGTCAATAAGAATTTCTTTACAATCCATCATGTCTACGAATATTAGTTGGACAATTTTGTAGGCCTCCTAATTCTTGTGTCACCTTAACACAGAAGTCATCAAGTTAATGTTGGTTAAACAGAGGCATGGACATCACTACATTTAAAATACCGATGACTTATAAAGTCACCTCAGCAACTAACTAAGATCATTTATTTATGCTAAAAAGGTAGTTATTGGCGTTGCTGTAACAACTACCCTAGCAACACTGATGAGACAGACAATTACATTTCTTTATTTTGTGGAAAAGTACTTTCCAAGGCGAAATACTGAAGATCCATCCCTCAGTTGCTAGGGTAGCCTTTAAAGTCACACCTTAAAAACTGAGTGACCATAAAAGTGATTCAAAGGTACCCTAGCAACTGACGGAACAACCAATGTCTTTTCTCTATTTTACGAAAAATTGTCTTCTCAAGCAAAATACAGTCAACTGATTGGTTGTTTTGGCAGACTTTAAAGTCACCCTGATACCAGATAACTTGGTTAAAAACTGTACCTACTTCTTAAACATGGGAATAATGCTCCCGTACAACAGTTATGGCTAAAAATCAAGGCATTTCAGGCGGATAAAAAGGACACAGACCAGTATTCATATAGAAAATCGCATCTGCGGGGTCAAAATCATGTTAAGATATCAACAAGATAGCAAATGGCAAACCAATAGACAAAGGTCAATATGGTGCTCGTTTGCTGAAAAAATTGGTTGTCTTTTATATGAACGGTGTCTTTTAATCATCAGGTGCTAGCGAAGTTTCCCCACCTAAAGACTAAAACCTTTTATGAAAAAATTAGTGACCAGATATTTCCCTGACCTTATTAATTTTTAGTTTGTTACTTTTAGTATCGATACGGTTAACTCTTATGTATTTGAAACTAGAAATTTACTTAATTGTTACAATTCTTGAGCCATAGGATGTCACCAGTGTGTCTGCACTCTCACTTAAGTCAACTCCAGTTATGAACCGACACAACAAAAAGAAAACCACTCTAGTTGCTTCCGAGAATATCATTCTGACAAAACTGTATAATTTCCCCCTTGAAAGTCGATAGGTTCTTTGCTAGTCCCATTGACCTGTGATCAGGAATTGACTCTCGTTCATTAGCATCTTATGTCAGTAGTTGTGTAATATAAAAGGATCTGATAAGATATCAAGTGCCAGATTCTGAAGTTTTATTTATTACATCTAATGAATCTCGTTTATGCTTTCTGTATCGAATCTATATTCTTTCTTCTAGAATCCCGTTGTACACTAAATCTTCTTTGGATTTAGCCACTAACCCGAAAGTCCACCCTGATGCTGAGTATCAAAAGTCACAGGTGTTAAAGTGTGAGTTTTATTCTGAAGACTCGAAGCCTTACTAACGATGATGATCGAAATAAATTTCCATGCACAGGGGAAATGACCAAACACGGTTCCCAACGTTTATTTCTACCCCAGTGCTGCCTTCAGGTTAATGCTATAGCTATTAGGGTTTCAACCGACTAACTCAAATAGAAAATGAACTTAGATGGCTAACCAACAGATGTACTATTGTAGGAAATAACTAGACAGAGAAGAAGTACGGGATGTTTGTTACTGATATCTTGTACAGTGGTCATCAAATATAGTACACCTTCGACTAAGACAGTTATTTACACTGTGCTTCATCTCCACTTCTGCTTCTATCTTGATACCCCCACATTGCCTCTTGCGTTTCTCTGAGCAGAATCGTTGCCCATTGCTGGTATTTCCCTATGGTTCTGCCACCCTCTCAACACATACTACTTATATTCATTCTGATCAGCAGCACCCACCACACTATTATTCTTACTTAACGAAATGTATGGGAAATGTACAAGCCCTCAAAGCGTAGACAGCCTTTGGAAGGAAAAGAACAAAGACAAACATGTGGAAGACATTAGAAATTGTTTGGTTGTAGTTCCCATTTCTTCTGACGATGGATACAACAGTATTGTTCCGTAAAAAAGCAGACTTCCGTGCAGAGTTTTTCTCTCCTCGTAAATACTCTGAGAATATTTCTGAGAAGTGCATGACCATATGCGAAAGCCGGGACAAACTCAGTACTATCAGATGTCATGGTGAGCGCGTTACTATTTAGCTGATGATCATCAACTTTTCAAGGATCCTAGCTTATTAGCCTAAGTATCCTTCGACTACTGAGGTTTCGAAACCTACTCATGTTCAAATCACCTGACTAAGGCGCTAATACAGATGATATATAATTAACTGCAGCTTCCATCCTCCATAAATTTCCACCAAAAGGCATACGGTAACAGACTATGTGCTTAACCCCAAATTTAAGTGTTAAAATTATGTGGCTACTACATGTTGGGTAGAGGACAGTTTGGCTCTTGTAGATCCCTGGAGATTTACAACTGAATGCGAGCATATGGAATATCAGATAATTTTTACACAAGTATCAAGTTAAGGTAAATAATATTGGCGATATAGGTTCTGAAAACTATAAGGAGTGGTCTGGTCATATCTAATTTTGCTTAGCTTTGTCTATATTATGAACAGTTGAGGTTATTATGTCAGTAGCCTGAAACGGGGACTACTAAGTCACCATCTGATTTAACGAAAGGATTCGCGTTTTACAAAGTAAAACGTTGGAGAACAGCCTACCGACTAATGATTTTCTTCGGAAAATGAGTTCCGATTGTCTGAGGGAAAAAGTAAATGCGACGATGGTAAGTGTTTATCAGCTTGTTGCAAGTTTGATCATGAATGTATACGCAGTGAGGAGTATCCAGTATGAGCTGGGAGACTGAATTACTGCGGAAAAGGCCAACATGAATTCATACGATCCGTGTGCAGATCGAAGACATATGAAAACAAACACGACAATCAGGAGATGAGATGAGGTTGAATGAGAAGATCATTGGTCTGTGACAATATGGCTGAAAAGTCTGAAATAAGCAAACAGAGATCTAATCAATAATTCTGTCGCACGAAGCTACCAAAGGTCACATGACAATTATTTTCGACCAATTATGTTTAGACTGGAATATCCAATCAGGAAAATGTGAACTGTACTTCTCTCTTATTGGTCCATTTAAGCATGACTGACCACGACACACGCCTTACTATGCAGTTTGTTATATAGGTGACTGAAGTTTACCTGCCTATCTCTGCAACCGAGAGATGCAGCAAAGTGATAACTTCAGAGTAGGTAAGCTGCAAATCCAACTTGGCTTTTTTGTAACAGTTTAACTATTCAGTAGATATCTCATAATTTATGTTTTTTCCTATGGTTTGTGTGAATTTTGTGGAATCAGCGTGTGAGGAATGTTGAGGTCAGACGAAGGGTACTATGAAAGACAGGGAAGTCGATTGATGATGTAAACTTTCATCGACTTAGGTAACTTGGACATGTGTTGTGCATGCCGAGTCACCGTCTACTTGCACGTGGAATGCTGAGGGCAGCTCGGTTAGGTTGAAGGAGGGTTCATGGTGGGGAGACGTAGATGGGATCAGTCCATGAAATCCCCTGCTATTGGTCTGAGCCGTATGAAGATATATAGACTTCATGTCTGGGGTTGCTGTGATGATAGAAATCGGTGGTTGAAGACTCTTGGTGGCATGGCTGAAAATCGATCACAATGGCGCGGATGTATTCACTCATTGACATCTTTAGCTTGAATATTTGCATCAACCGTTATATTTAGATTGTTTGGTCTCTGACACAACTTAGTCTACTTTGATGATATCACTCTTTTTTCCGTCCATTTGTTCTTCGTGAAGTGTAGCCCGCTGGTCCGGTGCACCTGTGTTTGAGGTTCTAAACTGACTTCCTTAGTCAGTCAGATGGTCCAGCTACTACTCTTATGGAATGTTAGTTAGCTGTTATGCTGTCTGATTTTCTACTTTCTGAATCCGTTCTAGCATATTTGTTTTACATCTTGAGAATGCCCACGGTGTTTAGATTTCGTGCTTATATGGATCTCTGACAAGTATGAGATACAAATTCTGGAATATATCTGTTAAAGCTCTGGAATTACCATAAGATAAAGAGATTAGCGAAATATTTCCAAGGGCTTCCAACGATTGACTCTTGTCGTCTCGAGAACCCCAGGCAACCCGTTTCCCTATACACAGGTAAGATCAGCATCCATTGACTTCATGGACTGAACTACCTGATACCAATACCAAGCCTCTTACAACTTCGGCTTCCCAATACCATCACTGCCAAGCTAGGGAATCGCTATTTTTGCTATCTATTTCCCATTAAAGCTTTCAACGTCCAAACACTATACCAAAGTAAACAACAAACATCTCTTGTCAGGACTCTCGTATTTGGGACGTTGATGTGTGCTTTGTTCCTCAGACAAGTAGACGGGATGCAATTGTGATTATTTGCCCGACCCCATCTGGTTAATGCAGTGAGTCTGCATAATTCACTTTACAAGTGTCTGTAGATTCGATAACTGGCTCTTGTGAACTTGCAGATGTAGCTGTAACATTGATTTGTAGATCAATAAATGCACTTATTAATTAGATAGTAGTCAACAGCCGTGTGTGTTGTCCAGCTAGAGGGAGCTGTAAAAACTATAGAAGTTCATGGAACTTGACAATGCCTATTCGTAATCGTTACCTGCAGACTCACCAACTACAGTTTGATGATATTAAGACTGACTTTAAAAAAAAAGCTGTCAGTGCGTAAAGTAGAACGTTCTGAAATAGCCGTACTAAGAGGACACTTCGGCACTCACGTAGCGAGATTGATCATCACCATCATTATCAACATAGGACCAGGCATTACTGCGTAACGGTCCGAGTTGCCACACCTCATATCAGCACATCAAGTAAAAAGGTAGTGAGGTGAAGGATGAAGATAAGTGAATGCAGTCAAAAGAAATATAAAGTACGAGAAGAAAGGAAAGAGGAGTGACAAAATAGTGAGATTCGGTATAGCGTTGTTAAGATGAGGATAATGTGTGTATACATCTGCGCCACTGACTTCGGTTCTGAGCCATATCACCTAGGGTCTCCAACCACTGGTTCCTCTTGTCCCGTGGACCCCAACCACCTAGTCTGCATCGTCCTACATGGCTTAAACCAACAGTCAGAGACTTCATACATTGGTGCCATGTTTTAGTCTGGCCACCTCGGGCCTTTTTCCAGCCTGAACCCACCTCAGCCAACATTGTGTGACGAGGCAATCGGTGACTAGGCATACGTAGTACGTGTCCCAACCATCTCAGTCGATGAAGGTTCACAACCTCGTCGACTGACTTACCTCTTCTCCCTAAAACTCTACACCTAACTTCTGCATTACTCACATGGTGACACCACGGAATACGTCCTATACTACGAAGGCAACGGTGGTCAAACACCTGAACCTTTTGTCTTCCACTTTCAATGGCCATGTTTCACAGCCATACAGTAGAACAGAGCGGACTGCTGTGCAGTACACGCGACCCTTAATAGACAAACGAATATCACGGCGGCGCCATAGGTGGCGCAAATTGGCAAAAGCCAATCGAGCCTTTTGTATCCGTGCAGAAATCTCATCGGCAACTAACCCACCGGGTTGATCCTACTTCCCAGGTAAGTGAAGTGGTCAACACACTCAACCACTTCACTCTCTATTGTTAACCGCGGTACCGCTGAAGACCAGTCCTGGAGCAAAAATTTGCATTTGGGTGGTGAAAATCGCATCCCAAACATTCTCAAATTCCCACTCAAAGTGTTCAGAAGACTCTGCATCTTGTCAGCGTCTTCACCTAACAGGACTATGTCATCTGCATATTCTAGATCTAAGGAAAATTCACCTGTGATCGGTCAACGTCTTTGTAATTAGGTGACGAGAGGGAAACCTCCATAAGAATATCTATGATAAAATTAAATAAGAATGGGGATAGTGGGCATCCTTGACGGACACCACTTGATGAGTATAGCTCCCTGGACAACTCACCATAGGCTCTAACATGCCCACAAGTGTTCGAGTAGAGAGCTTTCAATAAGGTGATGTACTTACTAGGCACGCCTTTCAGTGACAGACACTGCCATAAGACTTCTCGATCAACGGAGTCAAATGCCGCCTTCAGGTCGAGAAATACAGCTATTGTCGGGCGTCTGTAAGCATGCCTATGTTCCAGGACCTGGCGCAGTGTGAATATTTGGTCGATACATCCACGGCCAGGTCTAAAGCCTGCCTGGTTTTCTCGGGCTTGCTGTTCCCGAGCTCCACTCAGGCGTCGGAGAATTATAGAACTTAGGATCTTAGACACTATGTTTGTCAGGCTGATTCCTCTGTGGTTATCACAAGAGGACTTCTCGCCTTTCTTGAAGACTGGGATGATGAGTGACTTAGACCAGTCGGAGGGGATCGTATTTGATTCCCATATACTGGCTAACACTTCCGTTAGCCTGACTAAGAGAACTCTACCACCATTCTTGTATACCTCAGCAGGTAGTCCGTCTGGTCCTGCTGCCCTTCCCCGTTTCAGGCTACCTACCGCTTTCTCAACTTCTTCTAGTGTTGGGGGACCTGTCTCTATGTCCCATTCAGGGTCCGACTGGATAGCGGGCAGCGCAATGGTGGCTGGAGGCCAGTTAAACTGTTCCTCAAAGTGTTCTGCCCATCGTCCCAGTCGCCTTCCCTGCGAGTGAATCGCATCCGTCCTTCTCCGCTATAACCTCACTAACTGTTGTTGACCATTTCCCCCCAGTCTCCTTAATAAGTCTAAATAACTGTCTACTGTTACCGATCGCCGCTGCCTTTTCCATCTCTTTAGCCTTTGCTGCCCACCACTGTTCACGATCGTTGCGCAGACTTTTCGTCAGTTTATTTTTAAGTTGCGCTCGCTCTTCATTGTACTCAGAGCCTGCAGGGATGCATTCACGTGCATCCATTAGTTTGGAAGAAGCTGCTGATATCCACTGGCTCTTTTTAGCCATTATCTTGGAGTCGGCTACAGTCTCCAGTGCTGCTTTTACAGTAGACTGAAGATGGCACCAAGCTTCTTCTGGATGAGTGACAGTCTTTTGTTCCGATAACTGCCTAGCCAACTTCTCACTGAACACGGCTTTGGTGTTTTCGTTGTCCAGCAGAACTCGTAGTGGTTTTGTTGCCAAATTTTTTCTACGTCCATTGAGACGCAGGCATATACGTGCTCGGACCAACGCATGATCGCTGTCCAAACACGTACTCCAGAAGGAGCGGCAGTCTTCCACCGATCCTCTCCAGCGATGACTAATAGCAATGTGGTCTATCTGTGTCCATCGCTGAGTCGAGCTCGGTGGACGCCAGGTCAGACAGTGCCTTTCTTTATGTCTGAAATTTGTGCTGGCTAAAAATAGGCGGTTATCTGAGCATAGTTGTAATAGGCGATCACCGTTATCTGTACGTTCAGCTGGGATTCCGAAAGTGCCACCTAAGTGCCTTTCTGCCTCACTCAGTCTACCCACCTGTGCGTTGAGGTCACCTGCAACAACCACTACGTCCGAACGTTTGGCTTTCGAGAGGAGGTTAGACAGTTTATGGTAGAACTCGTCCTTCACTTCATCCGAACTACAGTCAGTGGGTGCGTAAGCAGAGATTACAAAGAGACAACGGCGAGTCTCACTATTCCTTTTAGTTCTCACTGTGCCGTTCAGCCTCATAGCGCAGAGGCGACTATCAACTGGGATCCAGTCTAGTAGTGAGTTTTCTGCCCTGGTGCTTAATGCTATACCTACACCTGCAAGACCACGAGAGCTAGCTATCGAATCTCCAGAAACTCGAAGGGTGAATTTTGCAGATTCACCAGATTGGTCAGGAGAGGTCAGGTGAATAACCACACTTGGGTCCTGTATGCGTGTCTCACAAACACAGCACACATCCATGCCCGAGTTGCTAGAGTCTTTGCCAACGAAGCCTGTTGGCCAATTTGACGGAGGGTGCGGACATTGAAGGCTCCAATATGTAATTTGGAGCGTGGTTTAAGGAGACCAGGGATGCTGTTCTGTGGACTCAGATCGTTGTCGAAGGCTGCAGAGGTAGGAGAAATTGAAGATGATGCAGCATCATTAATTAAGAGACGTGAAGGAAGATTAGAAGGTAATGATGGAGGAGGAGGATAGCAGTCAGAAGAAACTTGGGTGCTGACAGAGTTGTGAGGGCGGTTGACACTTCCCGGCTGCCCACACCGTGGAAGGCTATTTCTTCTTAAGGTACCTGAAAGAGATTTGTGTGACCGCAGAGCCCATCGGACATCTGCTTGAGGCCTGTCACACCCAGCCTTTTGAGTATGATTATTTTGAACTTTTGTATTTTTGGGGCCGGATGGTCGAAAGGAAACGACAAGTGAACCAACACCGCCGGCCCGGCAGACCGTGGGGCGTGGTGGAGTGTGTTATTTTTGGGGCCGACCTTTTCTAACCCCCCCTTCCACTGAGAAGGCAGCATCAGCATGGCACTGCTGGTCATCCAAGGGAAACACCTTACTGCTGTCACACCCCATCCAGCTAGCAGCAGTACGACTTCGCCCTCAGACCCCCATCATAGTGTAGCAATTTACACTATAACGGTAACTGCTTTTCGTCTAACCACTACCCAACAGACCTTTCTGGTATGGTAGGACCTCGAGGGAACAAGCGTTCCACCAGCATAGCTCGTTGGGTCATTGTGATATGCAAGCCCGACCACCACGTCAAGGTAGCAGCTATCGGTCGGGAGATTGAAACAACTGGAAAGTTATCTGGATAGTATCTGCAGTGTTGGCCGACAGCAGCCATTGTCTGTTGCAGTTACGTTCTGATAATCACTTGGTTTTGGCTAACACTAACTTCAAACAGGTTAAAGATTACCTACCTTGGCAATCGGCGACATCAACAATGGACACAGATAGAGCATGTTACTATGAGCCATCATTGGAGAGGGCCTGTGAAGGATTGCCGTTCTTTCTGAAGTACTTACTTGAACTCCGGTCACATTAGTAAGGGGGCATGTATACTTGCGCCTTACTGGCTGGAGGGAACTGGTAGCAGTGAAGCCTATATGTGTTCGACTAAAAGATGAGAACATCAAGTTTACATTCATGGAAATTGCTGAGCGTTTATCCGAACGTGACAGCAGTTGCCATCCAGACGGAGCCTATCAGGATATTCTGTCTACAGCAGAAACAGTTGGCATCCTAAATTCAAAATGTTAGTAAAAGCAAGCTAATTCCCGAACTGACTGTTCCAAAGAAGACTCATTCCAGCTGGCTGTGATCATAGTGAACGCGAAAGCACCTCAAACGTAAACTAAGGTTTTTCGCAATAATCGCGAGGAGGGATGAATGATAAAAGTGAGAGAGATGGAGAATACATCGGCATTAAGTAAAACTCAGCAATTACTTAAGCTTATTAAGGATATTGGCAAATAAGAAAATGATGGTTTGTATGACCATCATGAAAAAGGATGGAACCCTAATAACCTTTCATGAGCGGTAGCTGGGACATCAGGCGGAACACTCTGAAGTACAGTTTAACTGACCCACATGAATTTCTCAGTTGCCCAGCATTCATACTGAACCTGTATGAGATGTAGATAACAGTCCTCCAATTTTTCTCGAGGTTGCGGAAGGCTGTTTCAAACTTGAAAAGGTGTAAAGCAACAGGGCTTACCTGTTTGTCACCTAAAGGTTTTAAGGAAGGATGTACGAATTTACTGAGCGTTGGATTTACCACGTCAAACTGACAGGGAGAAAAAAGCAAAATAGAATCTTGGGCATTGGTGTAGAAAGCGAATGGGAGTGGTACTAAAGCAGACAAAAGTGTATAGGGTGAAAAAGAATTTCACAATCAAAGACAGACTGCATCGTTATTGTTACTGATTTTCAACAAATCGAGTTCCCAGCTATAAGTTCCTGTTATTTGGCGGATCTGCGGATCGGACCAGCAGTTAGAGACTTCATAGATTAGTGCCTGTGCTGGTCTTGCCACGCTAAGCCTTCTTCCAACCTAATCCTAATTCGGATAGCATTTTACACAGGTAGGAAGTGGCGGGGCCTGCGCAAAACATGTCTAAGCCACCTGAGTTACTGAAGGTTCATAACCTAATCAACTGACTTGCCTGTCTTGTCTAGTAAACTTAGCCCAACCTTGACATTGCCCACACTGTGATTGTAGTATACGGGAGTAATGCTGCAACGAGAAAAATCCGTGGTCTTTTCATATCGTATATTTTCAACGGCCATGTCTCACAGCGATCTAGCAGTACTGAACGGACTGCAACATAGTATACTTTTCCTTTAACAGGAAGTTGGATATCTCGTCAGTTTGCGCAGCAGATGACTTAAGGTCGCAAATGCCAAATAGACCTTCTGTAACTGAGCTGAGATTTTATCAGCAACCAGCTGATGCAACTTCTTATATAAGAAAAGTGGTCGACACATTTTGCTTCACTTCTAATCCTTAAACTGGGAGTAGCTGCACACCATTTCTGATAGGTACAAAGCGCGTACCAAACATAGATTTATGCTGAAGACGTGCAGAAGATCCTGCCTTTTGTCAGCGTCTCCACCTAGTAGGATAATGTCTTCATACTCCAAGTCAACCATGTCCTCCAGGGAGTAAGTTGATCTTTTAGAAATCTAAGGTACTCATGGTTATGGCCATGTTCAGACCAATTTTAAAGTGAACTGAAGGTGATAAAAGTGGATGTCTCTGGCAGATTTCGTGGATTGTCGTTGATGACAACTCTCCATGTGTTCTTGCATACTTAAGTCAGTTTGAATGGATCGTTTTGTTTGGTTAGTGCAAGCGAAAAACGTGGGCACTGTGGTAGAGTATAATTCCATATTAGATTGTTTGTTTGATTTAGCACACAGTATAATTTACTGAATGACGTTTCAAGCATAATTTATTGCTCATATTCATACCAAAGTAATTATACGACTGTCTTGTTCGGTATCACGTACTCGGTCTATGTTCCACTCAGTCAGTCGGACACAACACATCTAGTTTGACATAACGTAGTGCTAAACCTCACAACTGTATTTAGTCAGACAGGACACACAAGGCTGTTAACAAGTATCTAGTCGAGAAGCGCAGATTCACTGCATTAGCCGGGTGGGATCGGGCGAATAATCACAGTTGCATCCCGTCTACTTGTCTGAGGAACAAAGCACACATCGATGTCCCGAAATACGAGAGTTCTGACAAGTGATGTTTGTTTTTTACTTTGGCATAATGTCTGGACGTTGAAAACTTCAATGGGAAATGGATAGCAGGAGGTTAGGAGACGAAAAATGGTGTTGTAGACAATGATGTCTAAATACTATCTGTTCGTCGTGTTACGTTGCAATCCAACATAACTAATTCCGCTTATTCTTTTCGTTACTCGTAAGTAAACGGGATCGTACTGAGTTTATATATGTAAAGAAACTACCGACATATTTCAGCTTCAACACGGTAAACATTACCACATTATAGGAATAAACATCTGCAAATCCATGCGTTTCCTGCTATTGTTAGATATGTATGATACGATTGGTGGTATTGATCCCATTGCTGCTCCTACATATATATATATATATATATATATATATATATATATATATATATATATATATATATATGTTAATATTAATGTTAAAGAGTTGAACAGATCATATGCTAGAGTATTTCTAAAATCAAGTATTATTCTAATAGAGCTTTTGTTTATGAAACCTACAATTTGGTTCAGCTTACTTTTCTACGTTGTTGTTCTTCAAACAATAATGATAATTCAAATCAATGGATTTCTATTAGCGAAATTCGGTCCTCATATTCGTTTAGTGGTGATCTTCAGCAAATCAGTGTATTGATTTCACTCAAGTGTCTGTCATTCAAAAAGACGTTATAGTTTTATGTAACTTTCTTTCATTACTTTTATACAACACTTTTTAGACCTCTTTCAGATGACAGTTTGGTCTCCTTATGAACCGACTGTAAACTCAAAGATCCTTTGATCGCATTTGAAATCAAACCAGTTAAACATATAGCGTATAGTATCTTCCATACTGTCGCTGCACATGCTGATTGCAAATTGGCTCTTCAGAGCCATACAGCCATCATCTTTAGTTTGACTTTTGTCATCATCTTTGACTCTGATAACTGCTTCACTTTGGTTTGTCGAATCAGGTTATGAATATTGAAAGTTCACTTGACACTAGATAACTTACTGTGAAATAACCAAGGGTGTAATGCTTGTTTGTTTTGATCTGAACATCTAATCATTTTAGTCTTTTTTTTATCCCGTGAAATAGTTTTCTTACCGCATTTCTACTTCTAGTTATGATTGTGTTTTGTTGTGCCTTTGTGTTCATTCACTTGTAAATATGGATCATTGGATTTCGACCGAGTGGCTCAATGGTAACGTGCTGGTCATGGAACCTGAAGGTCGCGGGTTCGATCTCTGGCTCAGGGTCATGGGTGGGCACTGCTGAGGAGTCCCAAACTGGGACGTAACGGCCGTCCAGTGCTCCCAGGTGTCCATTGTTCCTCCAACTGATGTCAGTCCACGGTGAAACTAACTTGAAAATGTTTCTAAATCCCCACAACTCCCTCGAAATTCAAACCATCTTTGCCTATTACTGATTAATCATTGTATTAATTTCTAATTAATTTAATCAACTAATTTAATTTGTGTTAGATTTATGAAGTGTCTCATTTCTGAAATAATACATGTTTTCTTTTCACACCAATATCTCTTATTTTACACGCATTCAGCGATTGTTGGCGGAGGAATTGGTGGTGTTAGCTCAGCCTACTATTTACGGCAACTATTTGGAAAAAATGTCTCTATAGCTCTTTTTGAAAAATCTGGACGTATCGGGGGTCGGATGAAGACAGTACCGTTTTGTGGCGAGATTTGTGAATCAGGAGCGAGTCTAATCCATTCTAGTAATCGATACATGATGTCGTTCGCTAGAAAATTCAGTAAGTTTAGGAATATATTTAAAAAAGTTTTATCATATATATATATATATTCTTTCTCACTTCGAACAAAATATTCAACACAACGGCCGTTATATTCATGTGCTGAAATTTTTTTCCGTAATTGAAATCTATCTGATTATGGAAGTTCAGATGCTATATTCAGACTCGCTATATTTACCCGATTAAAAGATGTGGCTCATAGCTCTACAAATCAGTGGGTCATTGGTTAATACTTCACTCTAGTCACTGAGTAAACTGCGGTTAGGTCCGGCAGTAAGTCCTCAGCGCTAAGCATGTTTTCGTGCCCTAATTTCAGACAGACATGACCAACATCACACGTGGAATTCAAAAAAAGCTAAGTAAAGGCTCACCAGCATTTGTAGTACTTTAATTGATCAGAAAAAAATTACATAGAGGCGATTCAAAAATACAAATTAACTCATTGAAGAAAAGTTCTTTCTCGATGAATCATTTTCAACAGTCGTACAGTTGCGTTTATAGTAATAATAAACAAATGGATGACTCTATTATTGGATAATACATCAACAATAGGTCATCAAAGCGGATTGTTCTAGGGTGAAATAGTGGGTCGATTCTAGAGTAAGAAAGAGACTATGTAACCTTAGTGAGCATATCAACGAAATATGCAGTCGAATAACGTGATGACCAACCGGTTAAAAAGTAACCAGATCAAGAATGATGGTACCAATTACAATCAATAATCGGAGCAAAGTTCTCTGAGAATTGTAATTGGAGATCGGAGCTAACATCATAAGATAAATATTGATGTAATAAAGAAACTCAGGGAGGGGTTATGACAATGTTAAAATAAGAGAATGGACATACCTCTTCTGTACACAGAGCTGAGATCTTAATCGTTAGATTTTCAACGCCTCTGGCATACACAAGCAAAGAATCTACACTCCTTTTGAGCCATTTGGATTGACTCTGTATAGGATTTTGAAAGAAGACTATAGGGAAGCGACATGACCACAGTTGACGAAGAATACAAAGATACTAGAATAGTTAAACACGTAGTTTTCTGGTTCTTCTGTAAAGGTTGAGTGGGAGTCTATTGCTTTTAGACATCCCATAGGTTTCAATCTTTAATCTTCTGAGTATCGTTTTGCGCCGTTTTCTTCACTCATGATGAATTTGAAGTCTCAGTTGAAATTCAGAACTCAACGTAATGTTTCGTATGTTCTGCCTACTGCTAACAGTCATATATTTTTGCAGTTGACTGATGTCATTCACCGTTAAATATCCTAAATATTTACTGTTTTACAAGTTATTGGGTGGCTTGGTTTTTTGAATAACCTCGCCTGGTTACTAGCCGGTCCTAAGCACGGGTAAAGAGGGAAGGTTGGGCATACGGCTAGCAACCCTATCCCGTAAAACAAATCTAACCGCTAAACAGACTTCAAAGCACAAACGATGTATAAAAAATAAAACAAACTTATTCCTCGCTGGAATCGGAGAGGCGAAATGACGCCAGTTGGTGAAAGCCTTCAGGAAGTCAAATGCCCAATGTATCTCCTATCTCTCGATGAAAGCGAAAGTAAACGTGGGGACATGGAATGTGCGCAGGATGTTTGAACCCAGTAAGGCAGCCCAGATTGCAAAGGAGATGAGAAGGTGCTTGGAATTTGCGAAAGCAGATGGAATGGGAGTGGACTCTCCAAACTGTCAACTGGAGAATCAATAATCTACTCCAATCTTGTCACCCAGACGCCAACCACGAGCACACTGAGTTATGGAGTGGCTATCATGATGTCCTCAAGAGCATCGAAGGCTCTCATGCAGTGGGAACCAATCTCCTCAACGATCAGGATCATGACAGCAAGATTCAACTCGAGAGGAAGAAAGGTCACAATCATACAATGCTACGCTATGCACCTTCAAATAATGCAGAGCAAGAGAAGGAGGAGGAATTCTGCAGACAACATCAATCAACACTGGACAAGACACCACTCAAGTTGGCGATATCAAAATTCTAATGGGTGACATGAATGCCGGACTGGGAGGGGACAATACAGGAAGAGAACTGACCATGGGTCGAGAAGCACTCGGTGAGGTGATGAACGAGAATGGAGAACTGTTTGCAGAATTCTGTGCATTCAACGATTTGGTAATTGAAGGCAGTATATTCAGGCACAAAGATATGCACAAAGCGACATGGATTTCACCAGATGGACACACTAAAAATCAAATCGACTTTATCTCAATGTGAAGGAAGTGGATACTCAGTCTACTTAACACAAGGTGAAGAAGAGGAGCAGATGTAGGTTCAGACCACTCACACCACTATCTGGTGCAGGGAACCTACCTTCCAAATCAAGTTAAAAGCCTTGAAGGAAGCTGGTGATAGACCGCAGTTCAAGTACAACACTCGGAAACTGAAGGATGAAACTACAAAGCAGCCATCAAGACAAAATGTGAGATATCGAGGAACATCCCTGAAGAAACCTGTGTGGAAGAACACTGTGACTCTTTGAAAGCTATGTGGAAAGAGACCTGCACAGCTGTATTAGGAAGGAGGGAAGAAGAAAGAAGACAAGGAATGGATGTCATTGGATACATGTAAGCTGATAGAGCAGGGAGATGAGGATGGTGAAGCAGAAGATAAACCAGTGGAAGGGCGCTCAACGACAAGAGGAACTGAGTATAATGTATAAAACACTGAACAAAGAAGTGAAGAAGAGTGCACGGAAAGACAAAAGACACTTCTACGAGACACTGGCAAGTGAAGCAGAACAGGCTGCAGGTAGGAGAGATAGAGACCTGACAACATTGTATCAAATAACCAGGTTACTATATAGAAGGGAAGAGACCAACGCAGACGAAACCAGTAAAAGATGATGAATGAAATTAAATGACGAAAGAAGAGAAACAGAGGAAACAATGGGCCGACCACTTCAAAAAGCTCTTGAATCGACCACCACCACCACCACCTGCACTTCGTCCAGAAATACCACCTGAAGCCGCTGAATTACAAGTGAACATAAATCCCCCAACGAAAATGGAAGTCGTGAACGCCATAAAGCTACTGAAATGTGGGAAAGCAGCAGGAATAGACGGGATACCGCCAGAAGCACTGAGAACAGATGCAGAGACAACAGCTGACATGCTCACACCACTATTGCAGAAGGTGTTGAAGGGAGGGAAGCTACCTGGCTAGTGATTGGAAGAAGGGTTACCTTGTCAAACTAGTGAAGAAGGGAGACCTTAGTGTTTGCAAGAACTGGCGCAGAATCACTCTCCTGTCCACCCAGAGCAAGTAAAATATTAAGCCGCATCATCCTGGAGAGGCTTAAAGATGCACTGGATTCAAAACTGCGACCGGAACAGGCAGGCTGGCTGGATTCAGGAAGTACAAATCATGTGCAGACCAAATTGCAACGCTTCGTATCATCATAGAACAGAGCATAGAATGGCAATCAGCTCTCTACCTGAACTTCATCGACTTTGAGAAGGCCTTTGACAGCGTCGACCGAGAAGTAATTTGGAAACTGCTTCATTACTACGGAGTACCGCAAACCTTTATCCGCCTCATTCAACAACTATATGAAGATGCCACATGCCAGCCAAGTGATTCACAATGGGAAGCTCAGTGATGCTTTTGAAGTGAAGACAGGAGTGAAATCAGGCTGCTGTCTACTTTCACCCATGACATTCCTGATTGTGGTGGACTGGATCATGCAGCAAACAGTGGGGAGCTGTGAGAAGAGGGGGATACGCTAGCTGGACTGTGGAAATGAACCTAGAAGACTTGGATTTCGCCAACGATGGCTTGTGCCTGATGTCACACAAACTTGAAGGTCTGCAGGCGAAAACTAACAAGTTGATAGAAGAGGCAGCGAAGGAAGACGGGACTTCAAGTGAATATAGAGAAGACAGAGGTGATGAAGATACCTCACCAACAACTCCAACTCCAACAACAAACTGCAATCACCGTCAACGGGAGAAACTTAAAGGAAGTAACCTCCTTCACTTATCTAGGCATGCAGCACTGTTTCAACTACAGGCGGGACGGACGTGGATGTCAAAGTCAGAATCGGAAAAGCAAGACAGGCGTTCATTAGCCTGAAAGTAGTGTGGAGATCTTCTGCACTCAGCATGTGGAACAAGATCCGGATTTTCAACACCAACGTCAAGTAAGTTAGTGCTTCTGTATGGTTGAGAGACTTGGCGCGTCACGAAAGGGATTTCCAATAAACTACAGACATTCATCAACAACTGCTTACGCTCGCTGCTGAAGATCAGATGGCCAGAAAGAATAAGCAACAAGGAACTCTGGGAACGAACCAACCAAGAACCTATCACGCAACGAATATGGAGGAAGAAGTGGAGATGGATTGGACATACACTAAGAAGGCCGACTGGGGACATCGCGCGTCAGTCCAGGCCGTCGAGTGGAATCCCCATGGGAAGCGACGAGTTGGACGTCGGTGCCGAGGGTGACATGGAGGAGATTGTGCGAGGAGGAAATGAGAGCTTGTGGGCTGTGGTGGAGCCGGGTTCAAAAGATTTCGGTGAACAGAGTTCACTGGAAACGTGCTACTGAAGCCCTATGTTCCATTAGGAACCCAAGGGACTAATAATAATAATAATAATGGTTTTTTGAATAAATAAATCGAAGTTTTATTTTTACTGATTAGGAAAAACGTGTATCAAATTCAACTGATATGTAATTTCTCTTTTGAATGTTTCCCAAAGTTGAATCTTGATATGAAGTTTCATTCCAAATGTAATGATAATAATTGCTGTTAAATGTGTGTGGCGACTGCATTCACAACATTGTCAAATATTACTTTACCTTATTTCATGTGTCACTGGTTTTGATAATTATTGAATTATTATTTTATTGGAATTATTGATTTTCTTTCTCAGAATTACCTATAAAAAAAGTGATAAAGACCAATCATCATTTATTTCTTTTCGATGTTGGATACAAGCAAGTATTCTCTGATATCCATCAAAAACCTAACAACTTTACATCATTGCGTCTCCTTGTTGGTTATGGATACAGTACACTGCTTACAAATATTTACATCACACGTAAACTCCATGAATTTAAAAAGTAAATAGAATTCGGCAGTGTTTTGTTTAGTTGATAATGTTTGTTTTAATTTACTGATTTGTTTACTTTTGATTGAAGCATACCTTGGGGGTTTAGATGAATTTCGTATGATATAAAGTGTGTGGGAGGTTGTATGGCACACTGAATATATTTTTGTTGAAATACTTGTATCAAATACGAATTTCATGTATTTCTTGTAATTCCGAAGTAGAAGTTAATAATATCTACTGTTTTTAACATTCATCATCAGCGAAGTACGAAAGTTCAGCGAAATTTAAAATGATAAACACAACTGAGATAAGTTCTCTAGAAAAAAGAGGTCACCGAAGCACTTTGCGTGCAATCATGCTATAAGGTTCTTTAAGATGGCTTTTCTGAAATCCAATGAAAATTGATAGAAGATAGGATTTTTACTGGATGTTTTCATTCAGTCAGCATTGGACACTTGCCTCAGGAATGATTCACGAAACACTACAGACACTTGAAAAATTCTGCTACTGCTAAAAATAAAGACGGGGTGTTGCGCTGCAAAGAAAAGATAATAGATAATAATTGTTAATTCCAAACAATGTGTATGATACAGTATGGAATTTTTCAGCAAATTCATTCCCTGTATTAATATCTTTAAGAGAAATAATCATTGGATATGAATAATCTTAATAATAGTAGTGATAAAAGTCACCAGATAAAACAGGCACTTGGTATTACATTAACATCTAGTTTGGACTGGTGAGTGAAATGTAATTTTGGTGGTAGTAGTTGATCCAGTCAGTACCCAAATCTAGATCTCGATATAGTTATCCAACGAATAGTTATATACTGTATTTCTTTGAGTTTATAAGTTCATTTTTTACAGGTGAATCGTTTTTTCTTTATTTTTATACGATTTTAGATAATTAAGATTTCCCAATTTTTATATTAAAAGTCAACTACGAATGAAGGATATTCTTTTCAATAACCTCTCATCAGGTTCTACAGTTATAAAATCAATTTCGTTGACATATTGTTGGCCAGAATTTACAGCGAATGGATTTAGAAATGGGTATGGAATGATAATTAAAATTTGACTCCTTCAGATTGTTGATCGTAGTGGAATAAGTAGAACCTTTTACTCAGGACGTATGTACGTATCCTTTAATGGCCAACCATTGTTCAACCCGAGACTTAAGGACGCCTTACCTAATTTCAGCTCTTTATCATGGATATACCAATTAAACTGTTCCTGTGGAACAAGTTACATAGGGCGCACTATAAGACACCGTCTCAGGATACGAGGACATTTACGGGCATAGTTTGCAAAGGGTGAGATCAAGCCCATTAGAAGTTCTATACTAGCACATTTAATACATACAGGACACCAAATAGATGGTAGCACAGCTTTCACCGCGTTCCGAAAGCTCTACCATGTGCCATTCTCCATATACCAGAAGCTGTAGCTATAAAATCAACGAAGCCTGAACTTTGTATTCAAAAAGAACACATCCAAGCCCCTACTCCTCCCTTGACCTTCCATCAAATTAGCAGCATTCCCTCTACCCTTTTGTTTCTTTTATATATACAAATTATCATTCCATAGCCATTCCTAAATGCATTCGCCGTAAATTCCGGCCATTCATATTGGTTTTATAACTGTAGAACCTGATGAGAAGTGATTGAAAAGAATATTCTTTATTCGTATTTGACTTTTTTTAATGTTAGCTGGGGAAACGATAGTTTGAAACCACTTTAAAAGTGTGCAAGAGTATTTGACGCCTTAAAAACTATATTTAAACGATTGAAACAAATTGAAGTGAGGGAATTTGAGGAAATGTAATTGGTGTAAAATTTTTAGTAGCGTTAAGTTTAAGCAGGCCATCTGATGGAGTTTAAAAGTTGTATGATCGATTTGATGTGTTTGTGAGTAATTATTGCGCATTAAATGTTATGCAGTAAGTAATACTGTATCGAATGATCTAATCTGACGTTGAATCAACCACTCTTATTTGTTTGTAAATATCCAAACCAAGTTCGGATTTGATGGTTTGAAAACAATTGGACATTGGGTAAATGATATTCATTATTTTGGTATTTGTATTTCCCAATGAATGTAAAACAAAATAAATTTATTTCAACTGACGTTTCGCTATGTAGTGCTACTAACAGCTTTATCAAAGTTATGGTAAACTGGAATTTACAACATCCTCCAAGCTTATGTATGATAACTTGATAAGTGTTCCTCTGCATGAACGATTCTGCGTCATCATAATTGTAGAATATGGGTGATATCCCTAGGGATGAGGGAGTAAAACGTAGTTTGATCTGGTCTCAACCCATCCTTGCATATTGACATAGCCATTAGGCATGCGATAAGAATTATCAACACATGTGTACATACAAATCTCAATCTGTAATTCATACACAACACACTACATATGAATAGCATCTTTATTCTACAATTCTGACGACGTAGAATCATTCGTGCAGAGGAACACTTATCAAGCTTGAGGAATGTTGTAAATTCCAGTTTACCATAACTTTGATAAAGCTGTTAGCAGGACTAAATAGCGAAATGTCAGTTAAAACAAGTTTATTTTGTTTTACATTCATTAGGAAATACAAATACCAAAATAATGAACACTCCTATTTGTACAGTCCAATTTGTACAGCACATAATAACCAGTTTAGAGTTTAACTACCTGCAGTTGTGTGTTGTTAGTGTAGGTTACTCGTCTCGATCTGCTTTTAAATGAATTAGACGAACTGTAATGACAAAATCTTATTTAATCCATTAACTCCACACCAACCGATTATCTATTCTCATTCTTCAGTGAATTTACGCTTTATCGAGATGCATTACAGAAGCTTGAAGGGACATACTGAGAAATTGTTTTTCAGTTTCTACATAAACTAATGTAGAGTTTAGATAACACTGTGGAACTGAATATTTACTTATATGTGGCTATAGGAAATACTGCTTCCCTATCTTTGCATATGACTTTTTCTTCAGTATAAATGAATTGATTTTCTTATTACGATGTTTATTAACTACGTGTTTATCATTCACTAATTGTTCATCGACAGGATTTATCACTTACAAGATCAGGGTAATTGTTTTGATTCTCCAGCTCTCCTTTTGAAGTCACTGTCATCAGACTTCCCTGAGATGACAAAGTTTAGTTATGGAGATTGGCTGCGTAAGCGAATAAAATCGGATGACAAGTACTTGAATGAGATTTTATTTGGTGTACTTTCAAACAATTATTGCCAGGGTCTAGATGTTCACGGATTCGTTGGTGAGTTTTTTTGTCTAGCTGTTTTTTTTTATTACTTCTCTGTATTTATAGTGTGTATATTTATTTAAGAGTGGTCCGGTGGCTCATTGCCTATTGCATGAATGTGCACAAGGCTGCTGAGTGTATTCTGATTCAGCTTTAAATATAGGTGATCTTTTGTAATATGAACATTTTGGTGGGGTAATTATTTATTATTATCTTATTATCCTCAAGCTAATCTTATCCTCATCTCACTGATATTATTTTTCCCTTGAGTTCTTAGTGGAACATAGGGCTTCAATAGCATGCCTCCATTCAACTCTGTTCTCGGCAGTCTTTTCAACCTGACGCCACGACTACCTACAAGCTTTCATCTCTTCCTCACACGATCTCCTCCATGTCACCCTTGGACACCCAACTCGTCGTTTTCCCTTTGGATTCCACTCGGGGGCCTGGACTGGCTGACGCGTGATGTTGCCAGTCGGCCTTCTCAGTGTATGCTCAATCTAATCCATCTCCACTTTCTTCTGCATATTTGTTGAGTAATAGGTTATTGGTTGATTCATTGTCAGCCAGTGTTCCTTGTTGCTTATTCTTTCTGACCATCTGATCTTCAGTATCGAGCGTAGGCGGCAGCTATTGATGAACGTCTGTAGTTTGTTGCAAGTGCTTTTCGTGACACGCCAAGTTTCTGAACCAGATAGCAGCACTGCTTTGACGTTGGCGTTGAAAATCCGTATCTTGTTCTTTGTGCTGAGTGCAGAAGATCTCCACACTGATTTCAGACTAGTGAAAGCCTATCTTGCGTTTCCGATCCTGGTTTTGACGTCTTCGTCTGTGCCTGTTCCGCCTGTAGTTGAAACGATGCTGCCTAGGTAGGTAAAAAGGACTACTTCTTTTAGGTTTCTCTCGTTGATGGTGATTGGAGCTTGTTGTTCTTGTTGCTGTTGTTCGCTGGTTATCTTCATCACCTCTGTCTCCTCAACATTCACTTGAAGTCCCGTCTTCCTTCTCTGCCCTGCTTCTTCTGTCAACTTGTTAGTTTTCTTCTGTAGATCTTCGAGATTGTACGACATTAGACATAAATCATCGTCGTTGGCGAAATCCAAGTCTTCTAGGGTCTCTCATCGATCCAATCAGCCTATGCCCATCTTCTCTCCCCTCACTGTTTGTTACATGATATAGTCGACCACAATGAGGAAGATGATCAGTGATAATAGGCCGCAGCCTTGTCTTACTCCTATCTTCACTTCAAAAGCATCGCTGAGCTTTTCCATTGTGGATCACTTGACATGTGACGTCTTCATACAGCTGTTGAATGAGGTTGATAAAGATTTGTGGAACTAAAACCTTAATGTTGGAGCAGCAGCTACCAAATTACTTGTCGGTCGACACTGTCGAAGGCCTTTTCAAAGTGGATGAAGTTGAGTTAAGGAGTTGATTGCCATTCTACACTCTGTTCTATGATGATACGTAGCGTTGCGATTTGATCCGCATATGATTTGTTCTTCCTGAAGCCAGTCAGCCAGCCAGCCTGTTCCGGTCGTAGTTTTGAATCCACTGCATCTTTTATTATCTCCAGGATGATGCGGCTTAATATTTTGCTCGGGGTGGACATGAGTGGGACATGATTCCTCGCCAGTTCTTGCGTTACGCAGCAATGCCTGATCCTATGTTGATATTGATGATGATGATGAGTTCTTGCAAAGACTTAGGTCTTCCTTCTTTGGGAGTTTGATAAGGTAGCCCTTCTTCAAATCTGCAGGTACCTTCCCTTCCTTGCAAACCTTCAGTAGTGGTGTGAGCATGTCCGCTGCAGTCTGTTTTCAGTGCTTCTGGTGGATTTCCATCTGGTCCTGCTGCTTTCCCGAATTTCAGCAGTTTTATGGCCTTCAGGACTTCTGCTTTTGTTGGAGGTTTTTTGTTCACTTGTAGTTCTGCTGTTGCTGGTGGTGTTTCCGGACGAGTTGCAGGTGGCGGTCGATTCACGATTTTTTTGAAGTGGTCAGCCCATTGTTTCCTTTGGTAACCAGCTTTCCTTCACTATCTTTGATTGGTTTCGTCTGCGTTGATCTCTTCCCAGATAGTAACCTGGTTAATTGATACAATGTTGTCAGATCTCTCCTGCCTGCAGCAGCTTGTTCTGCTTCGCTTGCCAATATGTCGTGGAAGTGTCTTTTGTCTTTGCGTGCACTTTTTTTCGCTTCTTTTTCCAGTGTTTTGTACGTTGCACTCAGTTCTTCTTTTCTTTGTGCATCCTTGCACTGGTTCATCTTCTGCTTCACCATCTTCCTCTCTTCTGTCAGCTTCGATGTGTCCGTCTAGATCTATTCCTTGTCTTGTTTTCTCTTCCTTCCTAGTACGGTTATGCAAATTTCTTTTCACATAGCTTTCAAAGACTTCCAGTGTTTTCCCACCCTGACCCTTCAGGAATGTTGCTTAGTGTCTCGCATTCTGTTCTGATGGCTGACGTGAAGATGTCCTTTGTAGTTTCGTCCTTCGGTTTCTGTTCTTGGTGTTGAACTTGAACTGTAGTCGTCTATCACCAACCTCTTAGAAGGTTTTCAACTTGGTTTGGAAGGTTCCTTGCACTAGATAATGGTCTGAACCTACATCTGCTCCTCTTCGTGATCTGATTTTGTGTTCAGTAGGCTGCATCTCCACTTTCTTGAGACTTAGGTGAAGTCGATCTGATTTTTAGTGTCCATGTAGTGAAATGCATGTCGCTTTGGGAATGTCCTTTTTTTGTACACACTGCCTTCAATTACCAAATCGTTGAATGTTCAGAAGTCTACAAACAGTTCGCGGTTCTCATTCATTTCACCTGGCGCTTCTCCGCCCATGGTTAGTTCTCTTCTTGTGTTGTCCGCTCCCAATTTGGCATTCATGTCACCCATTAGAATTTTGATGTCGCCAAATGCAGTTTTGTCTAGTACTGATTGCAGTTGTCTATAGAATTCCTCCTTCTTCTCTTGATCTGCATTATTTGTAGGTGCGTGGCGTAGCATTGCATGATTGTGACTTTCCTTCCATTTGAGTTGAATCTTGCTGGAGGAGACTGGTTCCCACTGTATGAGAGCCTTCGATTTTTTTGGGGAAATCATGATAGGCACTCCAAAACTCAGTGTGCTCGTGGTTGTTGTCTGGGTGACCTAAGTAGATTATTGACTCTCCAGTTAACAGTTTGGAAAGTCCGCTTCCCTTCTATCTGCTTTCGCAGATTCCTAGCACTTCGATGTGATACCTTCTCATCTCCTTTGCAATTTGGGCAGCCTTGCTAGGTTCAAACATGGTGCGAACATTCTATGTCCCCACGTTTACTCTCGCTTTCATCGAGAGAAGACACATCGGCCGACTCTTCCCGAAGGTTTTCACCAACCGGTATCATTTCGTCTCCCCAATTGGAGCAAGGAATAAGTTTGTTTTTATGTCTTATATTTTGTTTGTGCTTTGAAGTTTGTTTAGCGGTTAGATTGGTTTTCCGGGTTAGGGTTACTAGCCGTATGCCCAGCCTTCCCTTTTTTACCCGGGCTTAGGACCGGCTAGTAACTAGTAAACTAGTTAGCCAGGCGAGGTTTGTGTCGCTGATAGCAATAGATTATATGGAATGTTTTATGTCGTAAACTCTTGTTTTGTTTGCAGTTGATTTCATTCCCAATTACATTATAGGACCATGCATATATATATATATATATATATATATATATATATATATATATATATATACAGCGAACTACTATGCAGCACATTTGACCCTTGGTAGGCAATCAGATATCACTCCGAAATCAAAAATTTGGTAACTTCATAAACACCAATCGATATTCTGATTCTCGACGGTCACTGACATATCTGGGGGTGATACGACCCAAGCAAGTGAAGTTTTCAACGCACTCAACAACCTCACTGACTGTTGTTAGACCAGGAACCAACACTAACTAGTCCTGGAGCAAGAGTGTGGATTGTTAGTGAGAAATGCATCTTAAAAGTTCGTAAATTGTCACTCAAGGCTTCCAAAACACACTACACCCTGTTAACAAATTCGTCTAACAGCATTATATCATCGGCGTACTATGTGTTTAGCAAGTGCTTCCTGCAACAAAACTAATCTATTTTTAATCAAACAAAGAGATGGAGACCTCCATAAGCACATCAGTACTAAAACTGAATTAAAATGGAGAGGGTGAATATTTTTGACTTACAATGCTCAGTGTAGACAACTCGTCTGTTACCGCATTATTGATTTGAACACGTCCACGGGTTTTGTATTAATTCGGAAGATATTTCTGATCCTTTCTTACCTGTTTTAAGAGTCAAATAAAGTTTTTAGTTCTGTTTTTACAAGAGAATAGAGATGGAAGCAAACGTCTTCGGGATGAGTAACGTCATTTTCTGATAACTGTCTTTTCAACCCCTCTTTGGGGGAAGTCCGAATATCCACGTCATCGAGCTGTGATCAGAACGGTTTTGCAGCTGTAGTTTTTCTACGTCTTACTAAGTGTAGACTCACGCATTCCCTGAAAGAGTGATAGTCTTCCATCAACTATCTTCAGTGGTAACTGAGATCAATATGGTCCATATGGTCACTCTGTCTACCGTTGAGTGTAAGCCAGTGAACACCACGTCAGATAATTTTTCTGCCTTTGAAGTATTGGCTGACCAGAAATAAGTGGTTGTCTGAGCACATTTATTGTAGGTGGTTGCCGATATCTGTCCGTTTAGCTAGGATTCATAAAGCACCACCTAAGTATCTGTCTGTCTGACTCCACCTATCCACCTTCACATTGAAATCACCTGCAACGACAACTATATCCGAACACTTAGCTTTCAGGGGGAGACTAGAAACTTTTCGGGAAAACGCATCCATCTCTTCACCCGAATTGGAGTTAGTGGCTGCGTAAGCAGAGGTTACAGAGGAAAAATGGTGAGTTCTTCCTTTTTGTTCTCATTATGCCGATCAGTTGAACAGGACAAAGGTGACTATTAACTGGGATCCCGTCGAATAATGAACCTTCCGCCTTACCATTCGATGATATACCCTCACCCGTCAAACAACGAGAATTAGTCATCCAGTCTCCAGTTCCTCGAGGGGTGAGTTTTGTGGATTCACCATATTGACTGGGAGAAATTAAGTGAATAACAGCACTTGGGTTCTGTAAGCGTGCCTTACAAACACAGTTCCCATCCATGGCCTGAGATGCCATAGCTTTGGCTCGCGGAGCTTGTTGACTGACTTAATGGAGGGTGCAGCCATTGAAAGCTTTAATATCTGGGTTAGTGCGCCGTCCCAGTAGATGAGGGATGCTATCCCGTTAACTGAGATCGTTATTAGGGGCTGCCGAGCTTAAAGGTATTAAAAATGCTATATGGAATACTAACCGAGAGATGCTAAGAAAAATTAGAAGGGAAGATGTGGAAGGTTGATAGTTATGTAAAGGAAATAGAGTGTAGACATTGACGCGAAGCCATTTGACACTTGTTGGTTGTCTGCTCCGTTCAAGACTGCTTCTTCTTGAGGTGCTTGGAGCAGAAAGTGAAGTGATTTTGCGTGACGATAAAACCTAGAGAACATCAGTTGGAAGTCGATCACAAAGCCAGATATGAATTTAAAGATATGACTTTGAATGTTTTGAATAGACGCATGAAACCTATACCACTGACACCAAAAAACTGCAGGGCAAAAAAGAGTGTACCAATTATGGGGCTGACCTTTTCTAATAGCCACTTCGATAGGGAAGGTAACTGATTTTATTGTTACCGATAGATCTTTCTGATATTGTGAGGCCATCAAGAAACAAATATTTTCACGAGTCATAACCTGTTGAGTCATTGTAGTACGGTTACTCGGTTGACTCCTCAAGGTAGCAGCCATCAATTGAGAAAACTAGTGCGTTGAAATACGTTTTTAGCCATAATTAGTATATTTTCATTAATCCCGCAGTCTACTTTCATATTACATACTCGATTAGTTCTATCTCGAGTGCTCTTAGATATGAGTAATACTGGTTTCTTTCGGTTAATTTTAGGAGTAGTTTCTTCAGCCTGTACTACGGGTGTATTACATTCTGTTGACGGAGGAGTAGAACAAATTCCACAGAAGTTGGTTGAAACTGCACTGGCGGATAACCCTGTTGATGTACCGAAGGAGTTTATACATGCTGAAGTTAAGAAGATAACGAAAACTGATGATCATAAGTAATGGAACTCAGTTACAGACAAATTTTGTGTTTATGTCTATATTAAGTGTTGTCATCAACTTGCTTTCTATCGTGTTTTTTTTAATCAGAGCTCTAGGTCGTTGGTTTAAGCAGTCAACTTTCAACTGAAGAAATGTATGTTTGAACCCTTCTATATCTGTGTTCGGAAAGCTGGATAGCAACATCCACCCTTTTGCAATAAGTGTACTAGGATTTTCATTGTAACTATTAAAATAATCACTACTCTGCTGAAATTTCAGTTCATCACGATTAGCTGGATTAGTGTACTTAAATCGCTCATTTAGTTGGTAGCTTAGTATGCATAAATCCTTAGTCAGTCAGTTTTTTGTCTCACTATTCGTTTCTTTTGCTAATATTTTCGGGCTGAGAAATTCTATGCACATAGGGGAGCTGAATGAAAGAATTGAAGGAAAAAAACAAAGGAAGAAGAGACTTAAAACTACTATCATTACTTCTCTAAGGCTGTGAAAATGCGAATATCCCATGATCGCTTTGTAGCTTAATCTGTTGGTTTTGTAAGAATGGAAGTATTATCGAGTACTCCCGAGCTTTGAAAAAAATGCGAAGTTCACTGACCATTATTCGCTGGTAGGGCTGCGAACAAATGTCAAGTGTGGAAGCTCTTTTTTTCCGCACTGATCAGGTTATATATATCGTAGTGTTTAGATAATGATATTATTGAATTGTTCAACTAAAGAAGTGTCAATTTGAGGTAAGTTGTATACAATTCCATATTAGATTTGTTTATTTGATATAAAGCGCACAGTGATACAGTATTATTTACTTGATTACGTTTCGAGCATAAATTATTGCTCATAATCATATCAATGTAATCACACTTCTTTCGACATCTGATTTTATAGTCCTGTCACCTGATCTCTCTTTGTTTTTTTGATTGGTAGTAAAGTTTTCCATATCTCTGGTATAGGTGTTGCGTCATTCCTATTACATGTGTTGGGTGTGGATTCGATGAACAAAGATTCAGTAATTAATCTCTCTCTCCACCTAGCTATATTAGACTTAAGTACAGTGGTTTTGTCCCATCCTATTGTGTGGTTGTGTGTTAATGAATGTAATGCAATGGCTGAGTGTTTTTCTAGGTTATTGATCTTATTGGGGTCTGCCGTTCTATGTTTAGCTAAATTCCTATGTTCTGTTAATCTAACTGACCCCGACCGGCTAGTTTGACCTATGTATTTGACTTCACAGTCATTACATGGAATTTGGTAGATTATATTATTTTGCTTAATTGGTTCTATCGGATCTTTTAGCCGACAAAGCTTACCTCTAAGTGAGTTTGTTGGTTTAAATGCCACCCTAATTCCAACCTTGTTGAGAATCCTACGTATGGTTTCTGATGTTCCTTCCTTGTATGGTATCACAATAGAGGTGTTGATTTCCTTTCTACTTATGTTGTCACTATTATTTGTATTTGTATTAGTGTTATTATTTTGCTTCTTATGTGTCCGTGTGAATTTCTTAATAAAATGATGGGGATAATTATTAATTATTAACGCTTCTTTTATGTGTTTCAATTCCTTATTTAAGTCCTTACAATGACTAGTGAGTTTCTCAGCTCTGTTATTTAGACATTTGACTAAACCCGCTTTAACTGACACTGGATGAGATGACTTGAAGTCTAGATATCTGTTAGAATGTGTTGGTTTTCTGTAGACGGTAGTATCTAAACCACCATCTATCCTTCGTTTTATTCTGCAATCCAACATAGGTAATTCTCCTTGTTCATTTTCTACTTCGTAAGTGAATTGGATTGCGTTAACTACTGAGTTTATGTGTGTCAAGAAACTGTCGATATGTTCCGATTTCAACACTGTAAATGTGTCATCTACATATCGCCACCATATCTTAGGTTGTATACAACCCAAAATATATTTGATTTCATTGAAGTAGTCTACCCGATGTATTCCGACAATAAATAGATATCAAATGGACTGAAAAACTAACTTAGAATCTGAAATAAAAGTTCATTCGTCCAACTTATCATACTTCGTAACAGAACGCAAAGAAGAGATAGTTCGAAAAATTGATATTTATGTGGATAACAGTTTCTCAGGCGACAGAGAACAAACAAATAAAGGTCAATGAAAATATTTAGACTGTGGCGATGGTTGAAGGTAAAATGAACATTTGGATCGGCGCTCGATTCCAACGAGCCACCACCGGGTTTCGGACCAGATGCTCTACCAACTGAACCACGAGATCCGACTGCTGACCATATTTTTATTTCACTTCAATCACCATAGGTTTCGCCCGTCTATCGTGGTTCAAATTTTCACTTCACCTTCAATCATTACCCAAACTACGACTATCTCAGATAGTCAAATGATGATCAATATGATGCTCCCTCTCTCTAATTCAGTTAGTTTTGGATTGAAATGAGAAATCCTGAGTAGGCAGCCAGTGGGAATATGATCAAGTGGTAGTAATGTGCCGCATGGTAGTCGGGCAAAACCTATGGCGATTGAAGTGAAATTTAAATCCGGTCAGCTGTCGGACCTCGTAGCTCAGATGGTAGAGATCGGACCGGAAACCCGGTGGTGGCTTGTTGGAATCCGACCATGGTCCGATGTTTCATTTCACCTTCAGTCATCTCACCAGTATAATTACTTGTCTGCCAAACTACGGTCAAATGATAAAGAAAATATTTAGGAATGCGAAGATCACAAAAAGCGAGTCAGTGTTAAATTGTAACCTGGGAGCACTGTTAGAGGATAATTCCATATGAGGTTGTTATTTAACATAGCATACAGTGATACAGTTTCGAGCATAATTTATTGTTTATATTCACACCAAAGTAATCATTCTTCTATCTTAATGGTAGTAAAATTTCTCAGATATTCTGCATTATGTGATGAGTCATTTCTGTTACATGTCTTTGGCGTTGATTCAATGAACAAGGCTTTTATGATCAATCTCCGTCTTTATCTAGCTATATTGAATTTTAGAGTTGTCACCCGATAATAGGTCAGCCCATGTAGAGTGAAAGTCGAGTTTTTCTCTTAATTGCTTATCTTATTAGGGTCTATCACTGTTTGTTTCGCTAAATTTATGTGCACCTCTGTTCTGACTGACCCCGATCAGCTGATTTGACCTACATGCTTGACCTCATAGGCATTCCATGGTATTGGATAGATTAGGTTATTCTTCCTGGGTCTTTTAGCCCACAAAGTTTCTCTGTGAATGCGTTTTTGCCACCATAATTCCAGGATCGTTGAGAATTCTATTTTAATTTGGGGGTTTGGGGGATTTAGTGATTTTTCAAGTTGGTTTTCACTATTGGACACCTGGGAGCACTGGACAGCCATTTCGTCCCAGTATGGGACTCCTCAACACCACGCAGCCATGACTGATGTCAGTCCATGGTGAATACCAACTTGAAAAATCACTAAATCTCCACAAACCCCGAAATTAAAATTGACTCAGCGTTAGCTTCGAGAGGTGATTCCTGAATTTTCAATGAGAATTCGTGACCGGTGAGGCAAACCTGGTAACCGTAAGGACTAATACTCAACGATGACATTGGCTGGTGGTCGCTCTTTGTCGTAAACTGACAGAAGTAGGAAATATGGACCACTGGATTCTGACCGAGTGGCTCAATGGTAACGTGCTGGTCACAGAAAGTGAAGGTCCTGTGTTTGATCCCTGGCCAGGCTGGATCATGAGTACGCACTTCGGAGTAGTCCCATACTGGGACAAAACAGTGTCCAGTGCCCTCAGGTTTCCAATGTTCCTCCAACTGGTATCGGTTCGGAATTCTGCCTAGGTTTTCCTATGTATCTTCGTCATATGGCAACACTACAGAGGATTTGAATTCCCTCTCAGGCATGTTACAACTACCACTAATATTATTACTCCTTCTTTTACAAGTCCTTATGAACTTTCTAAAACATTTTTGAGAGTAGTTACTAAGTAATAGCATCTGTTTGATTTTTTTTGTTTAAATTTTCTGACTCCTAGCCCGATTGCTTAGACATTTTATCAAGCCTACCTTGACAGATATGAGGTAAGATGATGATGTGAAATCCAGGTGTCTATTCAAATGTGCTTCTTTTCTGTAAACACTGGTGTGTAAGCTTCCATCTTCTCTCCTTGTGATATTGCATTCCAAAGATGGTGATTTTTCTTCTTCAATTTCTAACTCGTAAGTGAATTGGATTTCATCTACTACCGAGTTATTGTGTGCGAGAAATCTGTGGACGTGCTCTGATTTCAACACAGTAAATGTATCATCTACACGTTGCCACCATATTTTTGGGGTGGATAAGAATGTTCCTAATACTGTTTGTTTCCAGCTATTCATAAGTCTCTGCTACAATCGGAATGTTGGAGATACCATCGCTACTCTTTCTGTTTTTTTAATATATTTTGTCTTGGTTTGAGAATCGTGGGAGTTAAACAATCTTATTTCTAGCCTAATTTCTTCAATAGAAACTAGTTCTCTTACTAAGTTCATTGCTGGCTGCCTCAAGTACCATATTAATTGGTACATTTGCATAGGCTCGTCACATCAAAGCTGATCATCTTTTCTCCCTCTAATTATATATTGTTCAGTTTCTGCTTTAATTCTAATGAATTGATGATCCTAGAATGCCAGCGGTTTCTTATATGATATAGTATTGCAGCTAAATATTTAGATAACTCATTTGGTGGTGTGTTTCTATTGGCCTAATGAGATAACCCGTTTTATTAATCTTAATGGCACAATATAGGATTATTAGTTTTAGGCGTTAAGTTAAACCATTGCGACTCATCCAGGGATCGCTTCATTCAGCATATTAGAACAGCTATGAACTTTTAAATGTTACTCGTAAGTGTATTTACAAGTTTTATTTTACTTTACTCTTATGTTCATTGACTTTTCCAAGTAATCCGCCTTGTCCCCATAACTGCTGTCCAGTTGCCTTTGTCAGATTTAGCAAGTACTATGCTATTGTCATTTCTTCAATTTGTCTGTGCGAAAATTTCTGGTATCGTCAAGTTTTCCCTCCCTTTCTTTTAGTGTTAGTGCACGTAACTGATCAGTAGTTTTCTTAAGTACTGAGCCTATTACTACTTCTATACTAGATAAATGTCTTCAGGTTTGAATTGAGCTACTGCTACATTGAAGTTTTTTCCATTTTCGAGGACTTTTACTTCTCGTCTCTAAAGTTGTAAAGCTTGATCATCGGGTAGCCCTTTAACTATCAACCCAAGTCACAAATGTTGACATTTGCAATCTTATAACATCAAACAGCTTTCTTGAAAGGAACGCAAAGGATAACCTTCTGATTAGTTACTTCTAAATGCTGAGGATTAGATTCAGAGCACCAGATCAACTTGGCATATATCTTGTCTCTCTTAACCATTGACTGTCAATCATAGTCTACCTGATCATTTACATTAAGTCACTTTACTTCACGTCACATCAATTCAGTTTGCTGGTTCATATTTCGGTTTGCAGGTATAACATTTTCATTTCACTTCAGCACTATTTCTGCAAAGTAATTTCTTCATCCCTTTTTTTCAGATTGCGTTTATCCTATGAGTTAGCCAGCAGTAATAAAACTGAGGAAGCTTCATTCGACTATGTGATACTGGCGATCCCACTGCATCAGGAATCTAATCTTTTAACTTCAGCTGATATAAACTTACCGAAAATACAATATCATGAAATGTGTCGCACATTTTTATCGGGTAATATCAATTATTCCCTGTTTGGTTTGCCTCCAAGTGAGTTACTATTTTCATAGTGTTCTGATTGTTTACGTTTTATGTTGAATGTAAATTTTTCCGACTGTTCATTGTCACTAAGTTGTCTGCCCTACTCTTTCTGACATTGTTTTTTACAAATAACTGGCGATATGCCATCCTATTAGTTCATGTATTCGAGTTCTTTTCTGTTGTTATTGGATTTTAATGAACATAATTTTCATCCGTATCATCTTACTTTATCATACGTTTGTTTTCCGTTTGAATATTTCAGAATCTTTGGAAAATCATCATTTGGCTTCATTTCTTCCAGTTGCCAATTACTGTTTGCATGAAAAACATCCTGTGAGAAGCATAATGCACTTACCGGTGAAACCCACGAACACTGAAGCACCAGATGGCATTTGGAGTATATTTTCCGAACCGAAATCCATACCCGACCCAAAAACATTCCTATCAAATTTAATTTTGAAAAATCCCAATGATGAAGAAAATCGTGTTGACGTGATAAGATGGTTAGCGTATCCAAAATATCATCCTGTTGTGAGTGAATATATATATATATATATATATATATATATATAACATCGCCTGGTTAACTAGTTCCCTAGTTACTAGCCGGTCCTAAGCACGGGTAAAGAGGGAAGGTTGGGCATACGGCTAGCAACCCTATCCCGTAAAACAAATCTAACCACTAAACAGACTTCAAAGCACAAACAAAATATAAAAAATATAAACAAAATTATTCCTCGCTGGAATCGGAGAGGCGAAATGACGCCAGTTGGTGAAAGCCTTCAGAAAGTCAAATGCCCAATGTATCTCCTATCTCTCGATGAAAGCGAAAGTAAACGTGGGGACATGGAATGTGCGCAGGATGTTTGAACCCAGTAAGGCAGCCCAGATTGCAAAGGAGATGAGAAGGTATCACATTGAAGTGCTTGGAATTTGCGAAAGCAGATGGAATGGGAGTGGACTCTCCAAACTGTCAACTGGAGAATCAATAATCTACTCCAATCTTGTCACCCAGACGACAACCACAAGCAGAGCACACTGAGTTATGGAGTGGCTATCATGATGTCCTCAAGAGCATCGAAGGCTCTCATGCAGTGGGAACCAATCTCCTCAACGATCAGGATCATGACAGCAAGATTCAACTCGAGAGGAAGAAAGGTCACAATCATACAATGCTACGCTATGCACCTTCAAATAATGCAGAGCAAGAGAAGGAGGAGGAATTCTGCAGACAACATCAATCAACACTGGACAAGACACCACTCAAGTTGGCGATATCAAAATTCTAATGGGTGACATGAATGCCGGACTGGGAGGGGACAATACAGGAAGAGAACTGACCATGGGTCGAGAAGCACTCGGTGAGGTGATGAACGAGAATGGAGAACTGTTTGCAGAATTCTGTGCATTCAACGATTTGGTAATTGAAGGCAGTATATTCAGGCACAAAGATATGCACAAAGCGACATGGATTTCACCAGATGGACACACTAAAAATCAAATCGACTTTATCTCAATGTGAAGGAAGTGGATACTCAGTCTACTTAACACAAGGTGAAGAAGAGGAGCAGATGTAGGTTCAGACCACTCACACCACTATCTGGTGCAGGGAACCTACCTTCCAAATCAAGTTAAAAGCCTTGAAGGAAGCTGGTGATAGACCGCAGTCCAAGTACAACACTCGGAAACTGAAGGATGAAACTACAAAGTAGCCATCAAGACAAAATGTGAGATATCGAGGAACATCCCTGAAGAAACCTGTGTGGAAGAACACTGTGACTCTTTGAAAGCTATGTGGAAAGAGACCTGCACAGCTGTATTAGGAAGGAGGGAAGAAGAAAGAAGACAAGGAATGGATGTCATTGGATACATGTAAGCTGATAGAGCAGGGAGATGAGGATGGTGAAGCAGAAGATAAACCAGTGGAAGGACGCTCAACGACAAGAGGAACTGAGTATAATGTATAAAACAGTGGACAAAGAAGTGAAGAAGAGTGCACGGAAAGACAAAAGACACTTCTACGAGACACTGGCAAGTGAAGCAGAACAGGCTGCCGGTTGGTAGGAGAGATAGAGACCTGACAACATTGTATCAAATAACCAGGTTACTATATAGAAGGGAAGAGACCAACACAGACGAAACCAGTAAAAAGTGATGAATGAAATTAAATGACGAAAGAAGAGAAACAGAGGAAACAATGGGCCGACCACTTCAAAAATCTCTTGAATCGACCACCACCACCACCACCTGCACTTCGTCCAGAAATACCACCTGAAGCCGCTGAATTACAAGTGAACATAAATCCCCCAACGAAAATGGAAGTCGTGAACGCCATAAAGCTACTGAAATGTGGGAAAGCAGCAGGAATAGACGGGATACCGCCAGAAGCACTGAGAACAGATGCAGAGACAACAGCGGACATGCTCACACCACTATTGCAGAAGGTGTTGAAGGGAGGGAAGCTACCTGGCTAGTGATTGGAAGAAGAGTTACCTTGTCAAACTAGTGAAGAAGGGAGACCTTAGTGTTTGCAAGAACTGGCGCAGAATCACTCTCCTGTCCACCCAAGCAAGCAACATACTAAGCCGCATCATCCTGGAGAGGCTTAAAGATGCACTGGATTCAAAACTGCGACCGGAACAGGCAGGCTGGCTGGATTCAGGAAGTACAAATCATGTGCAGACCAAATTGCAACGCTTCGTATCATCATAGAACAGAGCATAGAATGGCAATCAGCTCTCTACCTGAACTTCATCGACTTTGAGAAGGCCTTTGACAGCGTCGACCGAGAAGTAATTTGGAAACTGCTTCATTACTACGGAGTACCGCAAACCTTTATCCGCCTCATTCAACAACTATATGAAGATGCCACATGCCAGCCAAGTGATTCACAATGGGAAGCTCAGTGATGCTTTTGAAGTGAAGACAGGAGTGAAATCAGGCTGCTGTCTACTATCACCCATGACATTCCTGATTGTGGTTGACTGGATCATGCAGCAAACAGTGGGGAGCTGTGAGAAGAGGGGGATACGCTAGCTGGACTGTGGAAAAGAACCTAGAAGATTTGGATTTCGCCGATGATGGCTTGTGCCTGATGTCACACAAACTTGAAGATCTGCAGGCGAAAACTAACAAGTTGATAGAAGAGGCAGCGAAGGAAGACGGGACTTCAAGTGAATATAGAGAAGACAGAGGTGATGAAGATACCGCACCACCACATCAACAACAACAACAACAAACTGCAATCACCGTCAACGGGAGAAACTTAAAGGAAGTAACCTCCTTCACTTATCTAGGCATGCAGCACTGTTTCAACTACAGGCGGGACGGACGTGGATGTCAAAGTCAGAATCGGAAAAGCAAGACAGGCGTTCATTAGCCTGAAAGTAGTGTGGAGATCTTCTGCACTCAGCATGTGGAACAAGATCCGGATTTTCAACACCAACGTCAAGTAGTGCTTCTGTATGGTTGAGAGACTTGGCGCGTCACGAAAGGGATTTCCAATAAACTACAGACATTCATCAACAACTGCTTACGCTCGCTGCTGAAGATCAGATGGCTGCCAGAAAGAATAAGCAACAAGGAACTCTGGGGACGAACCAACCAAGAACCTATCACGCAAAAAATATGGAGGAAGAAGTGGAGATGGATTGGGCATGCACTGAGAAGGCCAGTCGCTCAAATGGAATCCCCATGGGAAGCGACGAGTTGGACGTCGGTGCCGAGGGTGACATGGAGGAGATTGTGCGAGGAGGAAATGAGAGCTTGTGGGCTGTCGTGGAACCAGGTTTAAAAGATCTCAGAGAACAGAGTTCACTTGAGACGTGCTACTGAAGCCCTATGTTCCACTAGGAACCCAAGGGATTAATAATAATAATAAATAATGTATATATATATATATATATATATATATATATATATATATATATATATGTATATATAAATTGATGTGTGGTTATGTGAAATGGGGTTCTCTGAAGTAATGCCATTAGTAATGGCTAGCCATTACTTAGTATAAATTTCTTATTATTCAACTAAACTGACAAGTCATTGTGGAAAAATATTCAACCATCGGATACCTGTTGCAATTGGGCTTGTGAGTCATTGTGACTGAATGAACTCTGCTGACAGGAACAATTAATTTTCGAGTTCGTACCATACCAGAAAAGTATGTGTTGGCAGTGGTTAGACAGAAAGAAATTACTGTGATAGTGTGAATAGTCAATGTTCATGAGTGTGGATGGTGGGGGCTGGTGTCTAATGATGAAGATGAAGTTATACCGCTGAGTGTACTGTACAGAGTGTGGCAATAGTAAAGTATTTGTGAAGGTTAATCAGGATCGCGTATTGATGCTGACTTTGTTTATTGGAAGGAGGGGGTTAGAAAAGATTTCCAATGTAAATGGAACTCCCCTTTTCGCTATGCCGCCTTCTGGTTCTAAACGAAGCGTAGTGAACTAAAAATTGAAAGCTCTACAGCTTCATTAAATTCTCAATATTCATAGCACTAAAATATCGACAAATCCTACTTGACTGAGATCAGTCAGTTAAAGCAGAGTAAAGGAAATTGAAGGGAAAGGTCATGTCAGGGTGTTAAAGGATAAAGGAAGTAGGTTACCAGAGCAACTGAAGACTAACAAGGAATCGAAAGTTGAAATATACTGCATGCGTATGGATATTGATTACTCATAGATGGCATACTGTGTTGAACTTTCATAAACTGAAATAATGAGAGAGAGTTAGTAATGAATGTTTTTGTTGTATTGGTTTATCTGGGCTCTGTTGTTTAATTGTAAAGTTTTCAGTGTCTTTCTAGTCAACATGGGGAAAACTGATTTTACAGTGAATGTCAGAGAAGGCAACACAACGAGAATCATTTCCCTGAGATGCAATTATTCCGAACCATTTCAAAGTTAATAGTGTCTTACGTGGTTTGTTTTGTTGACATTATAGAGTTAAGGATAATTGTTTGTTCTGTTTGTTGTCTTTATGTTGAATACTTTTTCGCCAGTATCTATATATATATACATATATGTTGACAAGGTAATTATTCCTGTTTGAATTTGAATCCAAGGCTGATCCATATACAGATTTAGGACAGTTCAAGTTGGCCCCGGGAGTGTATTATCCTAATGCTATTGAACTTGCTGCTTCATGCATGGAGATGGCTATAATTGGTGGACGTAATGTGGCACTTATGATTGCAAAAGAAAGAATTCCACCAGTGGATTCTTTGTTGTCAAAAGTGTCAAACTTTATGAACAACTTTTTTCGATGGTAGTACTTTCTTGTCTGAATCTAGTTCACTTTACAATTTATTTTTTTCTCTCATGATGTTTGAGAACTTTTTAATTTCGCAAGTATTCGAAACGAAACATCATTCTTTTTTCAGTAATATAGTGAAAATTTCAGAGAGTTAAATGAAACGTTTTTGTATCCACTTCATCTTTTCTTACTTTGATATCTATGTAGTTTTAAGTGTTTTGAAATGTTTAGTTTTTTGAGTGTACACTCATTTTGACAGATAGGAATTTTGAGGGAGTTGTGGAGATTCGGAAATATTTCTAGTTGTTATTCATCGTAGACTGACATCATTTGGAGGAACAAAGGAAATATACGAGCACTGGACGGTTACTCAACGATGACATTGGGTGGCGGTTGCGCTATATCGTGAGCTAACAGAAGTTGGAAATGTGGACCATTGGATTCTGACTCATTGGCTCAGTGGTAACGCGCTGGCCGGGGAACCTGAAGGTCGTGGGCGTGCATGGCTGAGGAGATAGGGATTTGTATGTAGTTTGTGTAACCATATTGCTAATTACCTCATGTAATCGTGTGCTGTTATATAGTGGAATGATAACCATTTTTGAATATCATTTCACTTATTAGATAGCTCAATAAACAATGCATAAACATCATCACTCATATCAGTAAATATCGATAGGTATTGAGAAATCACTTTGAGTAGTGGTAATACTGAGTATGTTTAAATCTATGCTGCGTGGACTTTTACAAACTTCTTATGTACATCAGTCACCGAAGGGAGTAACCATATTAATATCGTCTTATCCTGACTACTGACCGAATTCTATCGATCGTTTTGCATTTTTGCCATTAAGCTAAGCGACACGTCATCGTGATTCACCTTAATAGAGTTTAATTGGATGGAGGCAGTGTAATAACTGCTCCGAGGGGGAAAATGAAGAATTTCACGAAGTTATAGTTCGAGTCCATGCATAAATGCCAATAGAATAGTAGTCACATAGTATGATTTTAAATCTGAAACGTTACATGATGAACATTTTTTAGTGGATGATCTAGTTAACTATATGATACTCAGATCTAGATTTATCTGTAAATAGATTATGTCTAAATGCAATGAGATGGGTCTTCGTATACTCTTAGAAAGAATAATGAAGAGTCATTTTTCAGTGCACTGGCGTGACTTTAAAAAGAGGCTTTTAAGTTAAGCGAAAAATGTACAAGAATTGTAACGTCTATTATTCACAGCATACGGTAATCTCGGTTACCTCATTATTGGTCTGTATGCAACTGATGTGAATGCAGCGAAATGTTCGCCGGATCAAATTATTCAAAAGTATCTGCTTTAACCGAATTAATACAGCATAAACAAAACGTGGGACTCTGAATGAAGGTTGATTGGTATTTAAACGTGTGGACTGAGTTATTAGTGATAGTTTTTACTTATCATTAAATTTAAAGCACCGTTCAGTGTAGAACTTAGCAGAGAAGTGAATCAGATTAACTTTACGACACTACCAGTGCATAAAACGAATGAATGGTATCAAGGTCATCGGAAACTGCATGTGAAGAAAGCAAATAACCGAATGAAGATACAATAGAAATGGTAAACGATCAAAGGAAACTTCCAATCTGAAACCTCGTATTGCAATGTTAGATGAAGTGGATCTAAGTAGATTATCAGTCTAACACAGGACATCAGTCCATGAAAACTCTGTTTGTTGCTCTGAATTATGTAGTAAATCGTAGATTACATAGTAAAAAAGAACACCTGATGCAAGAAATGAAATTATAATTGTCCTTAAAACTCATCATAACGTTCCGGAGAAGGAGTTGATTATCAGCATAACGTTTGTGTGGAATGCATTGATGTATCTTATATAATTTGGCTCAAAACATCAGGCGAATAAAGCCGTATTAACTGCTCATTAGATTTTTAATACATGATGTTACTACTTACAAATGATAAGTAGTACAGTGGGTTAAGCAAAATAGTATTAGGCTGAAGGCTGGAATGTATCAATGTTAATGAAACCAAGTGAACTCTAAAAAAGAATTTCATGGTCAGATTTTTAGATACATTGTGGAGTGAGTCAGTATTTTATCGATGTACGACAGTAAGGTGTAAGTTATCTGGGCTTCGTGCTCAACCTTAATGGTTTACTGAACTCATTTCTGGTCAACATCATAGGACGAATTGGTTCTTCGTATTCGACCGGGATGGGATCAAAGATGAACTCTTTGAAGCTGGACAAATTTTTCTAACTACAAATGATTATTGAGTTATTGATTCAGTCCAGAATTTCTGCAGCTGACTCATCAAATCCTACGCAAGAACCAATCCTAACGTTGAATGGTGAGTATCAGTGATTGGTCAACTTGCTACGGGATACAAGTTTTGTCGAATCCGGACGCCAGGGTGATCATTAAGTGCATGCGGTTCGCCAGACATCTAATTCCTCTGGATCGTCTTCTGGCCGAAAGACCCCTGGTTCTTCGTCTCCTGTTCGTCATCTCAACAGCTCATACAATACCAAAAGAAACACGAAGAAGGCCCCACCGTCCCCTCGCTGATAGTGTGGAGCATGGCATTTCGTTAAATCTTGTCCTTATAAGCCGATTAAATGCAGAGATTGTAATGCTATGAGTCACAAGGACGGATTTTGCAAGCAGCACCCATCGCAAAGAACAGGCAGCTCTCCATCAAAGTCTAGACCAGTCGGCAAATCTCTTAGTTTTACTGCTGCTTTTCAAGCACGCACCAACACGGAAAAAATATATCACCGTCCAGACAAATAACCATTCAGTACAACTACAAATCGACACAGCTTCCGATATTAATGTCATTTCCAAGAAGCTGTGGTGGGAGATTGGTCGACTTCCTGTCCAGAAGACTGCACAAAGTACTAACAGCGCACGCGGTGGCCGTTTGCCACTAACAGATCAGTTATCATGTAGTGTATCTTTTCACGATACTTCGATAACTGGGATTAGTTATCTATCTGATGCTGATTTAAAACTCCTGGGTCTCGACTAGTTCGAGAGTTTGAAACTCGCAGACCTTCCACTGAATATGGTGTGCAGCAAAGTGGGAGCACCATCAGACCTTAACCATATTGTCACTGAGTATTCAGAGGTATTCCAACCTGGCCTCGGTCGCTGTATTACAGCCAAAGCCGTCCTAAGCCTGAAACCAGATACGTCACTTGTTTTTCGTCCTAGAAGACCCGTCCCATATGCATCGCTGCCTCTCGTCGAGGCAGAGCTGAAACAACTTCAGGAACAGGATGTCATTACTCCAGTATCCCATTCTTCTTGGGCTGCTCCAATCGTCGTCATAAAGAAAGCTAATGGCTCCATCCGACTGTGTGCTGATTTTTCGACAGGGTCACATGCTGCTTTAGAGCAACACCATTACCCCCTACCTGTTCCAGATGATTTATTTACTGCTCTAAATGCAGGAAAATATTTCGTGAAAATCGATCAGGCGAACGCATACTTACAGGTCAAAGTCTCTCCAGAATATGAATTACTAACCATCTATACCCATCGAGGTTTTTTCCAGTACGATTGTATGCCATTCGGCATTAAGACTACCCCCTCTATTTTTCGACAGATCATGGGTACTATGTTAGCAGGCATACCAGGTGTTGCTGAATACCTCGACGTCACTATAGTTGCCAACTGTTCAGCGGAATTAACGAATCGAATAAGGTTGGTCCTACAGCGAATCCAAGACAACGACCTTCTACTCAGAAAGGAGAAATATCGATTCTTTCTAAAGTCGGTAAAAAACTTAGGTTTCATCTTTGATGTATCTGGTAGACGTCCCGATCCTGAAAATATTCGTGCTATGCAGCAGATGCCCACACTAACAGATGTCGCTACTCTCCGATCCGGCCTCATCAGTTATTATTCGGCGTGCCTGACCTACCTACATGATAAACGGGAACCTTTGAATCGTCTCCTACGCAAGGATGCGGTATGGTGCTTTTTTGGAAGACAGTAACCTTCTTTGCGCCTAGAACATTGTCAGATTTGTGCTTTTTAATGAACAAAATTTAACAAAATGCCATGAACCACAATACGAAAAAACTGAAGGAGGTTTACTTGATGAGTGTGACTAACGTTTAGTGCATTCGGCTGAAGACTGAGGAGACTTTACCGCATCAAATTCAACCACATCAGTAGGTTGAGATTTATGCTCTACCATAGATGTGTCATGCTTCAAGTTGAGTAGGCACTGATATTCTATTGTGACCATCTGTAAAGTCATTTTAAGATCTTGTTCGACGCGTAACAAAATTATGGTTTGAACATCAGCATCTTCAGGGTTCTTCAGTCCATGAATGAAAATCAAACATTTAAACTGGTTGGATATCATTTCGTTGGCTCTGAGTCGTTCCTACTCACGACCGAATTTACCAGTGTCTTATAATCTTCAGAACGCAACTTGCATAATTGAAGATATTGAATACTGAATAGAGAGGAATGCTCACCAAAAACTTGGAATAAAATATTAATAGTTTGATTGAATAACAATTCAGAATTCTTCGGCAGAATAAAACTGACAGATTTGATCTACCCAATGGTGTCAAGTTTTCGTAATAATAATCGCATTTTGACTGAATCATCAATAATAAAGTATTCCATAGGAAAAACATCCTAATATCGATTAAACCATGAATTGGATATGGGACCAGATAGTGTATTGCAATTAAACTCACTCATAGAACTCATCATAATCAAGGTCCATACAGGACCAGGCATTACTGCGTAACGGTCTAAGTTGCCACACCTCATATCACCACATCAAGTAACAAGGAAATAAAATGGAAGGTGAAGGAAGAAAGAAAAATTGGTCAGAGGAAGTAGAAAGTAGTAAAAGGAAGGAAGGAAGAATGAGATGATGATTAAGAATAGTAGTTAAGATGGGAATAATGTGTGTATGCATCCGCGCCACTGATATCGGTTCTGAGCTAATCCAACCACTGATTTTTCTTGTCCCACGGACATCAACCTGCTAGTCCGCATCTCCCTACGTGGCTCAAAAGAGCAAAGACTTCACGCATTGCTGCCATGTTTCAGTCTGGCCACACCGAGCCTTTTTCCAGCCTGAACCTACTTTGGTCAACATTGTGCGACGAGGCAGATGGTGGCTAGGCATACGTAACACATGTCACAGTCATCTCAGTCGATGGAAGTTCACAACCACATCAACTGACTTACCCCCTCTCCTCTAAAACTCTACACCTGACTTCTGCGTTACTTACGTAGTGACACCACGAAACACGGCCAAAGCTACTAAGGCAACGGCTGTCAAGACCCTGAAGCCTCCATGTAGTGTTTTCTACCTTTAATAACCATGTTTCACAGCCATACAGTAGAACAGATCGGACTACAGTACAATACAGACAGTCGAATATCATGGCGGGGCCACAGATGGTGTGAGTTGACAAAAGCTAACAGAGCCTTTTCTGTCCGTGCAGATATTTCGTAGTCCCCTAAAATTGATCCGACTTGCCAGGCAAGTGGAGTGTTCAACGCGTTAAATTACTCTAGCCTCCACTGTTAGCCGGGCCATCACTGAAGACCAGTCCTGGAGCAACAATTTGCATTTGAGTGGCGAGGAACTCATCCTAAGGATCCTTAAATTGCCACTCAAGATGACTAAAAGACTCTACATCCTGTCAGCGTCTTTACCAAACTGGACTATGTCATCTACTTATTCTAGGTCTACCAAGAATTCTCCTGGGATCAGGTCAATCCTTGTGTAGTCAGAGGACAGGAATGAGACCTTCAGATGTACATCTATGATAAAACTGGAAATGCTTTAATATTTATCTGTATGAGATGCTGATGTTGACTGAGTTGACAACTTTTGTGTTAAAGCTTCGATTCTGCCTCAGTTTGGGTGCTTTATTTTGAGTCTGTTGAAGTTGCAAAATAGATTTGGGATCATCCAGCAAAGTAGACATGATGAAATAATAAACCAAATCCCGTCGCCAATTAAAATGACCAAGTGGAAGTAACTAACAAAAACCTGACGAAATACAAGAACGCTACCAACTTATTGAGATACTTATAATGGATAAGAATAGTGATTGTCCTCCCTCAGAACGTGATACTTCACTCAGCACAGAAAATGAGAAGATAAAGCCCAACTTGTGGTCGTAAGGAAGACAACTTTTATTTGACAAAAACACACCTAATTTGAGGGTTTGTGGGGATTTATTGCTTTCAAGTTGGAATCCATCATTGACTGAGACCAGCTGGAGGAACATTGGAAACCTGGGAGGCCTGTACAGCTGTTTCGTCCTAGCATGGGACTTTTTAGCAGTGCGCACCCAAGACCTCGCTAAGGGTCAAACCAACGGCCTTCATGTTCCATGGTCAGTACGTTGCCATTAGGTCACTGGGTCGAAATCCAGTGGTCCATATTTCCAACTTCTGATAGCTCGCTACATAATGGAACCATGGCTCAATGTCATCGTTGAGTATTTGTCCTCACGGCTACCATCTCAAGGTCCTGGGTGCGCACCTCTAAGGAATCTCATAGTGAGTCGGAACAGCTTTCCGGTGCTCCCAGGTTTCCAGTGTTCCTCCAACTGTTGTCAGTTCATGATGAATAGCAATCTGGAAAAAAACATTTTTATACAGTTTTTTCTCAGGAAATAAAGCCACTATATCAAAAGTTGGATATTTATTCCAATTGATCAGCTGTAGGCCAAAGTTGTCCGATTAGGTTTTCCCTGCTCACACAGTAACATGTAACAAAGTTGAAATCCAAAACTTTCACCTTAACTGCTAATGACTTAGATTGTTGATTTAGATTTAAGCTGTTTCCTTTTCTACAGTGCTTTAACACACCATTTGTCTTACTTGACGTTTCCTCCCACAGGTTTTCTGGGATGTAACCCTTATATTCTTAAATCAAGAAAGCTGAAAACTACTGTAAACTGTAATAATATCTCAATAATGACTTATACATTGCTGTACTGCATGTTTATTCTAAGACTTCTTTTCATGCGTGAGCTGTTCATTATGGTCTGTTATATAAGTGGAACTTCATCATTCGTTTTAAAAAGCTGTCTGACTAACTCGCCAAAACGCAGACACGAGTCTTATATGAAAAGCTACTAGGTTTTTTAGCAAGTGATTTGGATTGGAAGAAGTCAACTACTATTTCCCTGTATTTATCAAATTCCTGTGAGTACATGACCAAGGTAGAACACGATTGGGTAGCCACGTATGAACTGGATGTTTGAAGAGTTATGCCAATATACTGAGATGTGTGAGCTAACTGTTTAAGGTATTGTGAACAAGCAACTGAACACTACTTGACAGCGTAAGAAATGGGGCTATCCTTAACCTTGCATCCTAAGCTTAGAAAGTTTATTGAAACTATGAAGGTTAGCCCCAATACCAAAAGTCGTTTAAATTTAGGCTATTGATTGTAGGGGAGTTAGTTTCCACTACAGGTTCACGTAAGAGCGAAGAAGGGTTATGTACAGTCTTAGCATAATTCATACGAAAGTAAGCTACGCGAACCACATCTATGCATGTTAAGAGTGATTTTACAACGTCTTAAAAATGCGAAGCAGCTGATCACTTCGACACAGAATTACAACTTCGAATTTCATAACAGCCTAGGAATACCGAAATGTATTTTATCAGAAAGCAAGTACTACTATGAATCTTCACACCTCATTTCAAATCTACAACGTTTGGAATGCGACACTAGCATGAGAGGCAGCTGGTCCATGAATCAAAGGTTTGAGAAGGAAACAAGGTGGCTAAGTAAAGATAAATACTTTTTGCTCATCTAATTGAGACTCAGAGAACATCAAGTGAATGAAATGAAGTCGCATTTAAATCTTCTTGCACAATAAATGTTACTCCTATTTCATAACTTCTAACAGTGACAGGGCTCTTGGTTTATTCCCCTGCTCATCTTACTTAACTTTACAGACGAGTTTAATTGCCTTGTTTCTCTTCATTACCCTACTATTGTGACTCTCATAAAGCTCTATCATTATTTACTTTCTGTCTAATACCGCCGTTAGGCAATTACTGTTCATATGGCTGTGTTTCCGCATGCTCTGTACACTGACTCTTCAAATCATCTTAATTTCATATACCTGTTCAGACGCTTGTTTTGTGAAACAGCACTCCTAAATCCCAACAGCGTCATTCTATTTGGACAAAGAAAACATTTCGCTGCAAACCAAGTTAATGTTAGAGGACTAAGAGGAAAAAAGCTGAGATGAGGACGCTTTGCAAACACTTGCACACATGCATCATATTGGTAACATAGTCTGGAGTGTCACTGGATATTCTTGCAAGAGATGCATTTCATGGACATGAAACTCTTCTGCAGGGACAAAGAGCTCAGAGAGAGTTGTTGAGTTGCTCCCTATTTATGCTTACGCTTAAAGGTAACAGTGACCAGCTATCCAGCTCTCCTCCAACTCACGGACCTCTGACCAAAACCAAATGACCCTCAACGCATTCTTGGTTTCATCCTCTTCAGATTGCAATTCCGCGATCATCCCTGCCGACTTCGACACACCATCCATGCAGTTCAAGACAAGAAGGAGACATACCGAAAGATCTTTTAGTCAGAGACTGAAGAGTACGTTTAAAACCGCTAATGTCTCAGATAAGGTTAGTAATGTCCCACGTTAGGGTCTAACGTTAATACATCATGCAAGGACTATGTTCTTCTCATTGAGAACAAATGTATTCGGTCGCCTGTTGGACACAGTGATCGTGCCGTAATAACCTGCTCCATGATGACTTAGAAGCCTCTGTGACCGGAGATACTGGACACCCGTCTTTGCTACAGAAAGGCTAACTGTGAGATGACGATAGATTAACTCAGGACTACATCATAGCCTGAAGACTAGAACAGGCTCACAATAGAGGAACATTGGACACAGGTGAAGGAAATTTTTAGGACCATCTGTTACAATGTATCAGAGTTAAAACACAGGCACTAGTAAGAACCTCTTTTCGAAAGCGCGAAACAGAAAGGTGACTCTAGAGCAAAAGGGGGGCCTTGATTCCAGTGGTGTCAGTCGCACAGGAAGTCAGTCTTATTGATCTACAAAAGAATTCACAAAAGTTCGATAAATGAGTCCAAAGCGACAGATTCAACTGTCAATCAAATCTAGCGAGAAGGTTAAAAAGTAACCCCAAAAACCTATACAGCTTGATGTCAGGACTCAGACCGACTAGTAAGGGAGTTTACCTCATAACACGCTTCAATGGAGATGAACTGAGAAGTTTAGAAGCAGTTGAGTTTCCAACCTCACGTTTTGAAAAATAGCTTAGTGCTTCTGATATCAAATCCATACTGACAGGAAACGACACTCTTCAGACTGACGGGGATCAGTATCTTTGTCACATCTCCATCACAATAACAGTATCAGAGAAACTACCTAGAACTTGTGCAGGCAAGCTCACTGGCTGTGACGAGTGGTATGAAGGTTACTTTTAAGCGATACCATTTTCAATCCCTCTTTGAGAATTACTGCTGGTCAGTTAGTTTCTGTCCCAGTTACTTAAACACCTGACTAATTGTGTTTTTGTCCAATATATCTAACATACAAAGCAAAAAACGAACTTCATCACACTTCTCAAACTTCTTTTTTATTTCTGCTTTATTGATATATATATATACAAATGTTCCTTAAAAATATTTTCTCATCTTAATATGATCACAAAAACAATATCTATGGGCGTATTATCATACGAACTACGCATTGGAATCGTCTTGGAGTTAAACTATGCATAGTTAATGTACACTTAAAAAGAAGATATTTGTTTACAATTTTGATTGGTTAACGATTACAGGATGGTGGTTGAGTTTACTCTCAGTATTGCAATGAGATTATGACAGCAACTATGAAGACAATTGAGGACAATTCATAAACCACCTGAATGTGGGTGATAACTTCAGAGCTGTACGAATCGCATCACATTCTGTTATGCTGTGCTGTAAGACTTGATTGTGTGTTATAGTATTAGAGTAGTCGAATCCAGGACAGGTAAGCTAGATAGAGAAAATGGAAGAACAATAATTTCAGTTGAAGAATTAGACATTGTAGTAGAGGGTAATTTTATATTACATTAATCTGTTCAATATTGCACATGGTGATACTACAGTATTTAATGGATGACGTTTAAAGCATAATTTATGGCACATAATCATGACAAGATAATCACAAAATGACTTGACTTTATTTTTTCAGTTCCACTACTTTTTCTTCGTTTATTCTATCGATAGAAAAATTCTGCATACACCTGGGATTGACGCTGAATCCTTTCTGATGGATATATCAGGTTTTAGTTCCCTGAACACAAACTGACTGATCGACCTTTCCTTTCACCTCACTACATTCGTCTTTGGTACGTCTCCTCTGTTCTAACCAACTGTGGGGTTTCTTCTGCCGAATTCTTCTCTAGATCACTCAGATGTATGTTCTGACAGACTGAATGATAGCGCAGAAGTTTCACTAATCTGAAAATGATAGATTCCACCTACTTAGATAATATACATGAATATTCAGCCAATGAGATGTATGCAGTAGCACAAACATACAGTTAAGTAGAACAGAGAAACAGCACTGAAAGTGTGGTAAGGTGGAAGGAGAGACCAGTCACTTATTCTGTGCTCACTAAACCAATGTCTAACACATGCAACAGAAATGATTCAATGTGAATCCCAGATGTATACGAAATTCTTCTACCAATGAAATAAACGATGGAAAAGTTGCAGGACTTTAAAAAGAAAGTCAAAAATCTGTGTGATCATTTTATCCTACCTATGAGTTATAAATTATCCCGCAAATGTCATCTAGTAAATACTTCACAACCACTGTATGCAATATCTAAGGGCGAATAGAAAAGGGTTTGGGCTAGGAATGATCAAGCCAGTGTTTTAGACTCTGGTGAAATATTCAAGCATATAGGGTCTACATCTAATACATTGAGATATTTCAAAAGATTTAAGTGATTATCACTCTGTATTTCAGTTTGAAAAGTTACTTCAGAAATATCCTGAGAATTTTAGTCATAGAAGAACGAAGCAAAGTTTATCTGCTACTAAACTTTAGACGTGAAATAAAGTTCTTGATAACTGCTTTCAGTGTAATTGGTTAGGGTTTACACTGGATATTGCGTGCTGCTCAGACGGATTTCGAAAAATACAAAATAAGCATTAACAACTGATAAGTATGCTTTACTTTTTATTCAGAAATTTGTATCAACAGGTAAGAAACAAAATGATAACAGTAATACGACTACGAATAACAGTGACAACACGAGTATAAAGGTGTTCAAAGCCTCCATTGTGTTACCCTATAAAGAAGAAATATCAGGAACTGTACATTGGATCCTCAACAAAACTGGAATTAAGGTTGCATTTCAACCTACAACCTCACCCAGAGATAAACTCTGTCGGCTGGCTTAAGAATCCGATATATCCAATTAGGCAAAATAATCGAACCTATCAAATTCCATGCAATAACTTTGAGGTCGAGTACATAAGTCAAACTAGCCGGCCGGAGTCAATTAGATTAACAGAATACAGGAATTTAGGTATATGTTGAATGACATACCCGAATAAGATTACTAATCTAGGTAAACACTCGGCTATCGCGATGCATGCATTAACACAACCACACAATAGGCTGAGTGGGATAAAACCATTGTACTTAAGTCCAATATAATTAGTTGGAGAGGGAAAGAGATTGATTACTGAGTCTATGTTCATCGAACCAACACCCAACACATGTAATCGAAATGACGCAACACCTATGCCACTGCCGTCGTATGTCTGCACAGTAAGATCGTCTGATAAAATAAATGCATTTTGAATTAACTGTTTGTTGACTGATTAATAAACAAATGGATTCACTAACGTATACTCAATAGTGATAGCTGAGAATCGGCAGATTAAGTGGTGCCTATGGGTAAAACTTTTTGGGTAGAATGAACAACTGATCAGAATTACGTGCGTTACACATGGTTCTCGTAGTAACGAATTCTAGGTGTTACAGTACAGACCAAAAGAAGGATTTAGTTAGCTATAGTTTCATTATTTTTTCAATGTTTTCTCTATCCGGCTAGTGTGTTCAAGTTAACAGGTTCTTTTCTAAATGAAAATGGTTTAACAGAGACCGGTAATTATATTCAGTGTTATCTAAGCTTTTATGATCTTTGGCCATAAATGTTTCGCTATCAGTCGTGAAGAAACTGTCAGCATTCATTTCACGCAGTAGTGAGGTTAATCCAAAAGCTATGTGAATGTTTAGCTAGTTATCCAACTTTGAGTAGCAGGGGAAGAGACTTCTGATACATTTAACTGGTCAACCTTCACTTTCATTTGGTCATATGGCAAAGAAATCATCATTTGTTACGGAAAGAACCAAGAGGGATTTAAGTGTGACGAAAAAATAATACAGCTACTGGTTAGAAAATCTGGTTAGCTAATGGTGTATAAATGATTAAACGAATTAGCAGTAATCATGACTATGTACTCTCCAGTGGAATATACTGTCACACAATCTGGCACTTACTTGAAATATCCACTGATAAAATAATTCTTCATTTGTAAAAAATATTCCTGGTAAATTAGAATCTGGTTGATTTAGGTTAGCTTGTAAGTATTCTTTGTATACTCGTCCAGCGATTTCAATAGCCAAAATCGATTGGAAGACATTTGTTGTATTAGACAATGATATCCAATTATCCTTTATTATTGAAAAAGGTGATTAAAATTATTTTTTGCAAATCAAATTTAATATCATATAAGCCTTTCTTATACACTGAATTTATTAGTAAGTATGATAACTTGAAGACTTCTGATACAATTTTAACAAGTATAGAAACAGAGATCTTGGAGAAATTACCTACTTCATTACACAAGAGAGATTTTAGACTTCACAATTTGCATGTACACAATGGGTCGAAGATAATCTAATATGGTGTGAAATAATCTGGATATTATTGGATGACGAGTGTGAACAACTTGATGTTGACGCTTTTGTCAAGTGGTGTTCGTTTCTTCAACAGTTTACACTTTGAACAACTTCAGACAGAGTAGATAAACTTGGTTGTAGCTAGCATAGGAATACAGGATGCGCGTTTTCTTCCTATGTGGGACTCACCAGCGGGATGTATCTGTATCACACTGAGTATTGTTTCCACTGAGACTCGGACCTCGTACTCATCGCTTCAAACGCCACAGCGTTATCGATTAGGCCCCTGAGGCTCATTTGTTTCAAGTATGTCAACAAATAGTTATTATGTGTATAGACGCCTCTGAAATCGATTATTTGCAAGGTAAAAGCGAAGTTTAACGGCCTAAAAATTGTTTTAAATATGACCACTGCTCATTTACATAACTGAAACAACTGCTCTACGAGTGTTTCACTGTGGACGCTGATAATCATTCAAACAAAATTACTACAATCTTATTAACAGAAGTTATGTAGCCAACTGCTGTCGAAGATGAAACGGGCAATGAGTTGTTGGCTAAGGTACCGTTATTTTATTTTGTTCCTATTGACTAAGTTTAACTAGTGATCCGTATACTCGCATTATTATTACCAATTTTCTAAGTGTAAATGCTTAAAATAAGTGTGTACCTCACATCAAAATGTGCATATATACTTTTACGTTGCTTTACTGAGTCGAATTCCTTCACCTCTTTTGGCAGATGGACCTCCATGTTATTTGTCCTTCAGGTTCCTAGTGGAACATACCGCTTCAGCAGCACGTCACCATTTCACTCTCTTCTCTCCAGTCCTTTCAACCTGGCCCTATCACTGTCCAGAAGCTTTCATTTTTTCCTCACACCATCTCCCCATGTCACCTTCGTCTCGAACGCACTACTCGTCGTTTCCCATTTGCGTTCCACTCGACAGCTTGGCCTGGCATGGCGCGTGATTTCCCCCAGTCGACCTTCTCAGTGTATCCCCAATCTAATCCACTTCCACTTTCTTCCGCATATTTGTTGGGCAATGGGTGGATGGTTGGTTCGTTGCCAGCCAGATTTGCTTGTTGCTTATTCTTTCTCGCCTTCTGATATGATCTTGAGTATCAAGTAAGAGTAGGCGGCAGCTGTTGATGAATTTCTGTAGTTTGTTGAAAATGCTTTTCGTAATGCACCAACTCTCTGAACTATCACATAGATTCACTGACTTGACTAACATTAGTGTTGAAAATTTGGATCTTCTACTTTCTGCTGAGTGCAATATACTTCCACACTGATTTCAGATTAGTGAAAGCCTGTCTTGCTGTCTTTCCGATCCTGGCCTTGACGTCTTCGTCTGTGCCACAGCCTGTAGTTGAAATGGTGCTGTCTGCCGAGGTAGGTGAAAGAGACTACTTCATTTAGGTTTCTCCCATCAATGGTGATTGCAGCTTGTTGTTGTTGTTGTTGGTGGTGTTGGTTGGGTATCTTCATCACCTCTGTCTTCTCTACATTCACTTGAAATCCCGTTTTCTCTGCCCTACCTCTTCTCTCAACTTGTTAGTTTTCGCCTATAGATCTTCGAGATTGTACGACATTAGACATAAACCATCGTCGGTGAAGTCCAAATCTTCTATGCTCTTTTATCGGTCCAGCCAGAGTATGCCACTCTTCTCACTCCCCACGGTTTGCTGCATGATCCAGTCCAGTCGACTACAATGAGGAAGATGATCGGTGATAATAGGCGGTAGCTTTATCTTACTCCTTCCTGTCTTCACTTCAGAGGCATCACTGAGCTTTCATTGTGAATCACTTGGCATCTGCAGTCTTCATACAAATGTTGAGTGGGGTTGATAAGAGCTTGATCAATAAAAGCGTCGTGTTGAAGCAGCTGCCTGCTAAATTACTTGTCGGTCGACGCTATCGAAGGCCTTTTCAAAGTCGATAAAGTTAAGGTACAGAGTCGACTGCCATTCTATACTCTGTTCTATGATGATGCGTAACGTAAAGTAGTGTTACAATTTGATCCGCACATGATTTGTACTTCCTGAAGCCAGCCAGCCAGCTTATTCCCGTCGTTATTTTGAATCCAGAGTATCTTTTAGTCTCTCCAGAATGATGCGGTCTAATATTTTGGTTGGGGTGGACAGGGCTGGAGCATGATTCCTCACTAGTTCTTGCGAAGGCTTAGGTCTCTCTTCTCTGGGAGTTTGACAAGGTAACTCTTCTCCCAGTCGGCAAGTACCTTTCCTTCCTTCCTTCTGCTGTACTGACTGGTGTGAGCATGTCCGCTACTGTTGTTTCTGCGTCTTTTTTCAGTGTTTCTGATGGAATTCTATCTGGTCCTGCTGCCTTGATATTATCTGAATATTCATTATGCTGTATCTTCACTTGACAGCTGGCAGTAAAATTTAGGATGCCTATTTCGTACGATTCGAGACTATTCAGTGGGTTGCTGTCACGTTCAGCTGACGAGTTCTAGATGGGACGAAACGCGTTTCTAGCTACTAATCAAAACTGTACAAGTTTACGTTTGTTACTCAATGTAAACCTGACGATTAAACACAAAATATTTCACACTGGAACTAATGGTGTTTAGATATTTAATTCTTCAACATGAATGCTATGACGTTTCATTTTTTTCACAAGGATGATGACTTCACTTCAAACACTTCTAATTTTAAGAGTATTAAAACAGAATAATGACTGAAGATTATCATGTGAGACAATAAGACTGTTCTACTTGACAAAGTAAGGACTGAAAAGAGTAAAATAAATCATTTTTGTTAACTTTCTTTTGCAAGATGTAGTCAAAACAAGTTGCTATGCTATTGTTCTGAATAGGAAAGTCTTTACCAGTGAGACGTTGAAACACAATAAACAATAGGAACCTGATATGTTAGAGATTTTATTATTGAACAATAAATTACTAGGACAAAACAGCTATTCAGTTTTCCCAGATCTCTAATAGTTCTAGAAATGATTGATGTCGGTCCGTGATGAATATCAACTTGAAATCAATCGGTATCCAGAAGTCTTCAAATTAAATTACTGCCTACTGCTGATTAGTGGCACATTTCGAGATGAGATTTCTAGAATTTCTAATGAGAAGTTATGACCGAAAGAGGAAACAAGGTTGGAAATTAGGACAACTACTCATGGACGGTATGAGATGAAACTTACATTATATCACGCACTGATAGAAGTAGAAGAATATGAACCGATGGATAACGGCCCAATGGTGCAATTATAGCATGTTCGCCACGAAATCTGAAGGTTCTGAGTTCGACTCCCTCAGTTTCGTAGGTGAACACTGTTGAAAGGTTGCACACAAGGACTAGATAACTGTTTAATGTTTTCAGGCTTTCAATGGTTCCTGACTTGATATCAGTTAGCGATGAATTTCAACTTGAAATCAATAAAACATCCACCAATCATCAAATCTGATCAATTATTGACCTAATTGAACAGACCGATTGTTTATTCTTACTGATTTCTATGTATAGCACTTACAAAGGGTGATAGAAGAGTATATTAACAGTCAAGAAATTATTTTTTTGAGTTATAGTGAGTGATATTACTTCACTTCTTCACACTGTGATGAAATTTCAGCATAATCATATCAAATAGAACAGTTCGATTTTTTGACTTCTTTTCAACCTTGGCTTTAGATTACAATATTATGCATTTAACAAAATGATACTAATTCTTCTGTGCCTTTAGTTTATAATGAATCACCTAGGTGATTTGTACGTCGAATATTTAGAGTTTTATCTGACTTTACTTAAATTTGATTTACAGAAATCACCAGGAACTTAAGTGACTCAGAGGATTTTAATCCTAAAATTCTAGAATTCGTTCACAACTGTGCTAATGATATCCATCAAGACATTAGGGAAAGCGGAAAGTTCCCTGAACACATATTTTTTCAGTGATTTCATTCTACATAGCTGCATAATCGCAATTTAAACGTTATTGATCCATTATTTTGAACAGTTACAAGCATTGTATTCTTCAGATGAATGAGGATTTTAGTTCTGAGGTAGTATTCATCACGAATTGACATCAATTGGGGAACCAAAAATACATTACCATATAGAGCTCACTAGTGACATGTGTCAAGATGGATATCACGAAGTTCTCATGAAAAGCCGTAGTATGTGGGGTCAATCAGTTGTAAGGGAAGCGGATGCCAACTGAAGACCTTAGGCGATAATTCCACTGTATCGTGGATTGATAGAAGTTGAAAAGTGTGAACTATTGAATTTTAACCCAGTTCTTGAATGGTTAAGGCATTTGCCGTGAAAACTGAAGACCCTTGGGTGGGTACTGCTGAGGAGTTCTATACTAGGATGACACAACTGCCCCGTCCTCCCCGGTTTACACTGCTTCTTCAACTGGTATTAGTCCGTGGTGAATACTACCTCAAAGTTGCAAGCTTCCTTGAATTAAACCTAGCAAGAAAAATCAAACTAAATGAAGATCAAATTAAATTTTGAGGGAGTTGTGGAGATTTGGAAATATTTCAAGTTGTTATTCATCGTAGTTTGACATCAGTTGGAGGAACAAAGGAAACCTGGGAGCACTGGACAGCTGTTTCGACCGGTGAGGTCAAAGCCCGATGGCCGTGAGGACAGATACTGAATGATGACATTGGGTGGTGGTTGCGCTATATCGTGAGCTAACAGAAGTTGGAAATATGGAGCATTGGGTTCTGACCTAGTGGCTCAATGGTAACGTGCTGGCCGCAGAACCTGAAGGTCGCGGGTTCGATCCCTGCTGGTGTGGGGTGGTGGGTGCGCACTGCTGAGGCGTCCCATACTAGGAAGAGCAGCCATCCAGTGCTCCCAGGTTTCCTTTGTTCCTTTAACTGATGTCAATCTAAGATGAATAACAACTTTAAATGAAGATCAGAAATTCACAAGGGAAGTTTTAGGTGAAAACTTATCGCAGATGCGTTCAAAAAGCAACACAGTTAGCAGAACAGAGTATAAAGTTGCATATTATGTGAAAATAATTTTCAAGATTAAGTGTAATCATGAGTAGCATAGAAACAAAATGAAGACGACATTTGGTTATTAAAATATCGTGTTATGCTTCCGATTCGAAAATTCATTATTCTTGAGAAATTATGATTTGGAAATTTCACTTGTGTGAAATAACAAGGAGTTGAACTTTAAAATATACTGGTGTATCGGTTTACTTTCAGTTACTTCTGGGTATAATAAGGAGAATATCTAAATATCTCCCCTTCTTGTTACCTTAAATGTGCTATGTATTTTTAAACTAACATTAATCGACTGCCTCTCAAGAGGTTCACAACAAAGAGATACCCAGAAATAAAGATACTTACCATAATTTTGGAATCCAGTAAAAACTTTCTTACATATTGATCAAATTCATCTTTTTCACTCCAATAAAACATTTTCGGATTAAAACATTCTGAAAAGAAGGAGACAATATTTTGTACAATCATTTTCTTTAAGTCCAAGTATCATTCTCTCATCGTATCCGATGTATTGTATACAGTCATTTTGGAGAACAATCGTCTTAGGATTGTACTGTTGATTACACTAACTCAATTATTCCATATCCATGATAAGTTGAGATTTCATAGTATAGGATGTATTTTTACTTGTGTAATTCCGGCTAGTATATTAGAACAAATAACAAGATAAACAAATATTTTGTATTATTCCTCGACGTCTCGATCTTGCCACGAAGATCCTTTTCAAGAGTATGAATCAGACAGTAAGTTTTCAGGTTAATATTCAAGTTTTGGTACACAAAGTGGTGACCTTTACAATCATCCAATTACATAGTGATATGGAGCAAAGATCAATGTAATACAGGTGAGTGAATAAGCAACTCGGTCAGAGAGGTTTTTCTGTTGTGCGAGTAAGGTGGAACAAAAATAGGGTGGGGGAATTTTTTAGTTCGTCTATGAAAAGTACAATGGGGTTGTGGAACATCAAGGGTGAGAAAGAATAGATTACTAGTTTGGGAGGATGATTATTTGAAGATGAGATAATATATCTTAAATAAATAACAATAATAATGATAACCATAAATATACTTTTGATAACACTTGAAGTATGAGTGATAACAAAATGGATTATAAGTGAAAAACTCGGGCACTGTGGTAGAATGTAATTCCATATTAGATTTGTTTATTTGATATAAAGCGCACAGTGATACAGTATTATTTACTTGATTACATTTCGAGCATAATCATATAACACATTGGTATGATTATGAGCAATAATTTATGCTCGAAACGTAATCAAGTAAATAATACTGTATCACTGTGCGCTTTATATCAAATAAACAAATCTAATATAAAATGGATTATGTTATAGTTCATCGAATGTGTATGACTCAGAGAGTAGTGTAAAATTGATGAAAAATAAGGTGTATGTAATAGGACTAGACAATCTACCTTCTCTTCAGATATTATTTACAACTGCCTAGGCGAGTCATTAATGTTTGCCATATTAGTGGGATGTCTAACCCATCTTTTCTGTTGACCGAAGAAGGATATGAGCAGATGTGCAAAGCTTCTGCAATGGTCCGCTCTTTGTGAGAGAGAAAACCCTTTTGCAGAAATTTTGTCTGTTCGAATGATATTTTATGACCTGAATATAGGGAATGAGCTGCGACAGCAGAGCTTTTTTCAAGTTTTTCTAGATCATAGGAATTTTTTGGTGGTTTTTTGGAACTTCTACCGTGTTCGGCTAGACGTGTTAGTACTTGACGTGATATCTCTCCAATATATGTGGCATCGCATTCACTGCAGTCTACTTTATAAACACAATTTTGTTGTTCTAAATGAGGAATCGGATCTTTTAATTTACACAGGTGTGAGTGTAATGTATTCGTCACCTTAAAGAATACTCTGATGTTGTAACGGTTAAGGATACGTCTTATTTCCTCTGAAGTGGATGTTCGATAAGGAAGTACTATAGTACTTATCCAATCTTTATGGCTTGACTTTTTCATACTTTTATTCGATAAACTTTTTTCGATCCTTTTTAATAGTTTGTCTGGATAGTTATTTTGTCTTAAGACTTCCCGAACAAGTCGCCTATCTGCTTGCTGAGATTCCACTTTATTTGGTATCCTTTGCGATCTCGTCAACAGATTTTTGGCAACTTTTAATTTAGTTTCCAATGGATGAGCCGAATCGAAGTCAAGATACTTGTTAGAATGTGTATCTTTTCGATAGACATCAATGTCAAGTGTCCCATCACTGTTTCGTATCGCCCTGCAGTCTAGGAAAGTTAACGTTCTGAATTCTGTTTCTAGTTCACATGTGAATGTTACAGAATTGAAACGGTTGTTTAGGTATTCAAAAAGACTTTCTAATCCTTGCTTTTTGGTTATGACGAGGGTGTCATCAACATACCTCCACCATACTTTTGGTTTTAAATTATGTTGGTTAAGTAGGTCTGATTCTACTTTGTGCATGTATAGATTAGCCAGAATGGGTGAGACAGGTGAACCCATTGCTACCCCACTGGTTTGACGATAAACTGAGGCGTTAAATAAATGATATTGTTTTAGTATTTGTATTACCCAATGAAGTAAAACCGAATAAATTTGTTTCAATTGATGTTTTGCTGCTTAATGCCTACTGCTTTATTGAACTTACAGGAAACAGGAATATGCAATATGCAAATTTATAAGTAATAACTTGATTTGAGTTTTTTTTTACTGGATAAATTATTCTGCATTATTAAATTATTGGGAAAGATGATGGCCTTCTATGTAGTTTGATAAATGTGTGAATTACTGGTTGAAGTTTGCACATTTCCTCATTTCGATATACATTAGTTTGGTTTCACTTTACCTTAAGACATTCTACTATGAGACTTTCCTTATAATTTCTAAAGCTTTACTGAATAATTTTGATAGAATCAAAGACGACCTTATGACTTGGAATTATAGTTCTATGGATGAAGTATTTTCAAGCTTTTTAAGCTCTACTGGATTTCTAAAGGGTCGGGTTGAAGCTCTTCAGTGTTCAGTCTTCCTAACTGTGATTTCGTGTGAAGTTTCTCATTTGTTAACTACATTGCAGTCTATGTAAATTATTTTATAAGCACAATTAGACTGAGAATCCTAACGTAATCCTGTCCATAATGGTGGACAATAAATTATGTCCAAAATAATGTCCAGTAAATAATACTGTTTCACTGCATGACACTTCTGATAAACAGACCGAAACAGAAGAACCTATATCAAGATAACATATATAAGCCTGGATATTGTAAATTCCTGTTTTCGATAACTTTGATACAACTATTAGCATCATCCGGCGAAAACATCAGTTAAAACAATCTTGTTCTGCTTTTTATTTATTAGGGAATAAAAATACCAAACTAATTTGTTTGTTGATATAGGGTGATGATTGAAGATGAAATGAAGATCTTGTCACGGAAAGATTCAAACTAAACAACCTCACCTTCAGTCATCATCCACTATCATTAATACAAGTCTGCTAAATCCTAGATATCTTCGATAATCAGTCTAATAATTCAATGAAATAAATTGCGTGGTAGTTTCGAAGGAGACATTCCTTCAAGTGTTCTAGTGATGTCATAGGTCTTCAACTTGAAGGTGTACTTGACCAGAGCTTTTTATTTCACCTTGAACGCTATTTTAATCGATTACTGTCAAGCAGTAAATTTTAACATATTTCAAGAGCATTTTTAGGTCAAAATGTTTTCTTATTGGGTCATTTGTGAAATAGGATAGATCAAAAATCCACTTGTAGATTAGTTCGCTAAAGGGTGACTTTTATATATCCGTATTGAAAATATATTAAATTTATTTCTTCATAAAACAGTACTAAGTTTTATACCAAAATAAACGTACGAAACTTTATGCAAGAAAACATCTACCTGTGAGGTCAATGGAACTATAAGATATTTTACTATCTCTAGATGATACAAACTTTCAGGGCAACAACCGCTTTTGAATGACAAATGCGGATCCTGGATTCCACTGCTATCCACTGCCCATTATTACTAAACATAGTTAAAAGACAGGCAATATCGAGACATCCGTATAGGAGCCCATATGCCAACAGAGACTGATCAATCAACGACGGTGTAATACAAGCAATAACACAAATTGAAACAAGAATAAAAGTGTGTATGAAATTAGGGTGAAATTGTTCATGCTGCTTGGAAAACTAAGCTCAGATGAATAGTGCTTAGTTTGTGTAGATCATAAGAGCATGTTAACAATTATGTCACTTTGAGGCATTTCAATGACATTGTATTAGAAAAACTAAGCAGTTTATAGCTCATGGTAGTGATGGGCAGTGGCTAGCAGTGGAATCCAGTATGCGCATTTCATCCTACTTCGGAATCGTCAGCTGGATGTACCTGTCTCCTAGTGAGTGATGTTGTTCCCACCGGGACTCGGACTCCGGATAAGTCGGTGGGAACAACATCACTCACTAGGAGGCAGGTACATCCAGTTGACGAGTTCCAAATAGGACGAAATGCGCATACTGGATTCCACTGCTAGCCACTGCCCATCACTACTATACATAATTAGAACACGGGCAATATCGAGGCATCTGCACAGGAGCCCATATAGCAACAGAGACTGATCAATTCAGTCCAATCAACGACGGTGTAACACAAGCAACAACACTAGGTTTATAGCTCAATTTATCATAATTCTAAACTATCTAATTTTCTTTAGAAAATGTAGAATATCTGATGAGAAGAAGTATGTTGGCTAGTCAAATGGTAAGACTCACAGAATTTCAGCTGTATCAAGAAAAATAATAATCGGAATTATCCACAGTTCTTCATATCATCTAGAGTAATCAGTGTCCTAGAGTTTATTATGAGTAAACTGAAGCTTTACTTTTTGACAGTAAAGTGCTTCCTCATAGTGATCAATTCGAATTTCTTACTCATTAACCCATTTTGTACTAATATAAATTTTAACAAAATGGAAATGGTGAACCAATTATATCACACAGTGACATTAAGAACAGACAGTTGAAAGAATAATTTATGTACATGTGTGTATCTGTAAAAATCAGTTCATTATGAAATAGATGATAAGAACTCTTTGATTTGTAGCGTTTAGTTTCATTTGATTTGAAGGTTGAAACAGGTGGTTGGATGAAGAATATCAAGTTTAGAGTCCTTTATAAAAAATTCCATATTTATGGGTTGACTTTCCTGGGATACGTAGATTGCATAGATTTTCTGCTTAGTAATAAACAATTCAAACTGCTATTAATAAATATGTGTATTATCTTTGAGGGCTTAAAGGTGTAAATGAATGTAAATACTGAATTGTGGAGAGAGACCAATCACAAACGTCCTTTCTTGACCGGTCCAGTAAGAGACATGAAGAATAGATTTTAATATTATAGTCTAGAAGGCTGTTGTACACGTATTTAATGACAAATTATGCCTTTACAGCATATAGTTGTTTTCTCACCTAATCAAACCAAGCTGTTAAACTAGTTTCTTTCTGTTATTTTTTTAAAACCAATCCAGAATAGTGTAGATCGAATATGTGTTTAGTGAATAAAACAATTCTTTGGAAGTTCTTACATCCTGTTTTGGTTCAAAATGTTGTCATAATACTGTGAATCACTTGTTTAACTCTATGGAAACCAGTTGAACCGACAGCTTCGAATTCTATTGGCATATCACACTTTCTAGTCATTTATAGCTGGGAGTGAGAAGATGCTAGTTTCTGTCCTCTATAGAGAATCCAACTAGATTACAGTGTTTTAGTTAACATCCATTCAGTACATTGTTTAAGAGATAAATCAAAGATGAGTGAATCACTTGGTGAAAAGACTTTTCGACAATTTTTCTACAAAATTGTATAACAGCAAACACGTAGTTTTAGCTGATCATTTCTAGTGTGCTAAATCCCTACATTAAGAGGCCAGGTATGGTAAATGGTAAAAACACAATTGGAAGAAAAAACTTAAAATATAACTACAAAAAACGTTGCTGACATAAATGAATTGTTGTGAATAATCAAGGATTATCAAAATGGGGCAGAAGTTGCTTAACGATAATTAGATATTAAACCGGCCTTTTGAAACATATTGAGAGGTCGGTTGTGGTCAAAAAGCGCAGAGAAACAGAAGTGAAGACTAATTACCTAAGAAGTCGATAGAATAAAGGGGACAGATGCTGACAGGAAATTGAATTTTTTAAAGATTATATACATGAAGAATGTTATCGGAGAGTGTCTCTTCGCTAGTCTATTTCCTTCGTGTTTTCATATATATTTTACACGCAGTGAGTTTTACTATTGAAGATTAATTACTTTGATTCACATCTGAAAAATCGATGCCAAAGAACTTTTATCTTCCAGTGAAATTGTTGACTTTAAGATGTCTGAGATTGATGTGAAGCTGTCCGTGTTAAATTAGATATGTGTTTTTCGATCACTTTTATAAATTTAACATGATATAACTGGTTATGGTTACAGAGGAATCCAGGACGCGCATTTCATCTTATTTAGGACTCGTCTGCTGGATGTACCTGTCTGTCAGTGAGTTATATTGTACCCATCACTTCAAACGCCAAAGAGCAATCCACTCAGCCACTGACAGATGATAGTCACCTCTAATAATTAATTACTAAACAATTTACAAGTAGTAAAAATGAACACATATGGATTTGTTACAGTTATAGAAACTTCGAATCTGAAGAATTTGTACCAGATCCGGATTATTTATTTGTTTTACTCACTCCAAAATGTTATGTAAAGGTCAAGAACTCTATTATTATTATTTGTCTTTTGGGTTCCTAGTGGGACATACCGCTTCAGTAGCACGTCTCCATTCCACTCTGTTCTCTGCAATCTTTGGACCTGGCTCCACGACTGCCCAGAAACTTCCATTTTTTCCTCACACCATCTCCTCCATGTCACCCTCTTCTCAGGCGTCCAACTCGTCGCTTCCCATCTGGCTTCCACTCGATGGCCTGACGTGTGATGTCCCCAGTCGGCCTCCTCAGTGCATGCCCAATCCAACACATCTCCACTTTCTTCTGCATATTTGTTGAGCTAAAGCTTCTTGCTTCGTTGGCTAGTCCCACAGCTCCGTGTCGCTTATTCTTTCTGACCATATGAGCTTCAGTAATGAGCGTCGGCAGTTGTTGTTGAATGTCTGTAGTTTTTTGGAAATGCTTTTCGTAATGCACCAACTCTCTGAACTATCACATAGATTCACTGACTTGAAGTTGGTATTGAAAATCCGGATGTTTTTCACGCTTCATGCTGAGTGCAGAAGATCTCCACACTGGTTTCAGGTTAACGAACATCTGTCTTGCTGCCTTTCCGATCCTGGCCTTGACGTCTTCGTCTGTGCCACAGCCTGTAGTTGAAATGATGCTGTCTGCCGAGGTAGGTGAAAGAGACTACTTCATTTAGATTTCTCCCATCAATGGTGATTGTAGCTTGTTGTTGTTGTTGGTGGTGGTGTTGGTTGGGTATCTTCATCACCTCTGTCTTCTCTACATTCACTTGAAATCCCGTTTTCTCTGCCCTACCTCTTCTCTCAACTTGTTAGTTTTCGCCTATAGATCTTCGAGATTGTACGACATTAGACATAAACCATCGTCGGTGAAGTCCAAATCTTCTATGCTCTTTTATCGGTCCAGCCAGAGTATGCCACTCTTCTCACTCCCCACGGTTTGCTGCATGATCCAGTCCAGTCGACTACAATGAGGAAGATGATCGGTGATAATAGGCGGTAGCTTTATCTTACTCCTTCCTGTCTTCACTTCAGAGGCATCACTGAGGTTCTCACTGTGAATCACTTGGCATGTGGCGTCTTCATATAGTTGTTGAATGAGATTGATAAAGGTTTGTGGTATTGTATAGTGTTGAAGCAGCTGCCTGCTAAATTACTTGTCGGTCGATGCTGTCGAAGGCCTTTTCGAAGTGGATGTATTTGAGTTGAGGTAGAGGGTTGAGTGTCATTCTATACTCTATTCTATGATGATGCGTAGCGTAGCGTTTCAATTTGGTCCTCACATGATTTGTACTTCCTGAATCCAGCCAGCCATCCTGCTCCGGTCGTAGTTTGGATCCAGCACATCCTTTAGTCTCTTCAGTCAAGAACTCTATACCCATATTCAAATACTGAGAAACATCAAAATCGAAGCTTGGAAATTAATAAAAGATGCACTTATGGTATGCAAATCATCAGATGGTGAAAATACACAAGTGTAATTTCGGATAACATTTACAACTATGAACATCTGCAAATTTTGTCCGACTTACCGTCATCTGTTAGTAACTTTGATATGATCTTTGCAATAGAGTACCACAAATAACCAAAATTTAGGTATCTAGTAGAAAAAATAAAATAAACAAAAGTCAAATAATTTTACAGTTTAGGGTTAGATTTTCACTTTTTTAAATCAGTGAAAGAGAGTATTCTAGTCTACAAAGTGTTTATTAAAAAATCTCTAGTTGAAAGCTGAATAGAAAACTGATTGAGTAATGTTCACCGTGGTTGTTAAGATATTTAAAACTCATTAACAATAAACTGGGGCCAAAAGTCATATTTTCAGGTTAATTTTAAGTGTTCTTACTTCAGTAAACTGAATTTTTCTAGTATACATCAACAGATTTTGTGAGAGTAAGAATTACAGTCAAATTTTAAAGCAATTTTCACCTAAACTTATTGTTACATAGGAGATTCACTCGTTTAGGACTTAATGAACATATTTGCTGTTTCTGTAATATTCTCGTGATGGATTTATGGTGATCAGATATTCAGTTTAACTGAGAGACATGAACACGTTCCACAGTATTCAGCATAACGAGCTATCATTGCTATTCAGCAGAAAAATGGTATCATTTCTGAATGGCATTGCTTGCATTAAGAGTTTTATGGAAGTGATTTATGTGTGATAGAACGTTTTCTTGGTTGCTTATTGATTTTTGAGTTAAGTAAAGCCAAAAATTCAGAAAAGTTTAGCTTAGTTGCTTTCTTAATGTTAGTAAGTAATGAAACTTAAAATATGAAATATGAGGCTGTGAACTAGACAGTGACCTTCAATCTATTGCGTGATAGCTGTTGTTATACATGGTTACTGAAACCTCAACATTTGATGCAGAGTTCGAACCAGTGACTTAGTAGTTGAATGTCGATTGTCTAACCATGTCTGTCGTATCTAAACTGAGGTGCATTATTTTACTGACCATTTAACTAATTCATTTGCATATCTGCGATATACAAAGATGATTATTAAATCAAAGGATTGGGCATGAAATGACTAACAGGTGAGATGATGTCGAATGTACTCAATATCCTCTTATTTTATGCTTTGATTGAAAGATTAGGCTATTCCAACCAAGTATTTTCTTTTCATTAACTCCTTTCTATTTTTAAATTGTTACTTTTTTCCGTTAATTTATGACTATTGGGAACAAAATGAAAAAAAGTGATGATTTGTCTTCGGGGAGTTAAAATCATCGATAACTGTTGGCAATATTGCAGTAGTTCACTTCTCATCTTGGACCACATATAGGATAATGAATTTAGAAATCCTATCATTTTTGTAAAACCATGTTATCATGACCGTGTTAGGAAAGACTTACAGTTCTAAGATTCCTGCGTAAACTGACTTACCTGACTGTAATGCAAAAGATCCTACTACTAAGCAACTACAATAGTTAGAAATATACTATATCATTTTTAATTAGTAAGCTTAATTACCAATTTCAGATTTTAATATAATAATGGTGTAATTTGGTACTAAATTATAGCTCATGGGCTTAGGTATGCAACTGCCTCCCAGTACACCATTGGTTCATGTACGGAGGTGAGAACACTAAATAATGAAAGCAACCTTCAAATGGTAGATGTACTTCGTAGCCAAATGCACATACATCTGTCTGATTACTAAGTTGCACACTTTCATAGATTCAATATTTCATAAAACAAAACAATAAAACATCATCATTATCACAGTGTTAGAAGGGCGGTAAGAACATTAGCTTTTCAAATTATGTAATGCTATCTCTTGTTCACAATTAGCTCTTTATTTACCAGTTATTATCACTTACTAAGTGCTATATGTTGTTACTCTACTGTCTACCATTAATTGAGTACCTGAGTTTTTCTAACTCATAACAGACGGAGAAATATGACCAGTGATAAATGTATTGGATGGTGGAAATCAGCTAGTTGGAAGCCTTACTCGCTCTAGGTTTCCTGCTTATTCATAATCATAAGTCCCTCTCCGGTGACCAACCCCGGTACATAATTTAGCTCTGCAAGGGGTCAGTCGTGACCTGAATAGCTTAGTGGCTACATCCCTGACTCAAGTTCGAGCCATAGAGGAGACACCAGTTTCCTCATCATTGCAGATACACCTCTCTGATGAGTTCCCACAAGTACGAAACTAAAGTTAAACAGCGCTTTTAGTCAATTTACTGCTACTGTTGAATGCTGAATTAAGTTGTGTGTTTCGCTTGCTGGCCACGCTGCACAACTCAGTCGACTAACATCGACAAGTGCTAAGTGTTAAGAACTAGACAAATACACAGGTTAGTCATCGGGGGCCAACTTGCGAGCAGAAAAGTGTACTACTCAAATGCCTACACAACTCTGCATCAGTTTAATATCAATAATTTTAGCTTCATCTCATGTCATACTATGCCTAAATATATAATGTTAATACGTTTAACTAATGTTTATAGTGATTTTACTGGTAATAGTAATTAATATTTCAGCAAAGTAATTACTTACCTTGGTATTGACAAATCAGGCATAAAATGAGGCCATTGTAGCAGAAGAAGAGAAATCTCTTTGAAAACAGAGGAATACAAAAAGAAACCGATCTAACTCATGCTTCACCTGACAGTTGAAATCTATGAAAATATTTTAATGGTGACAGGGAGTCGTAATCTAATGAATATGACCTTTAAAAAAGACATCATGGCAAGTTTGTCGCTCTAAGTTTTTGAAGATTTTACCCATGTATACTGGAAATTTAGTCGCAGATGGTGGGAGATATTTAATGTAAGCTATTGAAAATATGCTGAGTTAGTTCCGATTACCCCAAAAAGCAATATGTAAGCTTTAGATAATTAACAGGAAACAAATAGTTCGCTACTGAATGTAGAATATATGGACAAATATTTTTACAGTCTACGTCCTATCAATTGTTCAAAATTCAAGGACAGATATCAGCTGTATGTGAATAATTGTGAAGCTTGATGACGCCATTCATTTGTAGTCTGGCTCTTCTTTTTGAAAAGGAGTTTGGAGTGTTAGTGATAGTTTCAAGTCACTGTAGTGAGTGCCTGATTATATTTACTTATTTGTCCTTTAGGTTCCTAGTGGAACATAGGGCTTCAGTAGCATGTCAGCGCTTCCTTTTGTTCTCTGAAATATTTTCAACCTGGCTATACAACTGCCCACAAGCTTTCATTTCTTCCTCACACCATCTCCTTCGTGTCACCTTCACCTCAGACGCCCAACTCGTCGTCTCGCCTTTGGATTCCACTCGATGGTCTGGCCTGGAGCGTGATGTCCCCAATCGGCCTTCTCAGTGTATGTTCAATCTAATCCATCTCCACTTTCTTCTGTATATTTGTTGGACTGTGAGTTCTTGGTTGGTTCGTCGCCAGCCAGTGTGAGTTCCTTGTTGCTTATACTTCCTCGTCTTCTGAACTGATCTTCAGTATGGAGTGAGCGTAGGTGGCAGCTGTTGATGGAATATGTCTGCAGTTTGTCGGAAAGGCTTTTCGTGACGTGCCAAGTTTCTGAACCATCACACAGAAGCACTGACTTGACGTTGGTGTTGAAAATCCGGATCTTGTCTTTTATACTGAGCGCAGTGCGGTGCAGTAGATCTCCACACTGATTTTAGGTAAATGAAGGCCTGTCTTGCTGTCTTTTCGATCCTGGTTTTGAAATCCTCACCTGTGCCGCCACCTGCTACCTGGGTAGGTAGGTGAAAGGGACAACTTCGTTTAGATTTCTCCCGTCTATGGTGATTAGTGTTTTTTTGTCAATGTTGTTGTTGGTTGAGTATCTTCATCACCTCTATTTTCTCTATGTTAACCTGAAGGAAGTCCCGTCTTCCTTCTCTGTCCCACTTCTTCTGTCAACTTGTTAGTTTTTGCCTACAGATCTTCCAGTTTGTGCGACAAGATATTAGACATAAATCATCATTGGCGACGAAATGCAAATCTTCCAGGGTCTTTTCATCGGTCTAGCCAGCGTATGCCCATCTTCTCATAGCTGCTCACGATTTGCTACATGATCCCGTCCAGTCGACCACAATGAGGAAGATGATCGACAGCCTTGTCCTAGTCCTTCCTGTCTTAACTTCAAAGACGTCACTGAGCTGAGCTTTCCATTGAGAATCACTTGCCATGTAGCATCATATAGCATACAGCTGCTGTTGAATGGGGCTGATGGTTTGTGGCACTCCACGGTGCTGAAGCAGTTTCCGAATTACTTCTAGGTGGATACTTCGATCAAAGGCCTTTTCGAAGTCAATGAAGTTGAAGTGAAGTGGGGAATTGACTGCCATTCTATGCTGTGTTCTGTGATGATGTGTATAGCGTTGCAATTTGATCCGCACATAGTTTGTTCTTCTTGAATCCAGCCTGTCCCGGTCTTAGTTTGGAATCCAGAGGATTTTCATTCCCTCCAGAATGACGCGGCCTAATATTGTGCTTAGGGTGGACAGGGATACAGCATGATTCCGCGCCAGTTCTTGCAAAGACTTAGGTCTCTATTCTTTGGGAATCTGACAAGGTAGCCCTTCTCGCAATCAATCGCTAGGCACCTTTCCTTCCTTACTTCCAAACCTTATGGAGTAGTAGTGTGAGCATGTCCGCTGCTATTGTTTCTGCGTCTGTTCTCAGTACTTTTGGAGGAATTCCATCTGATCCAGCAGCCTTCCTGGATTTCAGTAACGTTATGTCTTTCAGGACTCCACTTCCGCTTTTGTTAGAGGGCTTGTGTTCACTGGTAATTCTGTGGCTGTGCTGCTGATGGTATTTCTGGATGAGTTACAGGTGTTGTTGTTGGTGGTGGTGGTCAATTCAAGAGTTTTTTTGAAGTTGTCAGCCCATTGATTCCTTTGTTCCTCTCCTTTGCTAACTAGATTTGCTTCACTATTTTTCATTGGTTTCATCTACGTTGATCTCTTCCCTTCCATAAAGTAACCTGGTCATTTGATGTAGTATTGTCAGGTCTCTGTCTCTTCTACCTGCAGCCTGTTCTGCTTCACTAGCCAGTGTTTCGTAGAAGTGTCCATTGCCTTTCCGCGCGTTCCGCTTAATTCTTTGTCCTGTGTTTTATACGTTGTAATCAGTTCCTCTTGTCGTTGTTCATCTTTGCACTGGTCCATCTTCTGCTTCAGCATCTTCCTCTCTCTCCTGTATCAGCTTCCATGTGTCCGTCGAGATCCATTCCTTGTCTTCTATCCTCTTCCTTCCTAATACGGTTATCCAGGTATATTTCCACATAGCTTTCAAAGAGTCTCAGTGTTCTTCCACGCAGGTTTCCTCGGGGATGTTGTTTAATGTTTCACGTTTTTTCCTGGTGGCTGACGTGAAGATGTTTTTTGTAATTTCGTCCTTCACTTTCTGTTCTGGGTGTTGAACTCGATCTGTGGTCCATCACCTACTTCTTCGAAGTCTTTCTATTTTGATTTCGAAGGTAGGTTCCCTGCACTGAATAGTGAGTGGCGTGAACCTACATCTGCTCCCCTTTTTAATCTGATCTTGTGATCAGTAGGCTGGCTGCATCCTCACTTTCTTCATATTGAGATGAAGTCTATCTGGTTTTAAGTGTGTCCTGGTATCTAGTGAAGTACATGTCGCTTTGTGAATATCCTTGTGTTTGTACACACTCCCTCCCTCCAATCACCAAATCGTTGAATGTGCAGAAGTCTGCAAACAATTCTCCATTCCCATCATTTCACCAAGTGCTTCACGACCCATGATGAATGAGTACTCTTCCTGTGTTGTCCGCTCCGAGTTTGGCACTCACGTGACGCTACCCACTAGAATTTTGATATCGCCAACTGGAGTTTTGCCTAGTACTGGTTGCAGTTGTCTATGGAATTCCTCCTTATTCTCTTCATCTGCTTTATTTGTAGGTGCGTAGCGTAGAATTGTATGATTGTGACTTTCTTTCCATTTGAGTTGAACCTTGCTGTCATGATCCTGATCTTTGAGGAGATTGGTTCCCACCAAATGAGGGCCATCGATGTTCTTCGAGACATCTTGATAGCCACTCCCTCTGTGTGCTCGTGGTTGTCGTCTGGGTGACAATATCAAAGTAGGTTATTGGCCCTCCATTTGACACTTTGGAGAGTCCACTTCCATTCCATCTGTTTTTGCAGATTCCTAGCACTTCAATGCTATACCTTCTCATCTCTTTTGCAATCTGGGCAGTCTTGCTAGATTCATACATGGTGCAGACATTCCATGTCCCATTCTTACTTTCGCTTTCGTTGAGAAAAGGTAAAGGTAATCACAACATATTTTTTCCAAAAAGTGTATAAAATTTCGTCGAATAGACATTTCACAATCTAAATGTATTCTTATTGCTAAACAGATGAGAACCTTTTAGATATATTACCTTGTTATTCCAATTGCTGGTTGAACCGAATCATTTGTCCACTGTTAGCATATGGAGTAGTTTGGGAGCAGTGAAATCCAGGATATGTGTTTCTTCCTGCCTCACTGGTCTAGTGGATGACGTTTCGGTGTTTTAAGCTATGCTTACGAGTTCCGAGTGTAAGTGAGAACAAAATCTCTCCACACTGGTGTGAACGTATATCCAGTTGACAAGTCCCAAATGGGACAAAACTTACATCCTCACTCCACTGCCAGCCACAAACAAGTAAGTAGGCTGTGTGGCTTGAATATGATTGGGCTCCAGGTCAGTATGATTCCTCGTCTAAAGTGTATTTTATTTGTGTAATATCATCATAGTATATGAGAAGAAATAGTAAAGTAAACAAATATGAACGATGGAGAAGATTGGTGGGTCAGGATGAGGACGACGATAGTTTGGTGTTCTCTGAGCTTTGATATCTGTCATGAATGCACGATCGCCAGGATTTGTGATATCTTCAGCATTAATTTCATTAGGAAGGAAAGCATATTCGAATGTTACACAAATGTTTAGATAGTGTTTTTACTGAACTTGGTGCTGTCCAATTGTAAATTGGAGAAGAAACTTTCTTATCACACCCTTACCACTTTCACCTTGAATTTCCTTCAGTCATGTCATTAGATATTCTTTGTCGAAGTGATTTTGTATTGTTTGTTGTTGTCACACTGTGCATCATTATTGATTTGTGTTGTCAATTTGTCTTTGGTTGATGGATGAGTGTTTTCTTCTGAAGTAGATCTTAGATTGGGTCTATATGCACATGTGTGTTGATTGACATTTCGTTTACATGCTATGCTTCTAGAAACTGAAGCTTTGGAACATGGTCTGTAGATGATTTCCACATCCTTCCAGTCAAATTTGTGATCGTCGTTGTCTGCAGGTATTGAAACCAAAGTCAATAAAAACACTATCTAAACGTTCGTGTAATATTCGATTATGCCACTGTAGCGTCACATACTTCTCCAGAATCAACTGCTTAGGGTTTGACGAAATTCAACATTGTTGCTGACCTTCACAGTATTACAGCACTCGCTAAGCACACGGTCAAGTATCCACGCCATTTGGTACGCTGTCGTGTTACTTGCACTACTCGTAATTGAATCTCTAGCCAGCTAGTTGGAAGGCATCGGTATTTTGTCCCGATCTCAAAATTAAACTGTT